CATGTTTTTATTTCTTTTGCTGAACTATTAAGCCCCTAAAACATGCTAACGTCAATTTAGAAAAAGCTTGTTGGTGTATTGTTAACTAAGAAACCGGTTATTTTCTGCAACGATTTTAATGATCGCTCTAGCTTTTGTAAACCTCGACCTTTTTGGGCAATGCATAGAAATTATATTCAATTATTAAATGAAATAAAGGGTCGACCATTCTGAAATGCTATATAAAAATTTACACGGTGTCAAAATCACATATTAATTTGCCAATTCTTTCGTTTTGTTGAACGTAAAACATTTAGTCTTTTACGCATTTTTTGTAGGGGTGGGGGTGGAATGGGGGGTAGAATGTATATGTTTTCCACACAAATTCCATTTCGTTGGGGGGGATGGCGGTAGACTCTTTTCGCCCCCCCCCCCCCCCCCGAAGAGATGCCTGGAAGAAACTCTGTATGAAGTGAAAGGCTACTACATTTTTTTTTATTTTCGACCGTTTGACATAAGCCAACCTAGTTGTTTGACATTATCGCATTTGGGTCCCTCACGTCTTGTTAGATGCTGCGAATCTATGTTTAACGGTGTATTTATCTCTAATCAGTTAACAATGTAATAGTTAAACCCCCGCCTCATTGTCAACGGGCACGATTATACTCTCGTCTTGTGATGCTACAAACTAGCTGAGTTTCTTTCATGCATCTCTATCTTCGAGGGGGAATTAATATGAAATTAATATACAAAATATATACTTCAACCATTCCCCGCCCCCCTTAAAATAAAAATGTTTGAAATAAACACTGCTGACTAGGGCTCACTTAGGATCGCCCTTAATTGTCACACTTCTCTAGAGATGGTCAGCCTTTAGCGGTGTTGCGAAAATGTGACGTCACTTAAAGTTTTAAGTTTAATTATTGCAGTTATCAAGCACTTTAAGCAGATATATTTTGAAAATTATATTACAAATGATCAATAGACTTTATTTTGACTCGGGATCGCTGAAATTTGACGTATGCTGTCCGCCGGTCGTATGGCCTATTTTGTTATAAGGGATGGAGAGGGGTGCAACCTTAAAGGGAGACAATTCAATATTTTAAGAAATTGTTGTTACATTGAAAACAACTGCTATGCTGGTTGAATATCGTAATTAGACAAGGATAGGGGGAGGGGGTGTAAAAAATTGCCCCCCCCCAAACCCCTCCCTCCCCCCCACTGACATCAACTCTAGCAGACAGTCATGCACATTATCAAAAACGTCATTTGTTTTAATCAGTTAGTTTAACACAAGCCAGCAGATGGGAACGCAAATGTTGCGGTTGCAAAAGCTTATAAGACCAATAGTTTTACTTCTATGCTAGGCTAGGCAAGTCTCAGAGTATGTGCCCATTGAATAGGCTCATAACTTAAGGCTTACGTTAAAATAATTTCTTAAAAGCAGGATTATTTAAAAAAAAATATTTTAGGATATTATCTACCATTAATTATGCTTCAATAAAAACCATTAATTGAAAGACCAAATTTCGAAGCTATTTTAAGAGTATGGCTTGATATTTTTGTGTGGATACCATTTAATTTATAGAATATGAATATGTACGTAACTTTGATAAGACTATTGAACTGTCTCATACAGTTAGCGCATGCTGCAAATGTGGGCGTCACCGCTTGAAAATGATTGGAATGCATTTATCATTTAAGTACCGTGTGTTTAGAATATGCAAAACAATAAAATACATTTTTTCTCTTAGTCACTTTTAAGTCATTTTCTTGAGATTAAATACTCTATTGACTATTAAATTTAGAGAAATGCGTGAATATATATTAGATCTAAATCTATGACTAAAGTAAAAGTTAAGTAAGACTTTCGATCGCCACTCAGCTGTTTCCCCCAGAATGATGTCATTACGACTCAGGGGAGCCAATCAGACGGAGTCGTCGGGTTTGACCTCCATGCGCAAGCACCCTCGTTTTGGCGTGGAGAGATGTCAGCCATTTTGTTGGGCGAAGAAAGTATTTAATAGCAAATTTATGTGTGAAAAATAGATCGACATGAAATGGATCTTAAAAATGTGTCATATAGCTTAAACAGTCATTTTTCTAAATTGGTCGCTGGATAGTGCTGTGATCACTGAAAAATAGGCTAAATTACAATAGTTTTGAGCCAATCTCTGCCCTAGCGACCCGTTTCCGGGCTCGATCGACTAGTGACAACAAATCCTCAAGTCTGTCTAATTAATGTCTCTGTTCACATAACACGACAGATTCATACGTTTATGTGCGTGCATTAAACATAACTGTGATGAACGATTAAGTGTTTGGCGAACATTTAGCAGTTAATGAATTAAGAAATTCAAGATGTCGGCAACCGCAAGAGGACCAGCAACACTTCACACAGTTCACGAATCTGTGGTGGTCGATAGGCATGATCGGCATTTGGGTTCATCCAAAGGAAAAGAGGTAGTGTTTCATTTACTAGACTTTAGACTAAATACTAGATCTAGATTCTAGATCTAGTTTAAATTATAGTTTGTAACCCATTTTTGTAGTCAACTGTATTAGTCTTCCCTCTTGCCTATAAGTCAGAATCCAGGCCTTGTACCAGATCTAGATAGAGATCTAGAAATACAAGAAATTTATCATCCATGTCACTCAGTAGTGAGATCTGTCATCTCTACTCTAGTCAGTCTGGTCTAGACTCTGGTCTATTCTAGATCTAGAAGTCTAGAATTTACCAGCAGAAGCCGCCTAATGAATCATGATATTAAAACCAAAAAGTAGGAAACATAAAGAAATGAACACTTCATCTTTTGATGATAGGCTACTGAGTTTTATTTATTAATGACTAGATTGTAGGCCTACCTAAATCATCTAATATTATAAAAATTTACTAATTAGCTTTAAATCATTCTGATTAGGCCTACTCTCTTCAGTTATTCTAGGTCTAGTGCATATTTTTTTTCTGTACTGGAGTCTAGAATAGGCCTGTTTTATTTATAGGCGTAATAATTGATTTCATCAAACATTACTATTGGCCTAGGCTTAGTGGCTTAGTACTTTATTTTTACTTTAATGACCATAGTTTTTACTTTTGCATTAGCTGTTTTACAATGAATTATCAGGGTGTCTGTGCAAACGAGGCATCTAATAATAGAGCACTCTCAAATTAAAGGGGGGGGGGGAATTTACAACCTCATGCTAAGTTTTTTTGTAAAAATGTTCATAGGCCAATGGTTTTGATATAATTATCTGGCTATAGTTACTTCAACCTGTTGTGAACAGATGATGAAAATAATAAACACAAGTTTTAGTAGAGATATTTGCACTGAATCCACAGTTATCTATGTATATAATTCTCTTCGTAGAGACATTAGAAAACACCACGCAGCTTAGCCAACACCCTCATCCCCACCTGTCCGGTGAGCTGTGGTTCACCCCAAATGTTTACAATCATAGAACAGGGTTAGTGACGACTATTAGGGGTAGATAATTTACTATGAAACGATTTGAAATGAAGAGGAGATAACAATTTCTGATTGATCTTTTCTTTATCTGTAAACTGTAAATGGCTGCTTTCACTGGGGGGGGGGGGGGGGGGGGGAAGAGGGAGGACGTGGGGGTTAGTGTTGAATTCACAAATTATGAATTGCTGATAAGCAGAAAATAAAACAACTAGATGGCGGCGTATACTACGTCGCAGGTCAGCTTTACTAATAATTAGTCAATTTTATAGACTACAAACACTCAGATTAAAACTAAACTGCAATATACATTTTTATGTTGAATAAAAGCTAAGAACTGATAATCACATGACAGTCATCATCTTTTCCCTTTTGTGCCCAAGACACATGGGCCCGCCATAGAAAGTTATTGTCACTTTACTGGTCTCTGGTAATTTTCTAGACAAGTGTTGTTCCTTTGTTAGTTGCTTTTCTGCCCCAGAAAAAAATTCAACATCCTTGCTAGCTTGTTGTGTTTATAGATCAAGTAACCTAAAATTATATTACACGTTTAATTTTCTAATGGGACCTTATGCATCTATTGCAAAGGCCATAAAGATGATCTGAAACATCATTTAAAATAATCTGTTAGGCCTATGTATATTTTTTTTACTGACAGTACTCTTATTTCGACTTTTCAACTTACTTATTAAATAACTTTTAACTTCTATTTTCTGGGGTGGGGGAACAACCTAGACATATCAGTAGCTATTTCGTTTTTATTATCATAGTGAAGTGACCCCATTTCTTTTTATTGCATTGTCTGCTCACTTTGCAGGAAAGTCTCACATTGTAAATTTACTTATTCAAGGCTTTTAAAGAAAACTATTTTTTCATGTAGATTTTTTTATGGTCATTTCTTTTAAATTTAAGAACTTGTTTAAATACATCTTTGGCTCCTTTGGTAAAATTTGTATGTGGTTTTGAAGTAATCATTTATGCAGTAAATTAAAAGTTAGGCATGTTTCACTGAAAGCATCTGAAGCTTTAGAAAATAATAAGTAATTTCTTTTGATTTCTTCTACCAAAGGGTACTGATGAAAATACAACTACACCATCATCAACACGAGTTTCATCATCAAGGTCTAGGGCTAATGATGAACCTCACATAGGAAAATACCGTCTCATAAAAACAATTGGTAAAGGAAATTTTGCCAAAGTAAAACTCGCTAAACATGTTCCTACAGGAAGAGAGGTGAGTACCAATTACTTTATACACATCTATATACAACTTAAAATATTTATCTAATTTTAGTATTGCAATATTTTTAACAAAAACACAACTTGAAATTAATATTTTTAATTTCCAAGATGCATAATAATCTAGGGGAATCACATCTACATACAAATTGGCAAAATATTTTAATCCTTTCAGTTAAAATCAGTTTGTGTGCTGGCACCAAAATCAAGTATCTAAAGCTTTTAGTCACTACAAAAATTCTCCCGTTATGTTTCCATTTAATGTTTTATTTTCTCATAAATTAAAACAACCAGACTAATAGAATTTTAAAAGTTAACAACTACTGAAGATACATATTAATTCTCTTGAGAACATGTTTGTAATTAGAGAGCGTTGTTGAAGTTATTTGACCAAAGTTTAAGTATTTATTTAATAGGCAGTCTTAATGTCAAACAAAAATAAATTTGTATCTTTTTTTTATCGACAGGTTGCTATTAAAATAATTGACAAAACACAACTGAATCCCTCAAGTTTGCAAAAGGTAAGATACATTCCCAACAATGTATTTTAATTCAGCTTTTTATATGAATTAAAGTGCTAAATGCTTAATCAGGGAAATGACTTCCACATTATGGTTGATTTCTGAATATTACATCAGAATTGAATTTTTAGATGCAGTTTGCACTGTTCCACCGTGCAGCTAGAAACTTTTCCATCAATAGTTTTCATTTAATTTTATTTTAATCCATTAACAATTTAAAAAGTTTCTTTGCCACTCTAGAAACACAATTTACATTTACATTATTTAGTCTTCTTCTTGCTTGTAATCAGTAATGCTTGTAATCTATAACCATTGGATGGTTAGACATTTAATAATTATCTAATTTATGCTTCCATTTAGGAAATGCTAATAATATTACCTCTACCTTATCAGCAGCTATTTCATTTTTATTATTATTATGAAGTGAACCAGTTTCTTTTTATTGCATTGTCTGCTCACTTAGCTGGAAATCTAATTATTAAGTTACATGGTAATTTGTTTAAATTCAGAAGAGATTTTTATGAAAAGAGTCATAGTCGTATAGAAAGTGTTAAGTTATTCTAGTCAATACTTTTAGTATATCACACTTAGCTAGTTTTTTAACAATTCAGCTATTTATTTTAAACTTATAAATCTAAATATCATAAATCAGCATTGGCTAACCGTGTTGCTGTATAAAATGCTTTTACACTGAGATGTAATTACTATGTCTTATAAATCAACTAATTAGTCTCTATTTCAAATTAATTAATGAATTTGTATTATTTCTTTAAAAAAAGGTAGATATTTCAAACTTTTAAGAAGAGGGAAAAACTCAAATTAATAAGAATATTTGTGTCATAGAAATATATAAACTTGTAATAATTATACATATTGTTGATTTTAATGCATTAATTAATTAAACACTGTGTAAAGATATCATTAACAAAAAAAACTGTTAAAAGAGGATACATTTTTTTTTGTCATAGTGTGAAATTAAGTATACTAATTTTTATTCTTAGTGAATTTAAAGATGATTTGAAAGAAAAGTACTTTCAGTTTTGCTTTCACGTATCTTTTTTCAAACAAATTAAGTTATAGGTTTTTAAAAAGAGACTAACAACATATTTGTATTGAAGCTCATAAGTTGGCATTTACTGTCATAATCCTAAATAAGAATTTTTTTAATAAAATGTATTTCTCCTTTTCAGCTTTTTCGAGAGGTGAGAATTATGAAAATGCTTGATCATCCCAACATAGGTGAGTTTAACCTAAATAGCTACTGTGTGTAATAGTTTTAAAAACGTCACAATACTAACACTTTTTAAAAATAACTTTGCAGTTAAGCTTTTTGAGGTTATAGAAACAGAAAAGACTCTATATCTTGTTATGGAGTATGCAAGTGGAGGTGAGTCTTGTTTTCACATGCACTTTTGTTTATAAATTTCACGTGAATTTTTGCTTTTAGCGAAGTATGAATTTCTTAATACAACACTACAATTACTTTACAAATATTTAAAAAAACACTGATTAATAACAATTGATCTTAACTAAAAAATATAACATGCTTATTTTAATTACAGGTGAAGTTTTTGATTATTTAGTTGCTCATGGACGAATGAAAGAAAAAGAAGCGCGAGCCAAATTTAGACAGGTGATAGTATAAATTTGTGTAACACATATTTTAGTAGTTAACTAGTTTTTTTATAGCAATGATTTGTTCAGTTTATTATTTTGTATTATAACTTTTTATCCTTACTTCCATGTTTTTAATTATTTTTTTTTTTTTTGCATTAAAATTTCTGAAATTTGCTATAACTAAAATTTATAAATATATTATTTAATGTTTCAACCAACAGATAGTTTCTTCTGTTCAATACTGTCATCAAAAACACATTGTGCATAGGGATTTAAAGGTAATTAAAAAAACTATTTTCAGTTTTGAGCTCATGATCTTTTTTAAATAGCCTTATTTACAGAAGTAAATTATCCTATTCAATGTGCTGCACTAATGATTTCTTTAATTGTGTCTAATGTTTTTTCCCCCTACATTTTAGGCAGAAAATCTATTGCTAGACAGTGACATGAACATAAAAATTGCAGATTATGGTTTTAGCAACGAATTTGTTCCTGGCAACAAATTAGATACATTTTGTGGTAGTCCTCCATATGCTGCACCAGAACTTTTTCAAGGTAAACCAATCTGCTAAAGTGGCTGTCTTTTCTTCCTGACTTGACAATATTAGATAGTATGCATAAGTTTTTTTTTATTGCACTAATGTTTTCTGTATTTAAGTAAACTAATAAAATGGTTACTAAAAATCATTAAACTTAAAATTAAAATTGTGATACATACAAATAATGTTAATTAGTACAATAGTTTTAAAGTTAAGCAAACCTTGTAATGCCCTCTGTCCCATAAAATGTTCATAAAAGTAATGGCCTATAAATATCTGAGAACTTAAATAAAATGTTTTTAATATCGGAACTATTAATAAACTATATATAAACTGTTACATATGCAATTTCTGGTTTCTATAACAGGAAAAAAATATGATGGCCCTGAAGTTGATGTATGGAGTTTAGGTGTGATATTATATACTTTAGTGAGTGGATCTCTTCCATTTGATGGTCAAAACCTTAAGGTAATTTTGTATTTTTTTCATTTTTTAAATGTAATACCATAAAGGGTTCATCATTTTAGGACATCCACTTGAGGTACAAAAATTAAGCTTAGTCAATCAGGATGTCTGCATATTGTTTACATAAAAATGCAATAAACCTTCCTACAGAATGTACACAGTCAATGCCTGTGTTTTTTAAAATAAATGGCTCACAGGACTATGGTTTTTTAAAATAAAACATAAAAAAACGTTTATAATAATCTTTGTGTAAATACAATGAAAATAAGAATTAAACTAATTTACTTTCTTTAATAAAAGTATTGGTCATGAGATCTGTTACATGTTTTAGCAACCAATGCATTGATTTAAGAAAGCAATTTAGTTATATTTTAGTACATTTAAAAGTTAATTATTGAAACAGTGTCACTATATCCACCTTCAGTTTTTGGTCAACATAGGGAAAATTGTTAAAGGGAAAATTATAGATGCACTAACTAGTTATAGTTTTTTTAAAAAAATATTTTATTTATTTTACTTAACCTCTTTCCAGTATCTACTTTTAATATTTAGATAACACATTTATGGGGGTATATCAGCTTGTGTAAATTATAACTATTTCAAAGTACACATACACAAAATGCTTTTCTGTTTTATTTGGAAAGAGATTTTGCCCTTTGGCTGTCTTTAAAAGGTTATGCTGCCGCCTTCAAAAGAAAATTAAAATGGTTATCAGCTTGTATAGTTTTGGTTACTGTTTTGCCTTTCAGTTTCTGGGCAAGAGTTTTACATAGTGTTAGTTAAAAGTTCAGCTGATATTATCTGGTTCTTCTCTATAACATGTCTTCTTTAACAGCTCCCCCACCTCTTCTAATACAATGTCATGATGGGCGGGTGACGTTAGGTCTTAAGTGTGAACTTTTTGATGCTGTGAATGTGCTTTGGCTATTGGAAATTATATATCAAATTCATTGAAATACTGATTGAATAACTGAGAGTAAAAACAATTTATAAAATGCAAAAGCCTTGATTTCATTGAAAAAAAAATTAATTGCAGGAATTGAGGGAGAGAGTTCTTAGAGGGAAGTACAGAATACCTTTCTACATGTCAACGGATTGTGAAAATCTATTGAAAAAATTTCTGGTTTTAAACCCTTTAAAAAGGGCTAGCTTGGAGGTGAGTTGTATAACAGGCACAACTGAGAAGTTTTATTTGCAATAGTTTTATTTTTGGCCTTCTTGAAAGGAAAAAAAGTAAATTGTTTGTCAGATTACATATTGTAAGCTGACCATATAAAATGGTTGGCAACAAGACTGATTATCTTGTTTTCTTCCATCCATGTCGAGCTCTCCATTCTTTAAAAATTATAGTACTGTAGTCTTATATTTTACAATATTTGCTGGAAATCCAATCATTTACCTCTGATCTTTCAGTCCGTCTGATTTTTTTTTTCAACCTGCCCGAGAAACAAGATAAAACCTAATATAAATAGTATGCAATGTTTAATACAGATATTTGTAGTCTATTGTATGTAACGCAGGCTGCTGTTGCCCTATGACAAGGCTTAAAGTGTATAGTAATTATTTGTCAATCGCTTATATGAACTTTTTCTTTTGAGACATTAGGCACAGAGGGAGTTCAAAGAGCAATTATTACTAGTAACTATACTTTTCAGAGCATTTGAACCTTTTAAAAAATATATATTTTTAATATATTTTTCTTTCAGCTCTAAGGTAAAATAAACTAGACTATTTCAAGACCAGTATTTACATAATTTTAGAGATCTTTTGGCTTTTTTAAAAGCCTAGAAAAATGCATAAAAAGAACAAATAATATTATTTTTTTAATGTTGTAAAAAAATTAAATATTTTTCTTTATATAACATAGCCATTCACTAATTTTCTTTTCTTTCGCCAAAACTTTCTTTGATGCTCTTCTTCCCTTTATATTATAACTTCAGACCATAATGAAGGACAAGTGGATGAATATAGGTTATGAAGATGATGAACTTAAACCATTTATAGAGCCCCCTCCAGACATAAATGAACCAATGAGGATAGGTAATGACAGCAGCATCATTGCCACCACACAGCCCTTGCGCTCTTGCTTTATTCTTTTGAGCGCTGACTTTTTATCAAGAATTTTTACATCTTCTGTTGCATAGTTGGTCTTCCACTGGATGTCTTCATGTATCCTAACACCTTTTTAATACAACTTTGTCATGTGTTTGTAAGGAGGGCCATTTGCATGGTGCATGCTAGGGTGTTTAATGTTAAAAACTAATCCTAAGTCTTTGGAATTTTGTTTTGTTTCATTCATGTTACATCTTGGCAGGTGTTGATGAAATTTGCATCAGGTACTGTTTTTAGTTTTTTCCATTGCTCACCCTATTTTCTAGATTTCCAGTTGTGTACCCAGGTTTGATGTAGAAGGGCCCTCCTTTTTCTGGAAAATTTTTACTATGCTTTTTCTCAGAAAAACATGTTTATTTTATTGCTCAGACAATAATGAAAGACCGCTGGATCAATATGGGTTATGAAGATAGAGAATTAAAGCCATTCAGAGAGCCGTCGAAAGACGAACTAGACTCACAACGGATAGGTAATTGTTGTGTGACACTCCTTCGCTTGAGATTTCCTACAATCCATCTCCTTTGCTCATTCTGGTAAAAAAAAGAGCATTTGGTGCAACCAATTGGCATCAATCATTTTACTATAATAATCATGAATCATTCAAAACTCCAAATAGTTAGGATTTCTAAAGCATTAGTTACACCTGAGACTACAGAAAGTAAGGTAAAACCATATGAAAGGTAAATTTTGTCACCTTGTCTAATGTAAGAAAAGGCATGTACTTGTAGCATAGTAATTGGGTTGTTTTTTTTTTTGTGTAAGAAAATGTGTGAAGAATGCATGCTTATTTGTACTGTTTTGATTTATTTTCAAGTATAGTTGAACAATTTAGATGTAATCATAAAAAATGGAGATTTTTATCCAACTTTCAAAGTTTTAAATTGTCTGCTTGACTTAAAATATACATTATCTTTATTTCCAAATTAATTTTAAACCTGACACTTGTTTTCTGTCATTTTAAAATATACTCTGCATATTTCCTGATGTACATAACAAATAGTGTTTTTTTTTTAAAGCATATTTTTAAAAGCTCATGTTTATTAGCTAAATGTTGTACAGTGGTATTTTAGGAACTTCAATATACAGTTGTGTGCATGGCCCAAAAATGTGCATGAAATGTTTTTCAGTTTCTGTTTTGCAGCTATATTTTTTTTACCAAACCATACACTTTGTAAATATTTCAAACTGTTAGCGACTGCACAAGTAAGAATATAAAAATCTTGATTTGAAAAAAAAAATTCAGCATTGCACGGTCCTCAATAACCTGCGACAAAAATAATTTTCTTTTGTGCTCTATCTTAATTCTTCTTCTCTATGTAAAAGGGCTGTGTGTGGACTTAATACAAATTTAATTAGATATTTTTCATTAATATAATTAAATAATTGATAAAACATTTTTAAAATTTAGACTTGTTTTATGACTTGATTTTTTTATTGTAGAACTTATGATCAACATGGGTTACAATCGCAAGGATATTGAAGAGTCTCTTAAAATGCAAAAGTATGATGATATCCATGCTACATATCTGCTTCTTGGCAGACGTACAACAGACGTAAGTAGTTTAGTAAGTGTCAATCTTCTTAGTTAAATTGAATTCATGGAATGCAGCCTCCTTTTCAATCAAGTTTGTCATATTTATTAGCTGAAGATAGTATGTGCCATAACTGCTGAACAAACGTTTTATTTTTTCAATGAATTTTTCCATGGTACAAATAACACATATGTATAGCAAGAACATTACTGTTTTTTTTCCCTTCTAGCCTTAATTGTGTTAGTTGGCATGATTCAGGTTTGAAAATATATTTATGTACTGTTCAGTGCATTAATATATCTTGACGCATTATCTAGTTCAGAAACCGATAATATATAGTTATACATGAAGACATTGGTGGCTAATCTTAGAAATTAAATATGTATTAACAGCATGTTATGTCTGATCTACCTTTCAGTTGGAAGGCAGTGATAGATCAGGTAGCAACTTATCTCTCCAGCAGATACGGGTTCCATCATCACGACCTCATGATAATAATAGTTCTAGCCAATCTCCAAACAAGGTGCCTCGAAGCCAGTCAGCCACCAGCAGCTCAAATAATCAGAAGCCACGTCGTTACAGTCAGGGTGGAGAAAATAATGGCAATGGTAATTTGTTTTTTGTAAAATAAAAAAGATATAATGGGAATATATATTTCTTAAATGTTTTTAAAATTCCTTTAGCTTTTTATACATCAGTCCTGCATGTATTCTTTGATAAAAACATTAAAGTCATTAAGCAAAATAATTTCTGAAAACTTAATTATTTAAATTATAATAAAGTTATACTATGTGCTTGCCTTTAAAGGTTCGGGGAGTGTTAGTGCATCCCAGACACAATCAAATTCATCCCGGAGACCAACTACAGAATCTGCTGCCACCAAACAGAGTACTTTAGAAGAAAGAATGGGCAAAGTTTCAGTTGGGGGTGGAAATAGTAACAGTGGTGTTCCTGTAGTTTCTTCAGATTCTCCAAAGGTAACAGTATTTGGTTGTCATGTGAATTTTAGAATGTTTGTTGTACAATTATTTTTTCCACCCCGTTTTTTAAATTGACCTTTTGTTTTTGTATTAGCAAGGGGTTAAAACTTGAAAAATCCCTCTTTATTTAAATAAAGGTACTATTTATGGCTTGATGTGTAAATAACAACCAGTAACTGCACATTTTCAAAAACATCTTTGTTTTAATTATTTTTTTTATTGTACTACACGTTCGAATGCTCTGTTTATAATTTCTGATTCTCCAAATGCATGAATGCCAGCTTGCAAAACCTAAAAAATTTTAATAAGTTCCAAAATCAGCTTATAGTTTATCTCTGCCAATTTCTTTATCAATAGATAGTTTTATAAATTTAATCACACTATCTACAAACCCATGGCAGCTGGTAATACTTTTGTTGAATAATTGTCAAAATTTCACTACATTGAAGTACAGTTACAGCCATTTAAACATGCATCATACTAAAAATATAAAAAAGCCTCTACACTATTCAATAATAAATATGATGCTCTGGATTTTCAGGTGATCATTGCATGTCCCTTTTTTCTTTTTGAATAAAGTTTAAAGTGGCCACTAAATAACTCCTGAAACGTTTTTTGCTTAGTTTCCCATAAAAATCATTTTAGCTTTTCAGCTTTTCAAGATGTTAGTTTTTAATACAACCAGTGAAATTTGAGTATTATATTAAATACACTTTTATTCTGGAATCAGTTTTAGTTCTTGAAAAAAGCTTTAAAAATTTTTGTTTAGCCACTAACACCATGGAATACAGCTGAAATTATTTAAAATAACTGTATAAAATTGTAAAAAAAAACATTTGAGTGAATGCTATATGTTCAGCTATAGAAACAACTGTTGAGTATGCATGCCTTTACACGGCCTGTACGTCTCTCAGATTCAAACAGGCAAGAGCACAGCAAATCATTCAGACAGTACAGAAGTTGTTAGTTCACTCAGCAATAAGCCAAAGAGTCCTTCAAAAAACTCCATAGATTCTCCTAAGGTATGGGGAAAGTACTGTGAAATGATCATATCTTTCTGCTTTGTTTTATGCTTTTATTGGGGTGTGGTTGACTATTATAAATTACACTATCTACTAGCAAAATGTGTGTGTATTATATGATATATACATATTTATATATATATCTACATTTATTAATCTACTGGTCATGCACTTAAACCATACAAAGTATTTAGTTAGCTATAAACATATTTTTCAAAAACATTACTTTCAAATATGAAATATTAAAATAAGTTTTAAAAATAAAACCCTAGTACTTGACCGCCTATTTATTTCAATCTGTGTGTGATAACATTAATAATATTATACAAGACACTCCTTTTACTAATATCTTCTTTAATGTGGATCACGGGTTGGGAAACATCACTTAAAACAGCCAAAATACAGATTGATAAATATTTAAGCTTACAGATAAATTTGGAGAGGCAGCGAAATTCTTATTGTAATTTTAAGTTAATTTGCATCTAATTAGATTTTAAAAGGGTGTAAAAGATATACATATAATTTAAGTTTTTAAAAATTGCAATTAAATTTATATTATGTAATGCTAGGGCTGCCTACTTTCACCATTTATTCTGTAGTTTCACAGTGTAGACTATGTTACTGTGTTATTAGGTTGAAACTTTTATGTATTTGTCATAAAGTAAAAATCTAGTTTTCGGAAAATTAGTAAAAATGAGTAAAAGTATATTTAAAAGGCAACAAGCCTTTTGCTTTTAAATTTTGAAATATTTATCAACTTTTGTTTCCTGTGCCTGGTGGCTTATAGTCTGCTTGTTTGTTTACAGATGATAAATTTGGCAATAATTATCTTGTAAATGGTAATTTAAATAAGCAGATAATGTTCATATGATCTGTGTAAAAAAAATTGATAGAATACAGTTAAAGTGCATTACAATGGAAAATAAATGCTTCTGTTACTGAAAATTAAGTGGGGGTGCTGCAGCCCTGACATCTATGCAATACAATACAGATGGAAGGGGGTTAGGGTTAAGACCGAATGAGGAGAGCATACCAACAATTTTAGTATGGCCCTGCCTGGAAAAACAAGTTTCTCCTTATTAGCTTATTATTCTGAAAATATACAACTAATTTAATGAGTATTCAAGAAATCTTTTTTTTTTATGTATTAGTCCTTTTGCACCAATCCTGCCATAATCAACATTATATTAACAAATTTGGCACTTTCCCAGCTAATTTTAAACAATTTATCCAGAAATCATTTTATAATAAATACTCAAGGTACCTTATATTTCCACACAAAAAAAAAATTCATTCTTTAACAAATGAGCTGATGGTCATCTTCATACAATACATATATGTAAAGAAATATTACAACTGTAGCTCTGCAACTTATAAAGGCAACTCTAGTAGTGATTAGTAGAGTCATTTATATATATATTTTCTATTAGATGCATGCCAGAAAAGGTTCAAATCATTCCACTTCATCATCTAAAGAGAACACAGTCCCATCTTCGCGTCCTAAGACTCCTAGGGGCTCAACGGAGGGCATGAAGGTATGGGGTCAAGAAAGCTGGTTCTTGGCTCATAATTTGTCAGTTATCCAGTTTGACTAATTTCTTTTTAGGTAGTCAAGCTAAAAAAAAATGCAATCTCCTTATTTAAAATCTAAATTAGTCTGATGGCCCAACCCTTTGTGTAATTAACTATTATTTATATTCACAACAAAAAAATAATATTTAGCTTTGTTTAGACGTAACTCAAGATCTAATCAGTATGTATTTGGAAATCATTATTAGTTTTTTAAAAAGTTCAAATATTTGCAGCTGAACATTTAGCTTATAGTACTTATACTATAATTATATAATAATATACTTAAATTAAAGCCTATTTATAATACTGCAACCCTTTTATTTAAAATTTTCAGTAAAACTTTGCATGTTTAAGGAATGGAAGCCTTAATTAATTTGATGCTTGCATGCTAATTTATTATGCTTATTTTTCTACTAACATAATATTTTATTTTCATCAAGCCTTTTAAAAATTATCGATGCTGTAACTGTAATAGCATTTGGTAACAGAAACCTGTATAAAGTTTTTATAAATGCTTTTTAAAAGTAGAATAAAGACATTTATTTTTTTAAATTTTGGTAGATCATATTTATCTTAATAAAAGTAACTGATTTTAATTAATTTATTTCCTAAATGTATTTTATAGTTCCTAGAAATTCAATTTTTAGCTTCTGTTCAAATTATTTTTAAAATGATTTAAAACTAGCTTTGAAACATTTTTAACAATGCAGCATAATATTTAATCAGCTGTTTAATTTTATTTTTCTCTATTCACATTAATTACAAAATTACATTAAATTAAGTGGCATTTTTCTGGCTAAGATGCTGTATTTTCATTGATGCAAAGAATAATTATCTTTTAAAAAATTAAGTGGCAAAAGGCCTTAAAAAACTACAAAACACTCAATAACACTATCACGACTTGTTTAAAATAAAAAAGAAGATGGGTGTGTTGTGCATCATACTTGTTGCCACATCTAGCTTCTTTAACCCGCAAAAATTGGCATAATTATACATTTGAAAAAATTTGATTTGGTATCAGTTGTTGTTTTTTTTTTTTTATTCTTTCTAATATTTAAAAAAAAAAAATAAAAAAAAATGTTAACTCTAATTAAAATTAGATCACTGGTCAGACTGCAATACGAGCAACAATGCCCACTAGGAAGAGCAATCATTCAGCATCTGCTACATCATCTGCAACTCCAAAAACTATAATGAGCCATAGTCACAGTACAAGCATTCCTCGGCGTAGTACATTTAGTCCAGGAGATAACAGGGCAGTTACACCTGGTGAAAAGCCAAGGCCAACTAATGGACAAGATACACGCAGGTATTTTATTCTGTTAAAAAGCTTTCGCAGTAATGGGAAATCTGCATAAATTCATAATATGATTCTTTGATATGGATTCCAATAAATCCCAAATTTTAATAATTTTGGCATTTTTAAAAATTATGTTGAATTAATAAAAACTTTGAAATAACTTAAATGTCTGTACTATTGTTTTATTGTGCTAATTGTAAATTTATTACAGTTTTTAAAAAGCCATTCTATTGCTTTAAAATATACTTGTACCACAAATTTTCACTTTTTATAAACCTATTCTAGCAACGCAAGTTCAACACCACCAGAACCCCCAAGTAGTACAAGTTCAACTCCCACGCCATCATCAGCTAGACCGAAAGGACATGCAAAATCTAACAGCATGTCCCAATCGGCTCGAGCCAGTGAATTGCCTTCAACTATAAGTGATGGTGATCAAAGACCTACGTAAGTTCTTTTTTAAGTTTTCTTTAAAGATATTTTGAAGTACACTCATACCTGATTATGTTTTTGCTTATGTTAAAATGGTTACTCATATTTAGGACTGCTCCTGGAAAAACGCCTGCCATATCCCCTGGTGTAAAGCCTAATTTAACAAGAGGTACACAGGCAAGAAACACATTCCATGGCCGCGATGCACGTAAACAAGTGGTAAATCCTTATAATGGACCTGGTGGAGTAACTCAACATCCTGCAGACTCATCAAACATGGCTGGACAAAGGCCATCCTTTTTCAATAGGATAACTTCAAAGTTCAGTCGAAGGTGAGTATGTAAATAAGATATCTTTGCTTATTAGTTGTTCATTCAGTATTTCTATTTTTTGTTTTTGTTTAATTTAACAGAAAAGGTTGAATATTCATTCTGTCAAATCAGTTTCAATTTTTAAAAAACTTCTTGAAGCATTCATTTTCACCAGCAAAAGAAACCCATGTAAATGTTTATCATGAAGTTTTTAAACTGAAATTTATTAAAAACAATTCTCTCAAACTCTCATTTCTTTATTATCTTATTCAGTCCTGGAATGAGGTATTTATGTCTGATTTCTTTGCTTTGACATGTTGTTTGTTTGCACTTTCAATCCAAGTGTAAACTAGCTTTTTGTGAACACCGTTTTTTTTTGTATAGTTAGAGGAACGATGAAATTGATTACATGATAAATATAATATGATCCATGAAACCCATTTAATTCAGATACACCATACTAAAATGTATATTTTGCTTATATTCCTCAATTTAGTATACTATATGTCCACATCTTACTGATTGTCTGATTATCAGTAAACTTTTTTGTTGTTTACTGTGTGTCAGTGTGATTATTATGAAATTTTCTTTAATATAAAAATGAGTAGGATAAACTATCATGGATATTTTCAAATTTTGTGCATATTTATCCACATATTTATAAATTGCTTAGACATTAGGTACCAATTATAATAAGTTTATCAGAGAGCCTGATAGCTCATTTCACCGTCTCAGTCAATAATGCTTTACCCAACTATCCAGTGAGCTTTAAAAAAGTACATTTAAAAAAAATATTCTACTTAATTTAAGGTTATTTTATTAAATAAAATAAATTTTGAAGCTACATTCTCAAAAGTATTATGTATTTCCCACTCAATTTTAATCATACATCCTTTATTTAGTGATGCATTTTTAAAATAAAATGTAAATCGACAAATTCTTTAATGTCATTTGCAATTTTGATATATAAAAAAATGATCAGATTGTTCCTGTAAAAATTGTTTACCTTTTCCTAGATAAGAAATTTTAGTAGATGTGTGCCAAACCATAAACACTATCAAACTTCAACCAGTCTTATTCATCCTCCCCCATTCACATAAAGAGTTGTAATATGTTAAATATTGTTTAACTTTTCTCATAAGAAACATGTTTAAAAACTAAGTTGTTGCAACTTTTATAAAAAGAAATCTGGGTGTTTAGCGTCTAAGCACCTTCTTGTAGAGTAAAAAACTAACAAAATAATAATTTGTATCTTTATTGGCTAGTTATATCATTTTTTAACTAACTGGGGCTGCTCTTTTTTTTTAAACACTGTTTATGTATTATCAAAATTTCAGTTGGTTCTTTCTATAATTTATTTTGGTTTTGAAATTTAATATTTAAGGTGTTTTTTTTTTTTACACAAAAATAATTCTGATCAAATATCCTCAAAAAAATTATTTGGGCTTTGATAATTCTTGAAATTTCTTAGCAAACTGTGACCATTTTCTTTGAGTGCTTATTGTTATTCTATTAATAAACTTGGCCAAGTAACTTTTTCAGACATGAGAATCGACTGTGAAATGTTTTCCCAAAACTAAAAGCATTTTGTACATGTGTATGAAATTGTTTTTTAAAATGTTTTTTACCACTGCCATTTCCTATCAGTTTTTAAATTATTTGACCTAAGCTTTTAAAAAAGTTCATGTTGCATCATGATTGAATATGATTAGTATTATATGAGGCTTGCATGTGTTGCTACTGATTTGTTAAAGATGCTTTATTTTAAAAAGCTTATCCATCCTCAAAATAGTTAAATTATATTTTTTAAATAGCTTATTTATCCTCAAAAGCTATTGATACAAGGTAATTCTGTTCACTCCTTGTTATTTAAAAAAACCCACCCAAGACTGTTTCAAAATGTTAATCATTTTAAGATAATTTGTGCATCCTTACTAGCATGAAAAGCTGTGCTCTCATAATCATTAACTTTACTACCCCTCTTCTATTTTCACAGCAACAGATATAACTTTGTGGCTAGCATGGTTTTGTTCTTTAATTGCTGTTTTTTTAACAGAATAGAAAAAAAAATGTCATTGTTGCTTCTCTACCTCCATTGACTTGATGTCTTTCTCTTCCCCCAATGCCAACTACTAAATTTCAGACCTGAAGGTGGATTGCAGAGCTCCTCTCCCCATGCATATGCCAGCGGGAGGGCTCCCGCCCTGTCACCGTGAGTACATCAACACAATAAATTCAGAAAAGATTCTTCCCAGAAGATATGCAGTCCAACTTATCCCAGTCACATGAATGCACATAGACTATTTGGGTGCTGTTGATCAGCTCTCATGTTATTTTATTACAGCCTGTGGAGTAGATTAAATGTCTTTCTTTATACCCATAACGTTAATTTAGATTATGTCAAGCACTTAGTTTAAAAATTAGTATTCTATGATTGAAGTTAGTGTGGGGGCCCCAAAAGCATATATGTATCCTTGCATTGTCATGCTTATGCATACTTTTAAGAATGTAATTTATTGTAATCAATTATAATTCTAATAAAAATAGTTTGTAATTTTATGTAATATACATATAACATTTTCTGTGCAGTGACACTCATTTTTTAACTGCTTTTTTGCTAAATATACTAATTTTATTTTATTTTTATTAGTGCATGAATACCCTTCCTATGTTAAATTGAAATTTTTCACAATGTCTTGTATTTTTTTTTCCACCTAGATTTGTGTGCATAGCTAAATCCTAAATATTTGTGCCATGAAATCTAACGCTTCCAAATTTATATAAACTACTTCAGTATATATTGGTGTTTAGATACCAACAACTCATTTTGACATTTTTAGTATATGGAATTGTTTTGAGGTATGGATAATGCTACTTCTTTAGTACATGACCTACTGTTTTTATGTTCCTGATGTTTGAAATCAGTTCCATATTACCAATTTTACAAAAGAAGATTCAGATGGTTCCAAAACATTGTGGGTTTTACAACCTCCATTCTCATGATTTACACATGTAATAAGGGTTAAAAATGTCAAAGCAGGAAATAAAATGAAAACTTATCGAATGCTTAAAATTGTAAAATTTTGTATGGAAAGAGGGGTAGTTGTGTTTATGCAAAGTACTAGTATTTTGTTTAAAAAAAATCTTAAGGCACTACAATTTTAGTCTTGAACACCTGCTTTTGCAAATAATCCATAATTGCATATTGTTTTGTAGATGTTGTTTCATTTTGTCTCATCCCAAAATCTATTACTAATTGATTTATATTCCTTCTATTACTCTGTACATAGAACTATTCTTTTTCAGTATGGTTTTTCTAAAGTATTTTTACCCACGCTTCAGCTTCATGCTTGGTTCGGGTGTCACTGCCAATAGCTGTTTTTGTTTCTAATTTGCAGCCACGTTTTTCGCAGGTCTATGTCTGGGGAAACACGGGACCCAGAGGGTGTCAAACCCAGATCACTCCGTTTTACATGGAGCATGAAAACCACAAGTGCAATGGATCCCAATGATATGATGAAAGAAATCAGAAAGGTTGGTTAATGCATCTTTTTAGAACACTGAAATGAACTTCCATCGAATTTTCTAAAAATTCTTTTAAAAAGCAGTTATCTCCCCTCCCCTCTTGTTTATTATTTGTTGTAATTGTAATCGCCATAAGAATTTTATAAGATTGAAACAATTTGAATTATTTATTGAATAATTAAATATGAATGCAAAAAAATGCTATATATTTATCAGTTATCATTATTACATTACTGGTATATTATTATTACTACACAGTTTGTTGGTTGGTTGAAGGAAACCTTAGCATCATTACATATGACTGAAATTAAAATTTTGTTTTTAAAAATATTCCTATCATTTGTTATCTTTAATCATTTATAATTTCATTCATATTTTAATACATGTTAAAAAGCAAGGTAACAAGTATACTTTCTGCAGGTTCTGGATGCTAATAACTGTGACTATGAGCAAAGGGAACGTTACCTTTTGTTATGTGTACATGGAGACCCCAACACAGATAGCCTTGTTCAATGGGAAATGGAAGTTTGCAAGCTGCCACGCTTGTCACTTAATGGTGTTCGTTTCAAGCGCATATCTGGAACATCAATAGGATTCAAGAACATTGCATCCAAGATAGCAAACGAGTTAAAACTTTAGCAATCATTCTTTTAGCAATTATTTATTGTTGTCTTTATGTCTGTGGTTCCCACATAATGAGGATGTTTCTTTTTTGTTGTATGTTGTTTTTTTTTTGTGTGTGTGTAAGAATCAATAGTGCCCCTTAGATGACTTCTCAGGTTTGGTCCATTAAGGATCATTTGCTACTCCTTGTTAAAGTGAGGGTGAAAATATTTTATATTTATAATTCTTTCTGTAGACTTTTTTCTACATTTTTATTGTTAATGGACTATACCACCTGTACTAGTTTTAAATTTGATTTGGGTGGGTGGGGGTTGACTATCAAGTGATTAGTTTTTCTCTAAATAGTTGTGCTACAGTGTATAATTATTTTAATATACATGTACAAATAAATGTAATCTAAATCTGCTTGTTGAACAAATGGTGATTTATATGGCAAATTTTAATTTCTATTATGTCGACCAATATTAGTTTCCAAGGTCACCTTATTTTCATTTCATCACAAAAAGCTACATTATTTGTCATCTTTTCTTCTTCTAGATTAGATGGCTTTAATGATGTGGCTTGAGATGAAGAAATCAGTGGCCTCTGATGGAAACTACCAAACTGTCTACTGTGGGGTGCATCAGTTTAACATTTTTTATTTTATTAAAGAACAATACAAGCTGATGGACTTCATTTCTGTCTTCAATCATAGAACTGATAATCACAAACTGTGTACCATCTTACAAACCTTTTACGGCTGTGAACAATAACATAGTGCATATTTTGTTGGACTATCACGACTAAAAAGTGTTTAAAAAACTTCCTTATGCATATTAATCTGATTGGTAGAGGTTGAAGGAAAAAAAACTATACAATTTGAAATTAAATGTTTAGATTATGTGAAGAGAAAGAAAGTTTTATAATGATGTGCACACACATACAAATAAATGTATAAAAACACAAAACTGGTTTTAGAATGTTATGGTATTTATTAGACAAACACTTTTTTATAACAGTGATGTTATTTTTTATACATTAATTGCATTGTTAAGGTAGCATTTAATTTCAATATTGTTTAAACTGCTAACAAAAACAGTTGTGTTTAACAGCTCACAACATTATATTTCTTGACAGTTATATTTTTTTTAGTGCACTAGTAATGTTTGTTTGTTTTTTTAAATTTAAGAATGAAAAAAAATATTCTTGAATAGTTTAGCTATAGAGTACTACTTATACTACAGTTGAAAATTAACTTGATTATATTTTTAATTGCATTCAGTAATTTCATTTTGGTAATGTTTGTTTTTAGATGTCAAAATCTTGCACTTAAAATATTTTACACTGGTAAAAGTTTTACTTTGCTTATCAATTTGTCCAGTTTGTGCTTCTTTAATTTAATGGTATAAGCTAGTTTTAGTATTTTAATAAGTTTTTTTACATTATAAGTGTGAATTCAGGTTGAGATGACTCACAATTGATTGGTCACATGGTAATAAAAGAAATAATTTAAATAGCCTGCCACAACTTTGTGGAGATTTGCAATTTTGACTAACCAATTCTGAAAGACAATAGTAATACTTGTAGTTATGCACTTGAACTTCTACTTCTTAAAGTTGATTAAAAATAACTTATGAATTTTGAATAAGTAGGTATTTTTAACGGATGTTTCTGGTTCATTCAAATGGAAAAATTTAGTTTTTTTTCCTTCAAGCATCTGTTTATTTGACATTTTGTACTTTGATACACTTGGACCTATGTAAATTTTGTATAAAGAAAAATCTATTATTTCACATTGTACAGCACTATAAAAGTTTGGATTGGTTGCAATGTATGAAGTTAATTTCTTGGTTTGTTTCTGGTCTTTTCATGTACTTGTATTTAAAGAAAAGTACTAGAAAAATGAGAATTTAGATTTTATATTAAATGCACCTATTTTGCTTTTAGCAAATATTTGTCTTTTTGGTAAACAAGATTGGCTGATGGTGGTCAGTGTGACTTCATTATTCTTTTATGCAAGTCCTTTTTTTTTAGTTAATGGAAAATTCAATTCACCATTAAAACTTTAAAATATCAAAATTTAGAGAGAATAATAAACAAAATAAAATTGTCCACAGTTACATCATTTAAAAAAACTAAGACACCTTTTTAAAATAAAAACAAGTGTAGTTCTTGTACAACATACCTATTTGGCAAGTTATTACATTTTTCATGTACAAATTCTTACTGGGTTTTTAAATTCAAAAGTTCCTTTTAGGTTCAAACTATTTTGTAGTTACCCAGCTGGGTTTTGCATTATATTTTATGTATGGTTGCTTTTTTGTGATGTGACAGTTCTTTTATGTGATTTATTCCCAGTCTTGTATAGTGCATTTACCAGGAGGCTGATACTTTTTTCATTAAAAAAAAGCTAATTGAATTATTTCAACATTTAGGGTTAGAACATTTCTTGTCAGATGTTGTAAATACTCATACTAATTGCTGAGTGAATGTGTATAGGTATGTATGCCAAGAAAATCTGTACCCTTACTATGGCTGACCAAGCTGTAGAGCTGTAAAAAATATTTTAGCTTGTTCTAAGTAGCCTGTTATTTATGATTAGTTTTGTATGGATGAGCACATTTTAAAGTATTGTCACTGGTTGTTTTAAATTAGTGTGTGCAAATCAAGCTCACATTTCCACTTCTAATGAAAGTAGATTTAATGGTAAATTGTATTGCTGACTGAAATTCCAAGTCATTAATTAAAACATTTTTATTTGTAGCTGAACTAACTCCAGCACTGTTTTCTTTCCCCTCCTATGCAAAATAGATTCTTTGCTTTTTTTTTTTTGTCATTTTGGGCATATGTACCAAGATTTTTAAAAATTCATTTTTAGCTTGGAATCAAGCAGTTTTTAAATATAGTTGTACTTTCAATGCCTTTAAACTGGCACTCTGAGTATTAAAGTCCACATGAAAATGTACTGCAAAATTTTTAATTTGTTTTAAGTTCTTGGTTACCTAGAGAATATTTTTGTTAAAACTTTCTCTGGATCAAATTGTGTGGTCGGTTTTGGTCGTCATATTTTTCATGTTTCCTTATACCTGAAGTTTTTAAATGAAAAAGATTCCAATTCCAGATAATTGATTGTTTTTATTTCTTTAAAAAGAATTTACATCTATCATTTCATTGTTAAATATTAGAATGTGAGAAGTTGTGTGTAGACCTATTTCTTTACCTATTGATTGTTGGAATGCTGAAAGAACAAGTACAGTTATTTTAAAGAAAAGAATTGGATCATTGTATATTACTTTGAGCTGGAAGTTAATACAGACTTTAAAAGATTTATTATCAAACTGTTGAGAAATAATAGGCCTTTAGGATTTTAAGTTGCTTTACACGTGTGTAATACTTGGCTGGAAAAAAGTTGTCTGCCTTAGTAATTACTCATCAGAGATTTCATGTCTTAAATAAAAATTTATGAAATTAAAATATTTTGAAAACAAAATCTAATTTAGATCACAATTATGAAAATAGAACTAGGCAATAATAACATTTATACATATTGACATCAAATTTTTAGAAGTGTTGATGAATCATGGTACTAACAAGCACAATTTTCTATAGCAGAATTCAGATGACAATATTGGTATTAAAACTGTAAAAAGATATACCTATATTGGCAACTCTGTGATGTATTGAGTTACTGTGGTAGAATTCAAATTGTGTGTTGTTTGCCAGCAAAGGGCTTTCTTCTGCATTAAAATAACCTGTATGTCAGTTCATTGTCTATGGTTTGCAAAAATCCTTAACCTGGGGATTATCAAACTGTTTTTCCAATTTAATTGCACTTAAATTAATATAAATAATATATCAGTTGTGTGATTGAAAAGTTGAAAGTGTCAAAAAGTTTAGTTTGCTTGAACTGGTCATGTGATACATTTTTTTTTTCATTAAAAAAAAACTTACTTGTGGGCTGAAAGTAATTTTAAGAATGTTTTACATTGTGTGTAAGTTTTGACATTTCCATATGGCCACTTGTAGTGTTGTCCACTAACATTGAAACCCAGTAAATTTCATGGAAAATGTCTAGATTTTTTATTTTTATTTTGTGGTTTTTCGTTTTTGTAATATTGGCTGAAATATTTCTATTCAGCTTCTTCATTTAGAAGTTTTGAGCACTCTACCATTCATCAGTTATCATGCATTTGTTAAAAATGAAAACCAATTTTTAAAAGACTACTAGTTTGTTTACACTTTTTTATTTCAAGTCACTACATGTACTTACGTACATTTAATGATATTTAAACATTCTCAGCCACCAATATTTAGAATTAAAATAGTCATAAGACTCTAGAACAAATCAATTTACATTTGGAACACTACATCTTTTAAACAACTTTTCTTGATATTCCATGAATTCCAGTATTATCAATATACACATCAATTTCACTTTCTGGTGCATGTGGAGCAAATATTACTCTGAGTTTTCTATGTGTTGGTTCATTGTTCTTCAAAGACTTTGTGTCTAGATGTTCTAAACCTTGAGTAAAATATGGTTTGCAAAGCATTATTCTGCTTGTGATTTGATTGGACCATGTTAGACCTAATGCAGGAATGACTAAGCTCTGTCCAGAAGGTGGACTCAAATTAGCAGAAACCTGAAAATTAACGACCTTTAATTAGAAGATATATTAGCAATAATATCTCAAAGTAGGACATTTAATCATAATATAAACAAGCTATCATTGTTATGTGTATGTATACATATAATATCAATATTTTATATTTAAATCACGTAAAAATAGGTAATAAAGTTGGAAGGTTTAAATAATAACAGAAAAAGTGCATGAATGATAACAGTAAAAATACGTTGTATTTTAAATTATACAGAATTCAATAAAAACCTTAGGGTACCCACCTGATTCACACAAATCACAGGGATATTGTATTGAAATGCAAGGTGCCGTAATACAGACGCAAACTTGGTTAGGTGTTTTGCCCTTTCTACAGTCTGTGTGTGATCATAGTGACAGCGAAATAGAGCAGCCACTGAATCTATCACGATCAGTTGCACCAATCCTCTTTTAAGGAGGGTAGGTAATTTCTTATTTACACAAAACTCCAGCGTTTCCTAAAATAGTTTACAAGGTTGCTACTTATTTATAGTATGATCATCAGGTAGTGTCTAGAATCATTAAATGTGTACTCACAAAGTCTGCTACATGTTCTATAAATATATTATCTCCCAAGTTACAAGACGGTAATTTAGAAGAGTGGCACTGAATCAATTGCTGGAGACGCTTGCTTGGAAATGCATCTTCCGTACAAATGTAAACAGCCCCTGAAATATTAGAGTTAGCTTTTGAGAAGGGTGTTTGTATTTTTTTTAGGTGTATGGACTTCAGAAAACCACAACTATTAGTAGACTGGTGAATGCTCAAGACAAAATGGGAGGAAACATAACTAATGAATATCTTAATTTTTGTGCCTATGCTTTTCAGTAAATCTTCATAGTGTTTTGGCCAGTACAAAAAGTTTGCTTAATATTCCTGGCACTTGCCCTAAAGTAAAAAAAAATATCTACTCTGATATTGTAAACAGATGCGCTGATTTATATACCCTATAAAATTGTAGGTCTTTATAATCTAAAAAGGCACTTCATTGTTTGATGGTTTGGACATTTCTATTTTTTACCTCCAGGATGTTCGTTATTCAACTGAACGCTAATACATAGCTGAAGACAAAGTTGTGTTTTTCCACACGCACTTTCACCAGAAATTTCTGTAATTAACCCAGATAGAAAACCACCTATGGAGATTGAAAAAAAAGTTGTAAAAACAATAAAGCTAAATTTAATTATAAGCAATTTCTGTTATTGTTAACTATATTTTTAGATACACATTAAAGAAAATCTGTTGAAGCTATTACTTAGAGAGTAAATGTATATGTCTTAAAAGCTGATTTCTTATACAGAAATAAGTAAACTTTTAAAAAGTATAAATTTAATGTACAAACAACCTACAACACAAACTAATAATCAAAACTTAATAAAAAGCATTTTAAAAAATCTTGTAACTTTGCATGTTAAAATAGTCTGGATTTGTTTCTATAGCCTTTGACCATTCAAGAACATACTACTAGGCAGCAGTTTGTTTGATTTTGGGGATGGGTTGCCCTCTTCTATAAAACCTTATCTGCCCTGGGGTTCAAAATTGAGACTTTTCGGTTAGCAACTATGAGCGTTACCAACCCAACCACACTGACCAGAAATAAACAGTCAAATGTATCCAGTTAACTAGTCCACTTTAAAAGATATTTACACAGGCAAGATAAACATAGTATATTTCCAAACAAAATTACATAAGAAATACCTATTTAAGAATAAAAAGTATTTCAGCATCATTGTTTCTGTTATAGAACATAATCATCATTTTTTAAAGGCCTTTAAAAACTAACCTCTCAAAGATATATCAATTACTTTGCAAAATGATGACAGCTTCCAATGTTGCAAGGAACTGTCAGCTTTGTTGTTGAGAATATCTAAAACTGCCAAACAAAAAAACAAAAGGGCTTAACACTTGTATTTTTTATTTATCAAGTTAGTTGCCAAATAACAATTTTTTAAAGCCTGGAGTCGTGTGGCATTTTTTTCTTATACTTATACTTCTTCTTCGTTCTTAATTTTAGTGTTCGAAGGGATTCCCTCCAACACAATTAAGCATTACATTTACATTTAATGGCCATATAGGCCATTGACTATGATTTCAGCCTGCTTTTTTTTTGGATTTGCTTCCATAGCCTTTGTCCAACCAAGAACAAACTACAAGGCAACAGTTGTTTGATTTTGGAGTTGTCATTCCTAGAAGAGTTGCTGCCCCCAGCTGTTGAGTGTCATCTACCTAGAGGTTCGAACTCAAGACTTTTCGGTTCAGCTTTAACGACTCGACCATGCTGACCTCATTATAGTATACAATATTTGAAAAAATACTGGTGTTCCTTTAAAATAAAAGGACTGCTCCATGAGTAATAGTTAAAATACAGTAACTGTTTTTCTGAGCCTTGTAAGTTATACACTGCAATAACACACAGAATAACAAGCTGTTATGTGATCAGCAAATTATAAAACAGCAATTTTAATATTTTTTGGAGAGATTTTTGTTAGTAAGGCCTATTGTAAGTAAAGAAAGTGAAGTTCTCCTCTGAACCTAATGACCAAGGGGCAGGAGTAGAGTTCACCTGTGTCTGTGACCACAGGATAGTTTGGTCAGCACTATGCACAGCCACCTTTACTTTCCCAAATGTAAGTCAGGTATGCTACGACTCTAGCCAGGGATCGCAACTTGAGACATGGGTTAGTAGTCAAATACTCTATCATTGGCCCACGCCATCAAGGCCTATGGATTAATGGAAAAAGAAAAACGTTTTTAATTTAGAATTAAACGTGTATATTATGCACAGACTAAACAACCTGATGGGAGAAGCTGTCGAGTAATACTTTGCACTTTTATTTATTTACTCTAGAGCAGGGGTCTCCAAACTTTTCAGTCCGAGGGACGCATAAACTATCAAATTTCAGTTCGGGGGCCAGTTTCTTCCAGGCATGTCTTTGATTTTTCTGGGCAAAGTTCCTCTGCCATCACCAACAAACGTTTTTTCCGTGGACAAAAAGATCTCCGCGGGCCGAATGAGAGGACATTGTGGGCAGCATCCGGCCCACGGGCCATAGTTTGGAGACCCCTGCTCTAGAGGATGTCACAGAATACAATTAAGTGCGTAAATATAGGTAAACAAGAAGTGGATAAAACACTATTTACAATGAGTACCTGTGTCTTGTATCTAATGAATCAAATAAACTTTATTAAATGATTTTTTTGTGGAGGTCATTTTAAAACTGAAATTTACCATTGAATGGTTTAAGTATATACTTTTCTGCTAATGAGTCTTTTAGTGCAGAGACTTCTGTAAGTGAAAGACTAGTGAGGCGCTGGATGTCTGGATTTGATAAACTTAGTATCAATCTGCAGTCTGTTAGCATGGCTGGAAAACAAAGAAAACATTTGATTTCACATGCTTTATGTACTGATAGTATAACAAGTGGTAAACTTGACAGGATTTATTTTTTTAAATTTACTTTAAAAAAGCATTTTTAAAGGAAATTATCTTGATCTTCGTATTAAGGTAATAACGAAGTTGAGTTCTTCTATGTTTGTATAAATCTGTAGACATTGGCCCACTAGACCCTGTCGAGACAAATTAATTTTTTTTACTCTAATAATTAATCTTTAGTACAAGAGAATACGAAAAAACTGAAGTAGATTCACTATTTTTAAACAATTCACATCACCTTATATATATATATATACATACATATATATATATATATATATATATATATATATATATATATATATATCATTATTATCATAGTCATGAACCAATTATGATATATATTATTATACTAGTGTACACTGTTGTTGCAATATGCACATTTCATCAGGAAGAAAGCCAGACTTTCAGTTTACGTTAATCACACTCTGTAAATGTAAGGATGAACATCCCACAACGACCTCCCTGGTATCAGGGACACTCTCTGTAGCCCACCGGTTACACTACCGTAGGGGTGCATTGTGCCGTGGCCACCCCTATTTTGGTTTAACAGCTAAATCAAGTACTATCCCCAACTCCCCATTCAGGACGCCCAATGGACCCCATGAGCTCAGGTAGCCGCTGGGAAACTGGGGGTGCCCAGCCATACTATATTTCCGGACACCAGATGATGACCCTTTTTCAATTTATTCATCTATTTTAGTAGCCTACCATGTCCCTAATTATTTGTTCTCTTTAAATTACTGCAGGCACCAGAGTGCTCATGGGGGAGTTTGGGCAGTTCAGGATCACATTTCCGACTCGATTGCGCGTAAAACACCTACATTTTTATAAGACTGAATTTAGAATTTTAGCCTGATTAAAAAAAAGTTCCCTATACTCTGAAGATCTATATGATGTGCTTAGGTGTAAGACAGTGAAAACTGTCAAAATTTCATTACAATACTTCCTCTATTATACTCTATGTCTGGTGTTGTGAGAAAGTTAAAGAGAATATTTATAATTATAACTTATTATATAATAATAATATAGATCTATATCATAGGCTTCGCGACCCTTCCCGGCACCCGGGGACAAACTTTCGATTTGCACCCCCCCTCCTCAAACTTTCAATTACTTTTTCCATCCCATTTTGGCGCCCCTAGGGTCGGTGCCCGGGGACATATATCCCCCCCTTCCATCCCATCTGCTATATATAAATATAACTTAAAATAATTTTTATTAGTCGACTAAGAACTTAGAAGATTTAAGAATTAGATTCTAGATCTTTATTAGGCCTATAATATAATTAAATATAATTAAATATAAATCTATATTCTAACTAATATCATCATTTTTATAACTGTAATGTTAATTTATAGATTTAATGATCTAATAATTTCCGAGTAATTCTAAAATAAATTTATTCTTCCTGTTAGTCTCTAGATCTAGATCTACACTCTAACGAGTCTAAGTGAGTCTAAGTCTTGGAAACTAAACTGGAGTGGTGTACCTTTCTTCAGGGCAGTAATAATTTTAGGGTTTAAATCAAGATTAAATTTATATATTTCTTCGTTTTGGTAATGCATGGCTGAAGCTTTCTGCTAGACTAGTGTTTTCATAACAGATTAATAGTTTTTTTTTAATGTATTATATAGACCTAGATCTAGACCTCATATCGGGCCTAATGTAATTTAAGTAATCGAAAGGTAAGCGCCATTTTAACTAAATCTGATTTATTCACAGGAGAGTAGACTTAGACTAGGCCTAGACTAGATTCGAGATCATGGGTTCCCAAACTGGAGTCGCGACGAAATGGAAATGTTTAATTTACATAGAAAATATATACTTTAACCAGCGTCCGCGCCCCACCCTACATTTTAATTGCAGCCCCGCTCCGAAAGTTTAAGTACCCTCCCCCATCCCGGAGAAAAAGGTCCGCATGTTGCGGGCCATCCCATGAATGTCTTTAGGTGTTTCATGCAAGCAATTTTTATGGACTACGGGAAGTAACCAAGTTATTATTTTTTGCAAAATAATTTAAGCTTTGTTATTGTTTTATTTTTAATATCCAAAGGGGGCAGGCGGGATGTTTAATTTCTTTTTCCAAAAGTATTCTCTACAACTTCCCAAAGTTTTATGGCTATCGTATGGACATAGTAGTAATGATATTTGACCCACATTTCATTTCTTTATACATAGATTAAAGATAATCATTTTGGGGTAACCTACACATACAGAATTTGCCAACATGTTGAATTAGTAGCCTATAATAGAGGTACGTTTTGAGAGGACTATTACATTTGCGTTGATGTCAACATCAATCAGTTGATGGCATTCATCGAAAGGGAACAGAGTGGTCTAAAATTCAATTATTTGTGCACATAAAATGTATTAATGAAACCTAATATTGAAATATCCATATAAAGGGAGGCAATATTGTTAATATTTTTCTCTATATCTAAATTTAGTAATGGCTACCAAATCTGATAATTAAATTAGGGTTGTATTTATTTGGATTTAAACAATGGGTAAAGTAAGGTCTAGTTCAATGTTTTGAGTTCTGGTGTCTTAAGAAAGAGAATGTCTCACCTTAATGATGACACTCAAATAATTTTTTTGTGGTTTACTGCAAATGTATTCTTAGGTTCTTGCAGTTGCGGCAGTAAACCCAGCACTAGTAGTTAGTACTACTTTACGGACCATCGGCTATAATAGAGTACTTAAGTTTTATTATTATTTACAAACTGTAGTCAGACATTCTCATTTAATTTATGATGATTAATGATATCTGATGAGCAATATCTTCATACACTGCTCTACTTTGGCTTGGATGTTTGTCTTTAGTAAGGTCCTCCACTTTCTATGCTACTGAAACATTCATTAGTAAATTACCATTGAAACAACATACAATATTTATACTTTAAAAGCTGATATTCAATACAAAATTAATACAAGAAAACTGATGTTGTTTTTAATGCTTTAGAGGCAGCTAAGACACAATTTAGACAACCACAGGGCAGCTTGTTAGAATGTTACTCTGAGCAATATTTTTTTTGTCAGTAATCTGGATTAGTTGTAGATTGAGACCCTGTATACACTATGCCAGCTTTGCAACTAAAATTAACAACACAACCAACCTTTTATCCCATTACTTTCAGTAGTAAGATTGTCCAAGGAAGTTAATTTTTTTGGTCACTGATATTAGATAAGATATGGGCATCAATTCTATTAATTAACACACAAACAAGACTTCCTGCCAGTATATCCCATAAAAGATTTTTAAAAAGTAAAAGCAATGCAGCACTAGTGTTCTATTAATGCTTTTATTTTCAATTTTATTTTTACATATAACATTTCTTAAGCATTTTATTTTGTGCTAAACAGCATTTGTATCCCTATATATAATTTTAAAGGAAAAAGAAAACGTTCATACAAATTTAGCGAATATCTGTTAGGTGACTCTTCTCACACAAATATTGCAAAACAATCAGATTTACAGCATTCACATCCAATCGCCATTATGACACAACATTTACAGTCAAAATATTACACATGATTCAAAACTACCAAGATATATCAAGTAGATATGATAACAACACAGCACTCATTAAATATTTGAATTACTAATCAAAATAGTTTGTTTTCTTTACATAGTTCAACTACTGTTGTGCAACTCTAGATCATTTACAATCAATTACTGCAACATTATGGTTTAAATGATCAAGTGATTTAGGCAAGTTTTTGTTTACGAAGTGATACAACATATATTTTAAAGAACTTTTTAAAGCTTGTTTTTACAGCTGATCTTTTTATTATCTTGATTAAAACCTAGTTTGTTTTATGTATTTTATTTTAAGAAAATTCTATACTACTTTCAACTGTTCAATGTCTGTGAAGTGACTTTCTAGATTTTCTGTGACTTCTTGAGGACCAGGTCAGAAGTGGCAGTGAAAAATGGTACTGCAATCCCAGCTTATCACCCACTTTAATTATAGTCTGATGCATTTCATTCCCCATACATCAACAGTTACATTATTTCTCAGATGCTTTTTCATTCTCCTTTTCTTTGTTGAAGTTAAATAAGGTGTACTTGAGGTAAATAGTGTTTTCCGGTCTTACCCCTGCCATATAAGCTATTTTCTCATCTGAAAAACAAAGATATTATTTGTTACTTTTTCAGAATTACAGTATTAACACTATTAATATGATTTTAAAACTGGTTTTCAAAAACACGATTATAAACTTAAAGTAACACATTTTTTTAAAGTAAATAAAACGTTTTTAATTTTGGTGCTTTGGATGTTGACCCAGAACTTAATCACAATTCAGATACTTAACTTACCACTGGTGTTAATTTTAAAAATCAAATTGTGTACATATTGTAAACACAATGGAGGTAAGTGGATGATTTTATCATCATGTGAGATCACAAAATATATGGCTTTGCAATTGTTTCTAATAAAAATTGCAAGATTGCACCCAGACAAATGTAAAAATGGTCAGTTAACATTTAAAAGTATTAAAATATTTAATTTTTCTAAACAATTTTTATAGTATGGCTAATTAACAGACATTTCCATTAAGAAAGGCCATTTTGTTCTAAACATTATAAATAAATGACCTCTAACATAAAATGTGCAGGATCCCTAACCATTAAACTGAAAGGTAATTCTTACTTTGTGTTTTTTTGTCCCAGTCTGGGTCTCTGGCTGCTGCATGTTTAGTCATGTAAGACCATATGACATACCCAAACAAATTCCAACCAATAAATGCTGAAATGTAGTTCCTGTAGCGTTTGAAAAATGACCCAGTAGAGGGATCATCATATCTAAATCTTTTCATTGTCTATTGTGCCTGAAAAGAAACAATTTGCTAAAACATCAACAACACTATAAGATCTAGCATGACTGAAGTTAAATCAGTTCTCAAAAAAAGCAATGGCAAAATATCAACAATTGCACAAGCAAAAGGATAAATTATACCAATTTATAGACTCTATTTGTTTTATTACTTTAATATTTATTGATTTGAAATCTCTACTGCTGAAAATCTTGAACATATTAAAGCAAATTATTATCATATTTTAAATTCAAGAACAACATATGCATACAAGAAAAAATATCATACTGAAAATGTTTGGGGGTCCACTTTAATATTACTATTTTAGGAGCTAAACCTAATTTTATATTATTTTTAAATTGGAAACTTTCTGAAGCTTAATAAATACTTAACTTTAACTAGATTCTATAAATAAAGAATTAATCTAAAATATAATTAAATGTAGTCAGTATATAAGTATAAGACATAAGCCAATTATTGTAATTCTTCTTCTTTGTTCTTAATTGTGATGTTGGATGCGATTTCCTCCAACAAGATAAAGAATTACGAGTCAACCTGTTATGTGCCAATTGACTCCCAATTTCTGCCTGATTTTCTTTTTAGATTTTCTTTCTTAGCCTATGTCTACCCAAGAACAAACTACAAAGACCACACAGACTCCAATATTGTAATGTTTTCCTTTAACCATTTTGATCCCATTAAGGATGATGATTGTCATAAATCTTAATTAGGCAATGGGAAGAGCATAGTATCTTTTCCTCAACAAAAAACGCAGGTGTAGTGCGCATGAAAGTAGACTTTACGAATTATATACCCTAACCCCAAGAGACTGATGACACTTTGTTCTCTGCTCAATTTCTAACGCTTATTGGTGCAATTTTGGTAATCTATCTGTAAATTAGAGTGGTTCCCCCTGAATCTCTAACTATAATTATACCAAAAATACTAAAGTAAATGAGCTTGGCTGCATCTGATAAAAACATCTCTAGTCTTTATTTATACCTGAAAAGTTTTAATACAAAATGACTGTTTAAAAAGAGGTATATGAATGAATCTTTGAAACATTTTTTGTAAATTTCAAACATAGATCCTCCCTAAAAATGTGAAATAAGTGCTATAATTTAATGAGTCACCTTTATTCACATTACTAGCCTCTGCAGATTTTACGTGCTTAAAATTATAGATTACCAAAAATTGTCCTGGTCTTGAGCTAAGCTACCCCAAATAAATAATTCTAGATTAAAACATAATGCAATCCCTTAAAATTCTAAAAATCATCATATTAGCCCCTATAATTAATAATTTTTTAATTATTAAAAAAAAAACTCAAGGTGATTTCGGGTCAGATTTCCTTTTACATTTAGTAATAGTAATTTTAGTTGTTAGTAGTACTTGTTAGTTAGTAATATACTACTAAATACTAATACTAGGTAGATCTATAGGCCTATACAATTTTATATACACCAGAGATCAGTAGATCTCTAGATCTAGATAAAACTCGATTTTAGCGTATTTTATTCGCCGCTTCACATTCAAATGAATGAATGTGAGTTTTAATTAGAAAAGATAACAAAAAGTAACATAAAAAACCATTAGGACATTTCCAATTAAATAGTGTGTGATCAGCGGGAGAAAAATCCCTACACAGTCGAGGGTTCACCGTGAGTTCAGCATACGACATAGCTTGGGAAATAGATATTCTCAGTTTTGGGGTCATCGTGAGTTCATAAAAGTTTATTTAAAGTTAGCCTATAGTTTTAGCATTAAATATTCCATATTTGGATTTTTCTCAAGTTTTGACAAAGTAAATTATCAAAACTAAATCAGAACTTCATAAAGAAATAAGCCAAATGTTTTCCTAATGTTTTTGTGTGTTTCGGTTGTGTTTAGTTTATAGTTTATTATAGTTTATAGGCCTAGTTTATAATAAAATACGCTCAACTGTCAACTGGAGGTGAACGTGAAGCGGGGAATAAAATACGCTAAAATGGAGTTTTACCTAGATCTATAATATATTATACTATATACTAGATTCTTATATACAAATTAGTATTTTTAACAATTTTAAGTAAGTTATCTAGATCTAGATTCTCTAAGTACTGTAAGTTACACCCACTGAGTAAGTTCAAAGTTGAGTTACGCCGGGGACTCCCCGGCGGGGAGTTACACTTCAATCAAAGTCGCAGTGGTTTGGTTATTGGTTAAGTCATCACATGTAGTGGCGCATCGTGGCTTCAGAAATAGGCTATATTAATATTATTAATTATAAATTAGACCTAACTACTAATTTAGTAGTCCATACTCACTGTTCAAGCGTCAATGTCATAAACTACTGCATCTACTACACAACACTAGACTACATTACATGTTGTTTCTGTTTCGTTTCTTTTATTTCTCATTGTTATGTTTTTAATCTGTGGGTCGTATCAAGTTAGCCTAGGCCTACTTAAAATTAAGTGCAGAAAAATAATGAAAAAATAAATAAATGGCCTCACTTAGATCTAGATTCTACATCTACAGTATAGATCTAGAACGTTGTTTAAATAAGAGATAATTTTATTTTTAAGCAGAGGATTACAATGCTATTTCTTTAACAAACAAACAATAAACAGCTCGTGATAAAAAAAAGATTCCTTTGCAAATATTATGTTAGATGACAAAGTGATAATCTACATAATATTAATAATATAGTCATCATAAACACTATATAATATAATTTATACTATATATATAAATTTAATATAATACAAATTAAGGATTTCGATAAAATATAGACCTTATCGTAATATAATATAGGCCCTACAACCCTGAGTTCAAATCAGGGTTCAAGTCAGTGGTACGTTCCTGAGTCCACACAGCTCTAGATGGATACCTAACTCACATTAGAGAAAGAGATTAGTAAACGCGGCGAGGAAAGTCTACCGTCCCCCCCCCCGAACGAAATGAAATTTATATAGAAAATATATACTTTTAACAGTGTCCGCCCCCCCCCCGAAGAAAGTCTACCGCCCCCACCCCCCCCCCCCCGAAAATTTCAAGTACCCCCCCCTCCCCCGGAGAAAAAAGTCTGGAAGAAACATTGGGCGGCTGTGTATATCAAGTGCTGACCACATACATTCATAGACCTTGGTCAAGAAACATACCAACTCTGCTTCATCTGGCATATGAATCTCTAGATCTAAAGAGGAATCTTTACGTTTTTATAAAAATAATATACAACTCAGAGGAGCCGCGAGGGTGCAGTGCGGACCGAACCGTGTGCAGTGTTTCTTCCAGACTTTTTTCTCCGGGGGGGGGGCACTTGAAATTTTCGGGGGGGGGGGGCGGTAGAATTTCTTCGGGGGGGGGGGCGGACACTGTTAAAGTATATATTTTCTATATAAATTATATAAATTTTATTTCGTTCGGGGGGGGGGGGGGGGCGGTAGAAAGAAACTCTGACCGTGTGACACCATTTACTGAACAAAAATTATTTTTGCCAATTCAATTAATGATTAATTAAAGTTAAAAAGTATTTAAATACAAATTGGCGATCAAGTAGCTAGAGATATTTAGAATACAATTATCTGCCCCTTCTAAAACTGTGGTAGGCTCTAATGCGTGAAACCAACCATCATTCATTGCCGTCGGCTCATATTATTCCTGTTATCTCCCCCTTTTGTTATTGAATTTAGTAATCTTTGTACCGACTTTATAATTCAATTATAGTAAGATATTGTTTCGAAGGCGCTCAAATTACTCTGGAAGGTTTAAAAGAAATCATATATTTTCTGTATAAATTTAAAAAAATATTTTTTCTATTTTCTGCGTGGGGAGGGTGTGCAACCGCAACCATAGTGTATCGCACTCTATGAACGGCTGCAGGTGCCACAATGCTCACGGGGGAGCCCAGGGTGCAAAATGAATGCGATGGGCTACTATAATCATTCACTGGATTGAATCAGGCAAGTCCTCTAGCCAGTGGCGGATTAAGAGGGTGCTGAGAGGGCTGCAGCCAGGGGCCCCTGATTTTTAGGGGCCCCCAAATTTCCTTTTTAAATCATAGTAGATTTCCCTTTAAAGCTAAATTGTTGTTTTTTTTTAATTTAAATTTTTACTATAAAAGCCAATGTATTAATATTCGAGAACACACTTTAGTTTAAATAGCGGTCGAGTTCTGACACATGAGTTTATGATTTACGCCTTTTGAAAAATGCACAGCACTTGAAAGTTATTTAGTCAGATATCTTCAGATTGTGTAGCGAGGTGGTAGCAAACATTAAAATATTACAAATGTTAGGCATAGGGTCTACATGCTGAATTAGGTCTCACTAGCAAGCATCCAGACAAGCAACATTATTGACCAGCCTTAGCAATCAATGAAAAACTGCATGGCCGTTTTTGCTTACCCACTACACTACTAAGAAATGTATGAAAGATGCTTTGCATTTTTGTCATTAGAAATGATGTTTTGGATATTATTTTTTTTTAGGTACAGGATATCCAGATCTAGTTATTTGGATTAAAACTCTTTAGATTAATATCTTAGTTGCCCATCAGGACCTGGTGAGCATTGGGAATATTAGGTAGAGTTCACATATTTAGTTGTTCTCAGCAAATGAGACATTCTGTTCAGTTCTAGATTTATGCCTAGCTTCCTTTAGTAGTTTTAAAATTTGAGATTGATCTAGGTACCCATCTGTGTTTGGTGTTCTGGATATGAACCTGGGATTAGAGCTCAGGACTTTTGGGCCAGGAGTCGTGCGTTCTACCCCTATTGTAAACTCGAAACTTTTAATTTTTAAAAAAAAATCATAATATGCCAAAAAGAGTTAGGCCTATTTAATTAGCTTGTAATTCCCTTGGCGTCAAGACAGATGTATCGTAAGAATATAAGAAATCATCAACTTATGTGTAATAGATTGAGATAATTGTGAGGTCAAGGGAACTCACTCTTCTGTATTAGTATTATATTTATATTGTTAATGTTATCTTGAGTGATGTCCCTTGTGCATTGTACTTCCTTCCGTCTCTCTCTGTGTGGTACCATCATGTAGTTAGACCCAATAAACGTTATATACAACCACATGCTTCTATCGTCAATCTATTATATCTGGCGACGAGGATGAAAATCTACTAGAAAGAGCACCTACTTACGCAAAAAAAGAGGTTTGCTAGAGCTTATTGGCTAAGTATTTCTAGAATAATGGCGCTGTATGGCCAAATAAAACAATTTGATTCGAATGATGAAATCATTCAGGATTACCTAGATAGGTTAAGCTTTTACCTAGAAGCTAACAACGTGACGATAGAAGCCAAAAAGAGAGCTATTTTGTTAACAGTCATAGGGCCTCAACAATTTAGGCTACTAAAAGACTTATGCGCACCAGCTAGTCTAACTACCAAGAGCTTTAACGAGCTGAGCAAATTGCTAACAGACCACCATGCGCCTACCCCATCAAAGTTTCTATGTCGAGCTAGATTTGACAGAAGGACTCGTCAACCAAACGAGTCAATATCAGAATATGTTGCTGCTTTACGTCATTTAAGTGAATTTTGTGAATTCGGAGACATGCTGTCTGACAGATTATGTGAAAAGTTTGTGACAGGTGTAAACAGCCCTGATATTCAAAGAAAGTTGCTGCTCGAGTCAGATCTAAAATTGGAAAAAGCAATACAACTTGCAATGTCATTCCAGCAGTCATCAGATGCGGCGAGATCTTTAGCACCTTCAGAGATCCATGCAGTAAACAGCAGGTTAGTCAATAAACATCAACCCCATCAGAGCATTCCAACTTATGCTAAACAGCCTGCTCGTTCAAATCCTAGATCTAAATCTAGTAATAATTATCAAAAATGTCATCGATGCAAAGGTCCCCATGCATCTCATCGGTGCAAGTTCAAGTCTGCAACTTGTTATAAGTGCAGTAAGCAAGGTCACATTGCCAAGGCCTGCTTTGCAAAGTCTTCGTCTGTTGCTAAATCTAGCCAGTCAAGACAGTACCGCAACCAAAGGCAGCACTATGTTAACTCTCACCAAGACTACCTAACCCAACCAATGAACCACTCTACCTGTGAAAATGCTCAAACTGATTCGCAGCCGGATTTCAACCTATTCTCTGTGAAATCAATAAGTCATGCTCCCATCAGTGTACAAGTTAATATCAACGGTAAGAGCATCAGCTTCCAACTTGACACTGGAGCATCTCTAACAGTCATCACAAAGAAGGATTTTGACGCTGTCACAGGAGGATCAGTGTCTCTACAGCCATGTCACAAGTGTCTAACAACATACACTGGTGACAATGTTCCGGTAATAGGAGAGTGTATGGTTCATGTAAGTTATAATGGTCAAAGTGTTAAACTTCCTCTTCTTGTGGTTGAAGGAAATGGACCACCATTACTAGGTAGGAACTGGTTAAGTAATCTTAAGTTAAATTGGGAGAGTATTTGTTCATTGAAGAATGTAAAAGAATCTAGTCTTACTTCACTAGATAGAGTTATATCTGAAAATAAATGTGTTTTTGGTAACTCTGGATTACTAAATGATAGAACAGTGAAGTTAAGCATTAAAGACACAAATCCAAGATACTGCAAAGCTAGAGTTCCACCTTATGCAATGAGGAATAAAATTGAAAATGAGCTAAGTAGATTGGAATCTAATGGCATCATAAAGAAGGTAGACTATTCCGATTGGGCAACGCCCATTGTGCCAGTGTTAAAGAAGGATGGTTCTATAAGAATTTGTGGAGATTATAAAACTACACTGAATAAGCAAATAGAGCTAAATAGGTACCCTATACCTAACATGGAGGAAATTTCTTTGAATTTGGCAGGAGGAGACAAATTCACTGAATTAGACTTTAGTCATGCTTACATTCAACTAGAACTGCATCCAGATTCAAAAGTCTATACGACAATAAACACACATAAAGGACTCTACCAATATGAAAGACTATGTTTTGGCATATCATCTAGCCCTGGAATTTTCCAAGCTGTCATGGACAGTATTTTTAAGGATATTCCAAATGTTTGTGTGTACTTTGACAATGTGTACATAACTGGTAGGAATGACACTGAACATCTTAAAACACTTGATAAAGTATTGAAAATTGTTGGTGAAAAAGGTTTAAAGATAAACAAAGATAAATGTCAATTCATGCTGACAGAAATTAGTTTTCTTGGTTATATATTAAGCAAGCAAGGTATCAGACCTCAACCTGAGAAAACAAAAGCCATTAAAGAAGCACCCAAACCTGAAAATACCCAACAACTAAGAGCTTTTTTGGGCTTAATAAATTACTATGCAAAGTTCATAGGAAATCTGTCTGGTAAACTATCACCACTGTACAAGCTGCTACAGAAAAATGCAACTTGGCACTGGGGTAAACAACAAGATACTGCTTTTAATACAGCAAAAGAGGCTTTGTCTTCTGACACCTTACTAACTCACTATGACCCAGGGAAAAGACTTATATTAACATGTGATGCTTCACCAGATGGTGTAGGAGCAGTCTTGTCCCACATGGATGAGAAGGGTGACAGACCCATTGCTTTGCCAGTAGATCTTTGAACCAGGCTGAGAAAAATTATTCTCAGTTAGATAGGGAAGGCTTAGGCATCATTTTTGGTGTTAAGAAATTTCATAAGTTTCTGTTTGGTAGGAAGTTCACCATCTTTACAGATCATAAACCATTGCTAGGTTTATTTGGAGAAAACAAAACCCTACCTGAGCATGCCTCACCAAGAATTCAAAGATGGGCTATCACACTAACTGCATACAATTATGAATTGAAATACAAACCTGGATCTGAGAATAGTGCAGATAGTCTTAGTAGATTACCTTTAAAAAACCAAAGCCTTAGCTATGTACCAGAAGATGTATTTGTTCTCTTCACTATCATGGATAACTCCAATATAAATGTGAATGATATTAAAAGAGAAATACAAAGATGAGTGCTTAATAAAAGTATATGAGTACTGTAAGAAGAGTCTGTGAATAATGTCTTAAGGCCATATAAAATAAGAAATAAAAACCTTTGTGAAGATAATATAAAAGATGGAGAAGATGCAGTCCATTATCAGTTAGAGTTGCCTAAACAAAGTATTTGTAACTTAATAAATGATTATGGTGATATGGCAATTTTAAATGTTTTAAAAGAGAATACATAAGTAAGAAGGAATGTGATCATCAAACAACCTTGCTAACATCATTAGCACTTACAGAAACTAAAAGGGTAACATCAAAAGAAAAGAAAAAAGATTTTTGCCATTTAATACACCCACTTCAAATACTGGATCACAGTTGCAAAGTGATATGGTCCAGGATATTACTTTTAAACAGTATTTTTGGTTACCAAAAAGCACTATCAGATTACCTGAGGAAATTGATCAATCAAAGAAATCTATGTCAGTCAAGGATCTGAATAACAGCATAATACTTTCAGATGCCAATTCAAAAATAGTTCCATTAAATCATGACAAACATTCATTGAAAGAGAATTTGGTGTTAAGGAGAATGTGTATCTGAGAAATTATGGGAGAAAGGAAAAATGGATACCAGGTCAAATTGTTCAATGTACAGGACCTGTGTCTTATAAAGTTAAAAATAACTTGTGCAGATAATAAGTGTGAATCTGTCAATCCCACCAAATCTGATCAGTTCACACCAACTCAGTTTGTTCCACAACCAAGTTCTGTTGATATGAGTGAACCAAGTTGTCTGGAGTCAGAAAATGTAAATTCTGGAGTTAATGATTTAAATCCTAGACCTCCTGAGATAGAGAATCCAAATGGTCAGAATATTGAGTCACCAAATCAAAAGCCACTGAGAAGGTCAAGCAGGACAATCAAAGTCCCAAATAAGTTAGACCTATGATTCTAAAGGTCAAAAGGACTTTGACATCATTGTTTTGTATCTTGATTATGTTGTAGCATATTGTGCATTGTTTGAAGGATGTAATCTACCATTGTGTTCATGTTACAATATAATTGGTGATTTTAGGATACTATCAATTGTTCTATTGAGAGATGTGTTGTTGTGTTCTAAGGGTAAAGGGATGTAATAGATTGAGATAATTGTGAGGTCAAGGGAACTCACTCTTCTGTATTAGTATTATATTTATATTGTTATCTTGAGTGATGTCCCTTGTGCATTGTACTTCCTTCCGTCTCTCTCTGTGTGGTACCATCATGTAGTTAGACCCAATAAACGTTATATACAACCACATGCTTCTATCGTCAATCTATTATATTATGGATCTAAAACTTTAGACAATTGTGGAAAAGTGTGGACGGGGTATAGGTGGAGGTGGGGAGGCTATGTGGACATCACAATCAATGAATTATACTCTGTATTGTTTATAACAAAAACAAAGCTGAATAAACATTGTAGTCCTAAAAACAAATACGGCAGTAACCGTGTTATTTTAACCCAACTCAATGGGCAGTTATGTCGCGGCAAACCTATTTAGGCCCTATAATAAGGTAACTGACAATTAGGCTTAAATTAGGCCTAGACAGAAACAGGCCAGGGATGGCGTTCTTTAAAGGGCGACTGTGGAAATTCAACTTTCTTGTATGCCTTATAAATGGATAACACCTAAGAGGTTCGAGGTGTGGTTTTTTGACGCTTATGCCGTGCTTAATAGTTTTATTTGGGCCTAGTTTAACCTCTGTATGTTATTAATAATTTCTTACATAGAGTGGTTTGAAATTCTCTTTTTTATTTTCGCGATTGCATGCAAACAAGTGCCAAAAGTCTTTATCGTCTGTTCTATAACGACATTATAATATTCTCATGAATATTTATATTTGTTCAATGTTAGTGTGCATTTCCAGCTTTCTCACGCCCAATATAAATTCGTGAATGACTGTTCACTAACTATCGTGACACGGATATACCGGCTGAGTTTGACTCCCATTAGCCAGGGAGGTCAATTCCAACAAACTGACAAATAGTGGACTGAATCAGTCCCACGAAGGTGTTGGTTTGAAACACTACATGTTGGTCGCTTATTCATCCGTAGGCTCTATTCAGGCTTTACTTCCCTCACCACCAGCCGGGGGACGTCGTCCTCAGTGTTTCATCCAGACTTTTTTCTCCGGGGGTGTACTTGGGGGGGGGGGGGGCGGACAACAATTTCCGGGGGAGGGGCCTGACACTGTCAAAAGTATATATTTTCTATATAAATTCCATTTCGTTCGGGGGGGGGGGGGGGCGGTAGACTTTCTTCGGGGAGGGGGGGGGGCAATCCCCGAAGAGATGCCTGAAAGAAACTCTGAACATAATTGACTGCTTTTTAAATTAGCAGTTTTGTAAATATTGGTGTCAAATGTTCCTATAAGTTAAAACAATCCATGATTCTTTAAAAATAGTATCCGCCCCTGCCTCTGGCGAAGTGGCGTCCAATGCTGCCCATTCAACCTATCTTCTAATACTGCAGCAACGCGTGGGACGGGTTCTTGTACACCATTCATCCGATCGCAATGAAACTTTTGGAAGTTGCTGAGAATGCTCATAAAAAGCTTTCTGTTATTTAAAAAATCAAAATTAACTGTTGGAGGGGCAGTGCCACGGCGGCTATCTTAGCATCCGTGGTCCGCTAATTGAGCGTCCTGCACTGTGGTCATGTGTACTACTTTATTCAATGGTCAAAATGCAAAAGTAGGCATACACAAACGCCCGGGCGGTAGTGTGACCTCGGGCTCCCCTGTTAGCTATATAGCGCCTACATACCTTTTAAAGAGCACCCTACACTATGTACACGGTGAGCCGCTACTCCGATTGAGTAAAATAGGCGGCCATCGAAAGTGCCGCGTGACGCCCGTGATTCAAGGGAGGTCACCGAGGGGTGATCTACATCACTATTTACGGCAAGGGCTATCGTATCAATGTACCCTCCCTCATATAAAGTTGCGTCAATTTACGACGGATACGCTATATGCCAATTTAGGCCTAGTTATTTATAACAAATGGTGCGCTACCTTGCACCTCCATGCTCCCAAATCAACTAAGAGTTGGAGATTAGTCACCAGGTAGGCCTCGATGAATTAATATTTTTCCTGGGTTCTTTTTATCAGGCATTTCTCTCTTGGGAGAGGGGGGGGGGGATCACGTACAACTATTGGGAGGAGGTGGGGGCGTATACTAACAATTTTCTGAGAGGGGATGCTGGTTTAAGTTTTTTTTTTTTTTTGTTCTTTAGGCTACATTAATTTTTTTTTACTACAGCAAGAGGCTACATGTTGTTCCTCATAGGCTTTTAAAAATAATTTAATATAATTTAAAAAAAATTCTATTCACAGTTGCAGAGTTTGTGCATTGGTCTATCCGATATAGATTCTATGCCTAGATTTAAGTAAATAACTCATACTTATACAATAATATTATATAGATCTATAATTATGTCTATAACTTCGCGCGGTTACTTTTCCCCGACATTAAGCGATTAAGGCCCCAGCTGTTTGGGATGGTGATTAAAAAGTTATTTAACTTATTTCAAATTAAGGGGAGGCAATTTTACGCGGGTAAAAATGGCTACTACGATAGATGTAAACAGCACACTCTCTCTTTCTGACACATCTAAAGGAAATTGTCATTATATACCGTGTGAAATACACTTTGATGGAAAAGCAAGGGTATCTGATTTCTTCCAAAAAACAATATGTGACGAATCATCAAATGGTAAGAACAATTAAAATTATTAAATTGGGATTTTTTTAGCAGAAGAAGCCGGTCGGGTAAACGCCTTTCTGAGTCCAAACAATTAAAATTAACAAGTAGGCCCTAGATCTAAGTACTACAGTAGATCTAGATTAGATCTAGAGTAAAGTTCCGCGTGTGGTCAAAACCACGGTGTAGTCACATTCATGTTTATGGCTTCGTATAATATTTGTTTGGATGTTTTATACGAAACTACCAATATCTGCTGTAAACATGTCCATTTCTAAATATATCCAGGTCAAATTCTTTTGTTTCCCTCCTTCTGGAAGATGAGTTTTTAAATTTTCAAGTTTCGAGGTATGACGTCGTAGGCGATTCTAGTTCCCCCGTATGAAAAGCACTATGTCCCGGATGAGATGAATAAAACCAACCAATCAAAGCTTTTTATAACTAGGTTAACTATAAATAGGTCTATTTATGTGCGGGACACTGAAAATACTGTAGTTAAGGCTATTAAAAGAATCTTAGTGGTGAAATGGGGGTGACCACAGCTGGGGTTACGATTTTTGTGTTTTACCCTCGCTGTGGTCACCAACGACTTGAGCTAGACTAGCCTAGATCTAGATGCTCTATATTTCAAGCTAAGTCTAGAACCTATATAATTTCTAGTTTTTTCTGTTGTTTTAAATTATTTCAATCATCTACTTCTTCTAAATCTAGTTTGTGTCTCTACATACAATCCAATCGAAGCAAATGTTAAGTTTTGTCTTGTTAGTGATTGTTATGTCCCTTTGTTATGATTATTCTGGTTGCGTCCCTTGAGTCATCACTGGGTCATCCGTAATTTGTAGTTAATAAATTTAATTAACGTGTTATTATTTGGTTTTGCAAATCTATTAATTAATTATACAATCAACAACACGTTTAAATGAGTAAAATGTTTATTTCAATTATTAAAATTGGATAAAAACGAAAAAATACGCTAGTGACCACAAGCAGGGACAGGTGATCACAAGCAAAAAAAAAAGGGGGAAAAGTAGATCACAAGGAGGTTCGTCAGTAAAACATGAATATCTCAAATACTATGCGTATGAATACAAAATAACTCATGCATATTAGAGTAGAATGGCAGTGGAGTAATAAAGTACTTTCGGTTTGTTTCTGTGTGAAACGGTTACAAAATAGCACCCGATGAAAATCGGGAGTTCGGAATTTTTCGCGATGTGTGACCACACGCGGAACTTTACTCTAGATCTAGGCCTAAAAAAAAGTGACAAAACTCCATTTTCGTTTAGTTGAGCGTATTTTATTCGCCGCTTCATGTTCACCTGTTCTCATTGTTTTGTGGGTAACATATTTTAATTTTATGGTAATCTATCGTTTTGGGTACGTAAAATCGCCCGCGACTAGTAATGTGAAAAACAGGTGACTCCTTAAATTTTAATAATTATTTCACATTTTGAGGAGGATTTATGTTTTGAAAAATACAAAAATGTTTCCTTCTTTCATTTATGTACCTGTTTTTAAACAATTGAATTAAAACTTTTCAGTAATAAATGAAGACTAGCGATGTTTCCAACAGATGCAACCATGCTCATTTACTATAGCAGCCATCTTGTTTAAGTTTTTTTTTTATAGCGGATATAGCGCGAGACAGGCGGAAGTCACTCTATTTTACAAATGGCTGCTGTTTATATAGCAAATCTTGCTCGCAAACACTGCTGTTTAAAGTTAATTTCTGGCATATATTGATATATTTAGCCATTGATTTAGGTTTATTATTCATTTATCTATAATATTTGACACAAATATATCACAATATACTTCTACTAAAGCCTTGACAATGAGGTAACTTTTTCGTACATTAATAGCCGCGGGCGATTTTACGTACCCAAAACGATAGATTACCAATTTTATTTTTAAAAAAATCAACACTTTCTTTAAATTTATTTTAGGAAATAAAGAACTTGCTGCCACATTCAGAGGACGACCTTTAAATGGGGTAGAAGTAAACTTGCCATCTGGATTTACGGGTTGGTAATTTAAATTTACGAAGTGACTACTCGAAAAAGGATTTTTCTCCCCAAAGTCTCCACACTTAGTCAACAAAAGATAGATCTAGTTCTGCGCATGTGCAGTGACCTATGGCTAGGGTTAGGATTAGGGATAGGGTTAGAGATAATATAGGGTGCCTGCTTTGTATGTTTCTGTTTATATTTGTGATGTCAAATGAGTAAAAATAATTATTTAAAAGCTGCAGGTTTTGTGAGCCTTTTTTTAAAAGTATATTCAGCTATTAGAAGTTGTTTTTCAATTGCTTTCTTACCAACTACAACATTTTAAAAAAGAGAAAAAAAAAGTAATGACAACACTTAAGTTAAAATATGCTGCTATATGAAAATGATAAATCACTTCCACAATTTTAGGTTTAATTTTTCCATTAACCTACTTAAATAAGATGGCTGATCCAAAAATCTCAAGTTGTATCTCAGTTTGTGGGACTCCCATCTCTGATGGCCTATGGCTAGGGTTAGAGCTAGAATGAGGGTTAGGGGTAGGATTAGGGTTAGGGTTGGTGTTAGGGTTCTGCTGTTGTAAAAACACGCAAGCGCAGTACCATCAAAAACATCGCCGCGCAGTCAAGTTGTAGTTTCTTTCCATTGCGCATGCGTATAGCATGCGTATCTTATTCCGGCTAGCATCGGCCTTAATTTTCTTAGGGTACACATTTGTAATTTGACCCCTTGTTGTCTTTCTTGAAAGCAGTTTGTTAATTTACTGGTTTTTATATCTACCACTGGACACCGTTGATTCAAATGTTATCCTTATTATTAAATTAATTAATATTATTAAATATGAATTTATTTATACAATTGATTTTGCTATTGTTTTTCTTTATCATTTTTGTCTTTTTTAGTAAAAAAATTATACACTGTAGAACATTTCTCTGTAATGAACTATCATGGATGGTTCTAATTTTGTAAGGCTATTATATATAGGCTACATATACGGGTTGGCAAAGTAGAATTGAGTTTAGTATGTAAGTTTTGATTTTATAAATTGTTTTTGCAGGTGGTTCATTGTTTGACATGCACCCAATAGCAAAAAAAAAAAAATTCATTAAAAATACAATAAGAAAAATATTTTCTTAGCTTACAATACAGTAGAACAATTCAAAACAACCCATAAAATTTGACTGTAATCAGTCAGTGAGTTGAGAAACTTTATTAATTTTTGCTTCAATTCAGCCTCAATTGCTTTTCTTCTCTTTTAACAGTTTCTTTAAGTTATTAAACGTCCATTCTACAATGATGTAACTGAAAAAGTAAAAATACAGGCATCTTGAAAAATTTGCAAGACCTCATGATTCTCCTCTTGAAATGTGTAGCAAGAATGATTATTTTGTTTCTTAATAGATCATTATTAAAAAAAAAAGTTTTCAGCTTTTATAAATTCTATTTGTAGGTTTAGTATTAAAAGAACATCACAAAAGAACAACAGAAGATGAAGAGAGAAAATTGATAGCTACACACTCATTTGATAAATTTACACACTGGAATTTAGACAAACAACCAACTTCTGATGATTTGATACAAAGGGCCTTGCAATGGGTTGACATCTCCTCCGCTGTAAGGAAACATTATTACTTTTTTAATAAATAACAATGATGTAGATTAAAAAATTTCTCATAGCGTAGGTACAATATAGTCTTATGATAACTGTTTTCAGCTGCATAAACCAGTCAAAATGGACTCTGATCAAAGTAGCAGCCAGACAAGCATGAAGGGACATTAAGAATTACAATTTTTAAGTGTGAGTTTTTGACCATTTATATTTAATTTTACATTATAAAGGATTTTTAAAAATATATCATCATTCAATTTTTAAGTGCTTGTAATTAAGACTTTTAAAAATAATCTTATATCTTTTTCTGATATCAACCTCTGTCAACTTGATGTTTCTAGCTGACTTCTCTTCATTGCCCCTCCTTCGACAGAATTTATATACTTCAACAAGTGTTGTCTGCACTCTCCCCCCCCATGTTTTAGCATTTCAAAAGTTTTCATAGTAGTATCAATTAAGTATTATTTAACAGTCTTGTCTTATATTTTTACAGATCTGTAACAAGTTCAATTAAACTAAGAAAGAATCAGTACTGGTACTTTAAGAACCACATAGTTTATTTCTATGGCTCTGATAAATGCAACTGACAATAAATTGGATGCAATGCTATTTTCAGTACAAGGTTTACTGGCTATTGTAGAAGTACCTACTTGATATTTGCTCTAAGACATTTTGTACAGTCATGTAATATATTATGTGTAGTAAAAGACTTACTAATACTAAACTTAGTGAAATCATATTTGCCTGCTTTGTATGTTTCTGTTTATATTTGTGATGTCAAATGAGTAAAAATAATTATTTTGTGAGCCTTTTTTTTAAAAAGGTTATTCAGCTATTAGAAGTTGTTTTTCAATTGCTTTCTTACCAACTACAACATTTTAAAAAAGAGAAAAAAAAAGTAATGACAACACTTAAGTTAAAATATGCTGCTATATGAAAATGATAAATCACTTCCACAATTTTAGGTTTAATTTTTCCATTAACCTACTTAATTAAATAAGATGGCTGATCCAAAAGTCTCAAGTTGTATCTCAGTTTGTTGGACTCCCATCTCTGATGGGTACTTGACTTGCTGTAGGAAAAGTAAAGGCTGCTTGGAATTGTGTTGACCGCTACAATCCTTAAAAAGGCTGTGGTCAAGAAACTTCATCAGGTCAAAAGTGGAATTTCACTAAATATAAGGTTTAAAAATTCTTTACAGTATTCTGTCATTTGTTGAGCCTATTCACTTTCAGGACTAAAAACACCTTCCTTTCCATTATTATATTACTTGAAATAAACAAGCTTTTCATTGCCAACTCCTTGAGTTGATTTATATTTATACAGTGGTTCAATAGCATGTTCATGTTTGTTGTACTAATCAAGCAATCAATAACCTTTCTGCCACATACTGAAGCTGTCACTACTAAGCAGGGAGAGATCATCTCCAAGAGCGGCAAATTCGTCTTACATAGTTTTTGGTTAGAATTTGTGAGTGAAACCAATTTAGATACCCAATTAAAATACTTTATGTTGATCGTGTAGTGTACATGGAAAGCAACAAAGGCATCATCAAAACATTTTTATTTTAAATAATTTGCATCCATAATTTAATAAAACAAGTATACATTAATTACTGACTTTTTATTTTAAATAGGTAAATTAAGCCATTTAACATATTGGCATCTTTTTTGGTACAATTACTGCTTACTGTTCAAATAATTGTAATAATAAAATAGTTTATGTAAATATTGTAAATGCAGAACACTAAACTTCAAGATATTTAAAAATAGGTAATTAAAAGTTTTGATCAAATTTCTAATGAAAGTAAAGCGCTTTTAAATGTCATGGTTTTGCCCTGGTTAGATGAATTTTTCTATTAACATGAAAAAAGCTGTTTAAAAAAATAACTAAATATTACTTTAGATACTACTTGTACCTCACGGAAAAAAATATTTGTACATTTTCCTAATAATAAAATAGACGACCATAAATATAAACACCATATTTTTTACATTAAAATAGGGTTTTAATTAAATGCAGAATATATCATGCTAATTTTAATTCTATTTTTAGCGGATAAAACAAACTATTTTACAGTACAAACTTCCCATAATTTTCCTGTTACAGTTACAATACAAACTTTTCATTTGTAGATATTAACATTAATATAATTTCAACATAGGGTTATTTTTAAAAAATCTATATATAATTTTCTTCATGGAGGGACCATGCGGGACACCACATATACGCACGCCGGCCCCTCCCTAACTCTCCAGGCATGCTCAACAGACCATATCGCTACCACCTCCACCCCACCAGTCTGGTGAGCTGTTTACAATCATAGAGCTGGGCCAAATTAGTGACGGCTATTAGGGGCAGATGATTTAGTTCTTAAACGATTTGAAACTAAGGGGAGGTAATACCAAGTTCTGTTTGATATTTTTATTGTCGTCTGTAAACTGTCGTCATGAACAACTGCTTTCCTGGGGGGGGGGGGGGGGGGGGGGGGGGGTTGTGTGTGGAAAGTGAGGGTGGGGATAGTCGTCCTTCACGAGCTACTGATAGTGTTTTAAAGCAAATATTTCAGTCGCAGCACTGGTAGTGTCGAATTCACAAATTATGTATTACTGAAAAATAGAAAATAAAACAACTAAATAGCTACGTCGCAGGTCAGCTCGTATAAAATAAAATGTTTAAAATAGAAATACGTTATTGCAAAAATTATTTGTAAAGCTTTGTTATTATTTCTATAAATAACTGAATGGGTTTAATTAATCTTATTTTAAAAACACTGCTTTGAAAAAAAAAGTATAGAGAACTGTTTTAGCACACAGCTAAATTAAATGAATTATAGTGCTATAAATGAAATCATCAATTAGTGTCAACAGTAGTTTTTTAAACTCTGCAAAAACATTATACTTAAGGAGCAAAAAAAAAAGGAAAATTCTTATGGCTATCCCTGGGGCTGATGAAGCAGTGTGTTTCTCTGACCTCAGTACATTAAGGGTTAGTGTGGTCACGATGCCCATACATTTAAAAAAAAAGAGAACACAATAGGTATAAGCACATTTAAAATTCATCTAATCCATTCAGCCTAGAAAAAATTTGTATGGAAGTAAACAGCTATGTAAAAAAATGTGCTAGCCCAAATACTTAATTACACATTGAAAAAGCTGTTAGTTACTTTACATTAAGTTGCGCTATTAATAAAAGAATCAACATCCGCACAAGCACAAATTTCAATCAGCTTGATAAAAAGGACTTTTTTCAAAATCTAGTCTTCTCACAACTACCAACTCGTGCATTATTTTGTGATACATTTTGACAAATAATACAAAGGTATATGCTTTTAAACAGCATATACATACACTTTTCAGGACAAATTTTGTTTGATGCGTGGCACAAAAAATATAACAACTATGATGATTATCACAGATATACAGATATATACAAAAATTTATTATCAGCTGTGTTCCATAGACATTGCTATAGCCTGCTTGAGAAGCTCTTCTTCTGAAAGATCTGGAGAAGGATAAAAATTCGTATTCATAGTATAAAATATTTATTTACAGATCACAGACAATTAAAAAAATATATTAAGTATTTATTTTCACACTTTGATGGAGATATTTTTTCATTTAATTTTGTAGTACTCAGTCTGCAAAAAGACTATCTTTTTCCCATTTATTTAAACAAATATTTAATTTTAAATATTGATTTATTTACTGAAGAAAGATTATGTACCTCAACTAATCACAGACAAAATAAAAGTGAAAAAATACACTTCAATTAGGAAAATTAACAATCCATGCTTTTAGTGATATTTTTTATCATAGAAAAACTAAAGTACATCCATTTTTCTCATATAATCATGGATGAGATTATTATTACAGTGAATAATTTTTTAAATTCACTTTTTATGCACTGAAACAACTGTTTAGAAGTGTATACCAAATGGGTTCTGCAGTGTTTAAAAAAATTGCCATTTTGCTAGTGTATAAATACAAAATCAAAATGGTTGCTCTAGCCAAATAATATGATTAAAATTGGAAAAACAACAGAGTAAATAAAGAAAATATTAACCACTTGGTGAATGAAGATGGTACAGTAAAATAAATGCTAGAAGTGTACTTCCAGTCTTAAAAAGTTAAAATATAGCTATTTTAAAAGTGCTTTGTTGGCACAGAATATTTTGCAATATAATTTTATTACTTTGAACTTACCTGTTTCACTAACTTGACCTTCACCCTGCTTAACTTGACCTCCACCTTGCTCAACCTGAACCGAATTATCTTGCTGTTTACTTAGGAAAGCAATGCGTTTATTTCGCAACTCTTCTTGAGAAACTGGGATAGTTTCTTTGCTTGTGGAAGGACTTTCTTTGCTTGATGCACCAGTCAGTGAGGATGTAGCTTTCTTTGGAGCAAGTTCATTTGAATATCCTGAAACAACACATTGATAAGTGATAACGAATGTAAAAATTAACATTTTTACAGTTTCAAGTAAAAGCTATTTAAAACAAATAAAATACCTTCCAGGCTCATTTGCAAAGCTCTCTGTAAAGCAGCATCATCTTTATCAATTAACTCTTTGCTGGCTCTCAGAGCTTCTTTAAGAGCCCTGTCATCATCTTCAACTACATCAGTTTCAGTTTCTTTTTCAGTCAGCAGACTTGGCTTGACAGTCTGAATAGCTGGCATCAGTCGTAATAGCTGATCTGCTTCGCAATCTGGGAGATTCCCTGTCACTATAAATATTGAATAACCTGTAAAAAAGAATTGATACAAAGATAAAATGAGATGATATTCTTTCAAATACATAGTTATACAGTACCCACTATCTTTTAATCATATGACACTTACCTTCTTGCTGTAGTTGAGTTAAAAACAAAGAAAGGTAAGTATCTGATATCAATTCTGGACCAGAAAGTAGACTGTTTAAGTTAAACCACTGAAGCCCCAGCTTTCGAATACAAAACCAGTGCTGATGATAGTTACAGATGAAAGCAGACATCTTTCTATAAAAAATATATATAAAAAAGCTGGGATGCACATTGCACTCTATATATTAAGATTTGTTTTTGTTTGAATTTTAAAACATTTTTTGGTAGTTTTTTTAAAAAATAAAAATATTGTCTATTCTCTTACGTAGGATCTGCCCTGGCTAACACTGCAACAGGATCCTGGCTGTTAAATAAAACAATATCTAGACCCCATACAGAGAGAGCCTCTGTTATGACTTGAACAGAAAAGAAACCACTATCGTCAAAGTTACTTGATGGTTCCTGAAAATTTGTAAGAAAAGACATAAAAATTTAATGGAATAGATTATCAGGGATTTGCTGTGTAATCATCATCTGCACAATTTAGAGAATATATTTATCTGCATTATTACAATTGTGCAAACAATTGCAAACCTTATTCTTCTATTTTTAAAATAACATTAAAATTTGGGATCCATATATGATTATTGCTGTCTTTATCCAAAGTCTAACATGAACATGCCATAAATTTCCCAGCAATAGGCAGATTTAATTTAATCGCTTTCATTTCTCTAGTTGTATTTCTCAAGTATGAGAGCTTTTGTATTCAATTACATAACTCAAGGTTGCTATTTATATGTTGGTTGAATAACTTTAATTAAATTAAAATTAATTGCTAAAAATGAAAAATATTGATGTGTAGTAATATCTCTAATTTCCTGTTAATAGAAATTTAACCATTTTCTAGTCCTAAGTGGCAAAAAGAAAACAACAGAGGTGTAAAGAAAAACAATTTTTAAAGCTATTTGAAAAAGAAAACTATTAATACTGCACCTCAATAAATCTCTGGTACTCATTGGTTCCAATTCCACCTTCTGCCATTCTATCCCTCTCTGTTTCATCTAACCGCTGCCCTATCTGTGCCAAGTCAACAGCACTAAAATATTGATTTTGTAACAGGGCATTCAAGCAATGTTGAGCACATAAGGATCCTTCTTGCTGTAAAAGGAATTGAATGCACTCATTACGTATTCATAGCACATAATTTAAAAAAACATGATAATAAGATGAATTCTTGTAGACTGTAGAACAGATTGACAAGAAATAAGATATATAATTTCTAAAAATTAATCTAATTAGTTAAAAATTTTTGTTAGTGATACAGCATTCAAAAAAAGAAAAAAGAATGTCAGGCGGATGCACACTAAATCACACCAGTACTTGTAGCACACTTCCCTCTGGTTTACTTTACACTAACAATTTTAATATTAATTGTCAACCTTCAAGTCCTGGATCAGATCTGTAGGGTCCCTGATTAAAATTAGGGAATCATGCAAATTACACGCCAATGTTTTGTATTTAGTAGTATTTAGGTCTACTTTTAAAAGTTTTTTAATTAGGCCTAGGCCTTCTAATTAGTAGGCCTAATTAATCAATTATATTTTGTATGATGCAAACAGCTAAGCTCTGCAAGAAAACCAAGCATATTTTAATAAATTTTAATTGATTGTATTTTATCTTGTTTGCTACATGATCAGTAGTTTATTAGTAGTAATTAGATCTCATCTAGTAATATGATAGAATATGACTGACAAAGTCAAAGGCCAAAAGAAAAGGAGGAATCGGGAATGTTTATGAATGTGCCTGCCCCGTCGATTATAGAAATTTACTAATTTACAGGTTGCTCGAAATAAGTCGGAATATACCAGATGCCCACTTACTGCAGCAGTTATATTATAATCGTGTAACTTAATGATCCCAACTGAATGAATCAGTAAAAGCTGAAGTGAATGCACTGAATTATCATTAAAACATTATGATTATGAACCACAGAATGAGAATCAGAATTCTGAGAATTTCACTGACTGAGGCGCGTCTGAATCTGGCCTGGGAATATGCCTGAGTTAAACAGTATTAAATATTTTTATCAGGCCTCCTTGACACTTGTAATTGAAAACATTTTTAAAAAACTCAACAAGAATATAAAATGTATAGATTCTAGGCCTAGGGTACATAGATCTAGTTTATGAAGTTGGTTAATTTATAAATTAATACCTTTTCATGAAATATTGTCTCCATTTTTAAATGAATAACTCTTTTATGCTAAGAGACTGTCAAAAAGCAGTTCATTTTTTACTGCTCAGGACTGTGGACGGAGCGTTAGCATAGACAGTAATACTGCTGATACACAGTTCAAAAAGGCGAAATCTAGGAGTATGTCTAGCTAGTAGAAACAAAAAGGTCCCAGCTACTAAAATCCTGATTACGAATTCAGATTTTTCAAAAAATCCTCAGTATAGACATAGAATCTAGATTAGATCAACACTCCACTGAATGAGATATCGAATTCGTCAATGCGGCGCAACATTTTTCTGCCTAGTAATCAGAGTTTCTTCCAGGCATCTTTTTTTTTGGAGGGGGGGGGAAAGGAGTGGCTCCGCCCCCCCCCCTCCGAAGAAAGCCTACGGCCCCCCTCCCCCGAAAATTTCAAGTGCCCCCCCCCCCCCCCCGGAGCAAAAAGGCTGGAAGAAACACTGCTAGTATGCTAGTAATAGTATTTTATCGACGACCCCATCCCTCCCCACCCATGTGGATGTCCACAAAATACTTTAAAAATCTGTCAAACCGTGCTGCCAACTTACTACTTCCATAACATGCAATGTGTACATTGCTATACTATAAATTTGATATTTTCGGCAACATGTTTTCTCGGCTTAAATATTAAAAGTAGAGCCCAGAATGTGTTGAAAAATAAGTAAATCTATATTTTACACGACAGTATAAATTAGGCCCTTTGTGTTAAGCGCTTAGTCTAGATTTCCTTGTTTTTAAACTTATGTTTCAATTCTATGAATCAGTCTCAAGGTTCGGCGGAGGTCAAGACATACACCAGACCCAACTCATGATTTGCGATCGGATTTTGTCAATGCAGACGATAGAAAAAGCGGTCAGTGACAATGACAGTTCAAATACGACAGCACGACAGTAATAATGTACGCTAGAGCGAGATAATGCGTAACGGTATTGCAATATGAATATTTATTTATCGTCGTAAATGTTACGTCACGTATTGTGTCAACGCCACTCATACAAGCGCGTGTTGAAGTGTACGTCGTGTGATTTTTTTTCCTTAATACGTCGAGCAAAAAAAAAAGTGGTCGGACAAGTATCAGTGTTTCTTCCAGACTTCCCCCCCCCCTCCCCCCCCCCGAAGAGATGCCTGGAAGAAACTCTGACAAGTAGGGCCCTATGTACAATATGAATTCACATACATAACGGAACTTGCGTATTAACTAGCCCCGGCAAAACTAATACACATTTGTTAAGCTGCTTGGAGTTGGAGATTACCACAACGCTCGCGATTTCAAGGTGAAAACGCGTATTTCTAAACTGGTGTCAGAAAGGCAACAGTAGAAGTTACAAAGATTTGCAATAAATAATAATATTTAATATTATGTTTTTGCTTTTTTTTTTGGAAAATATACATATTAGCGGTTTAGTTCTTTGAACACGGCGATGTTAATACACGGTTCATTTTGTGTATCAGTAAAATCGAGACTTAGTTTCTAGATCTAGATCTATTCCAATGTTTTGAATTTTAATAAAATCATATTTAGTTTTTCCTATCAAGAAGGGTCCGGTGAATGCACATATGAATCTCGTCTGGTTTCGGTACCCTTAAAAATGTTAAGAAGCACTGATCTAGTTTAAGATCCTTTCAGAACCCTAATGCGGGTTTCGTTATTTGGAGTAACCGTAAAACGACAACAACTAGTTCATTAGTTACTCACTTACTGTTAGAGACTTAAAACGAAGTTCCTCTGATATTTACAATGACTACTTATAACAGAATGCCCGATTTGATTAGTAGTAGTGTTAATATTGAAGGTAATCTAACACTAACGCCATCTAACGCACTTTCGGACTACAGTCACTACACACTGACTCCTGAGATTCAGTGATTTGATGATTTGTCACTGTCTTTTTTAGAACTGTACTCACACTGTACTGTACTGTTGTCGTGTGCTGTAGATAGTGTAGATATAGCTGATATAGTATTAGTACTGTGTGTAAGAGTGTGTGTACTGTGTAGGCCACCAATTTATAAAATGAAAAAAAATAAAAATTGTTTAAAAGTAGATTAAGTATTAAGTAAAGATAATAGGCCTATGTAAAGGCAGGTGTCCAAAACAAATGACATCACACTCCTAGGGAAAGGGGGGGGGGAGGGTTAGATGGCATGATGCCACACTTGACACTTGCATTTAAAAAACGGAGTGACTCAGTGGAATGCAGCAGGTTAAGACACTTTTGTATTAGAATCCAAAAAAAAATTTAGGATTAGAATGCATTCTTAAAACGAAGTGACTAGTCGGAAGATTTTTCAACTCAGCGTCTCCAAGTCCAAAATCTGCATTTTGCGCTTGCGCAGTGACCTTAGGCCGGCTAGAATCCGCCTTCTTAAAATAGGGGTAAAGCCCAGTATACTGAGTATTGCGTTGGTTATTATTCCAAAATGGTATCGCAGTAAAAAACAGTAAAACAATGGCATAGTCTGTCACACTGTTCTGGAATCTACCAGAAGTACTGTAAACCATACCTTTTTTTTGGTACCATATATTTTTTAGTAGGGCCTACAGAATGTTTTATTGCATGTTAAATACTGCTTTACTAATCACTTTGTATTACTAATTATGTTTAAATGTGGCAGAGTCAACAGTGTGGCAGCTAATTTTGTTCACTCTGGAGCTTTGAGTTCTAATCAGGGTTATCACTAATCAGTTACCTGCAAGATTTTATTTTTTCAAATTGCAAACTTCACAGTGTTTTTTTAAAAATCTTTTCTTCATTTATTAAAGTTTTTAAAAAATAAAATTATTCAAGAATTTTAAAAAAAATGTAAGTGGTCATCCATAAGATGTCATGCTTTTAAAATTAATTTTGTTGTTCCATCAACCCCCCCCCTCCCCATCACTTAACACTAGACCCCCTAAAAAGACAGCACTACACCTAAGCTTATCACCTCCACAAATTGCTATCTATTTTTTAAACAGTTAATCATCCTTCACTGATAATGTTTCAAAGCAAATATTTTCAGTCGCAGCATTGGTAGTGTCCAATTCACAAATTTTGATTTACTGAAAAGTAGAAAATAAAACAACTAAATAGTGTTGTATGATACGCAGTGCGGCACGTTAGTTTTTAAAATGCTAAAGCATAACATCTCACTTTGTGAACTCCTCCCCATTAGCACACATATTTACATAAGTTCACTTCCCCCTACCTTTGCTAAGAGTGTGATGTCATTTATAGATGGCCCCATACCTTGAGGCCTAATAAATAAAGTATTGTCATTAGTGTAAGCAGAACAATTGTCCATTTGGTCAAATATATTTTAAAAAGATAATTTCCTTAAACTTTTTTATATTTGATTAAAATGTAATTTATCTCACAGATGATGGCAGACAAGTGTCACAGATATCGCACTCAACATCTGTGAGTTGTTTATTTTATCTTTAATTTTTTTATGGGCTATCAATTTTACTTTTAAACAACTTAATTACAGTTAAAAAACTGTAATGCTTAATTATAATATAACTAAATTGATGTAAAAATATTCTGTTTCAGGGAACAATATATCCTTTTACTGCTCACTCACAATCAGCTATTGCCCTGCTCATCAAAGAAATTGCTAAATTGTTGCGTTTACAAGAGGTAAACTTTCTGTAATATTTAGGCCCAATATTTATAATAATTTTTTAAAAATGTTATAGATCATCCTGTAATTTATTATGAACAATGCATTTGCACTGCATTGCAGATATACAACAATACATGTGCCCCTTTCTTCTCCCCCCCCCCCCCCTTTTTTTGGGTTTGTTTTTGTACACACTTTTTTAAAGAAGCAAAGGTCTACATTAGATATTTTAATGCAAAAGGTGCATAAGAATAGAGTGAAAGAGTTGATTGCATAATTGCAGTTTTCTCATATGTGTCAACATTTTAAAGATGTTTGGGTTACCCTTTTGCTAATGTTAATTAATTTTTTAGTAATAAACAACAATAGGAATTGTTCATTACACTAAGTAACACAAAAGATGTTAATGTGTTTAATTTGACAGTTAAAGAAACATTTTATGATGCTATAATTATTCTCTTTTTTCCTATATTTTAGGCTAAGAAGATAATCTATTTTCTGGGGTTTTGTACATTATCCACTGTCATTCTTCTTTATTGGTGTCATTCTACCAATAGCATGGGTAAATATTTAAAGAATTATAATTTTAAATTAGGTGTATTTTGTTTAAAATGTGCTTTTAGCCTGTGCCAGTTAAAGTTCTCATAGTTCATCATTGTTTTTCAATTTGTGAATTTAAGGCAGTCTACTTTTGTTGTGGTCCCACCTAAGGTGATCTCTAATTTTGAGATTGATTGGTCAAGTTATGAGCTCATGAGTGTCACACAAATAAAAATTAGAGCTTTATAAGTACACAAACATTTTAAATTTGGATAAAATCTTTCTTGCCTAGTCTAAACTTGATTAAAGTTTAAAAAAATATGTTAGTATCTATATTCAAATGTTAGAAGCAAGTTTTTTAAAATTAATTATAAAAACTTATAATAGTGATGGATTGATGATTTTAAATTTCATATTAAACCAATATATATGTTTTTCTTTGCAGCATTAACAGCATTTAGTTTTCTAATGATATTTGACATACTAAGGTGAGATTGCAGAATATGATTTTAGAAATTTTATGCTCTAAAGAACATAATTTATATGGGTCGTTTACCAAATTTTAAAAAATAATAGAATAGAAATAATTGAGCGCAGTAACAAAAAATGTAGGGTTTTTTTTTTAAAAAAGAATTTTAACAAACATTTACCACTGGAAGCATCTTTTTCTGTGACCAAATTTGTGTTTAGAGTAACACAAAATAAAAAAAAAATAAAGATGAAGCCTTTTACTTTGATAATTTATAAGGCATAAAATATATTTTAAAAAAGGAACTACGTAGGTTTTCAGCTATTTTTACTGAAGGTGCATTTTAAATAAATATTTAAATGGAATATTTTATTTATCAGTTTGTTGACATTTATTAAGTGTGTGGTGGGTTCAAGCTTTAAATAGAACATTTTGAATTTCAGTTTGTTGACATTTATTGAGTGTGTGGTGGGTTCAAGCTTTTAAATAGAACATTTTAAATTTCAGTTTGTTGACATGTTTATTAAGTGTGTGGGTTCAAGCACAGCAGCCATCTAGTGTTTATTCATTTGGGTAAGTTTTTAATGTTGCTGTAGCTCAGCAATGTTTTCTCTTGTGGAGAGTCCTACACTTTGGCTAGAAGCTAGGTTTGGTTAGCCTGTTGCCCACCTGGGACATAGGCAGCTGACAAGAGCTTTCCAGACATCTCTTGTCCTGTGCTACGGAGTGGTCTAGCGGTAGAGAGCTGGACTGCTAACCCGTAAGTCTTGAGTTGGAATCCTGTTCAAATCAGTAGACCGTCCCTGAGTCCACCCAACTCTGATGGGTACCTAACTCACATTAGGGAAAGTAAAGGCGGCTGGGCATAGTGCTGACCACACTATCTCTTCATATGCCGAGGTCACAGAAACAAGTGAACTCTACTTCATTTGCCCCATAGACCGTCAGGTTTGAAAGGGAAACTTTACTTTTTTTTATACTGTCCTGTGCTAGTCCCCCAAGGTATATTCAATCTTCTTGGTGTTAGCTAGATGTTATGTCATAATTTACTTTTGTTTGAAGAAAATTAATCTCCTACTGCTATCAACAGGTATGAGAGATTTGAAGTTCTTGCTGTTTTTGCTTGTACAATGTTGGCACAGCTTGGTGCATTTTTTATTATCAAAGAAAGGTCAGTGGATGAAATAAGCAAACTAAGTTTCTAAAAAGTTTAAGTTATTGTCTAAATATTTATCAAATTTTGTTTAGTACAAACAAAGTAAATTTAATGGAGATTTTATTTCAGCATTGAATGTTTGCTGTTCCCTCCTGAGGTTCACACGTAAGTCAATTTAAAATTAAAAACTACTTGAACTTGAACTTTTAATATCATAGATCTTTTTCACTACATTTTTTTTACTTTGATTTTTCAAAAAGTTACTTGAAAAATAAATAAACAAAAAATCTTTTAAAAAATCTAAGTAAAACAGTTTATTTTAAATTGTGTATATAATACTTGGTTTATCTGAAAAGATTACTGCAACTTAAAACACTGCATCTTTAAAGAATATGTTTTAAATGGTACAGCATTTTTTTTTTAACTTGATATCTATATTTATCTTCTTTCCAACTGAATTACTATGTACCTGACATAGTGTATTCATATCTACCATAACATACATCCTTTTAAATTTTGTTTTACAGTGGCAGGCTTCTTGTAGGAACAGCTTTTGGATTGATAGTTCATCTCTCTGTGATTTATGCTGTCAGGAACAGAGCATTTAACCATGTCATTGATGCTTCCAGCTCCAGCTGGTTACAGGAACATGTTACAGACATGAGTGAAAGGTCAGAACACATTGAATATTTGCTGATGTTGCTACTAGAACTGTCACTTGTCAGTATTGATTCTTTGATACTACAATCATAATAATGTCATTTGAGCACTGAAGTATTTTTATTACAAGCTTGCCATAAAAAAAATTCACCCTTTTCTTCCTAACCTGTTATTTCAAGCTCGAAGCATTAGCTAAGATCTCATGGCAATGCAATGTTTTTGCTACTCTATATAGCAACCATGACTTACATCTATCTGTTATTCTATTTCCTTCTTTCTAGTGTATATATAAAAGCTTGTTATTAAAAATGTTTTATAAATGTATTAAATTTTATCAATTTTAATTTAATTTTAAAATTTCAGTTTGTGTCTCTTTGTGCCTGGTCTTAGTAAACTGCTCCTTCCAAGAATAAATCCATTTTCATTGATTGGATTTGCTTGTAGCGTGGCATTGCTGGTTACATATTTTTTGATTGATACACAGTAAGTAAACAACTACAGTAAGAATTTAAAAAATAGTCTAGTTTTATGAAATAGAAATTATGCCTAATATCATGATGTAGGTTTATATATTGACTCATGTAAGAGTTGGTAGAATAGACAGTTATATATGATGAAAACTGTTCAGACAGCATAGGAGTGCTTGTGTGAGTTAGAGAGTTAAAAGCAGGATGACTAGGAAGCTAGAATGTGGCATGGTTGTTAATAGGGATGAGAATTGAGTTGCTGCATGAAGAAGTGCTTGTGGATTTTTTTTATTTTTGGAAATAAATATTGTAGTCAAATCCATTTTCAAGTCATTGAATGCACTAAAATAAGATTGACTGCCTGGTAGAAATTGAAAGAAATCACAAACATATCTACATTTTAATATGATGGGGAAAAGTTTGAATTATTGTAACTATTGTTTTCTTAATTTTAAATGCTCTTCTTACCTTGTTGCCAATTTATGATAGCTTCCCCTTTAAGTTTAAGAACTAATTGTAAATAGAAGTAGGCCCAATAAATAATTTGTAGTTAGATATTTGAACTTCTTTTCAATTTTAATTATTAAATCTAGAAAATGGCATTGTTTAAGAGAAATTAAGAAATTGTATTTTATTTTAAACTAATTTTTACAGTCAATATTATCTTGCTGATCCATGGGCAGCAATAGCCATTGCATTCATGACATTTGGCACTATGTTTCCTATGAGTGCATATACTGGAAAAATATTGCTACAGGTAAATTGACCTAGCTTTTGTTCATTCATTGTTACTCTATTCTATTCTTACACAATTTGATACGAAAAGCATGCTGAACTTGATTAATTAAAAATGAAACCCAACTATTAAAAATTGTGCAGTGCTGTCCCAATATGTCGTTTAAAATAAATCCAGTGGTTTATTTTTAACAGAGCAAAATTTAAAAAGTAGCTTTTTTTTTACATGGTCTTTTTTTTATCTCTTAATAAATTTTATATTAAAGACGACCCCATCTCATATACTTGGTCAGCTTGACAAAGTTCTGAGAGAAGCGTCAACATTAGATGGAGTTTTGGAATTTAGACATGAACACTTCTGGACACTTTCCTTTGGCACTCTGGTTTGTAAAATTCCATTATTATTTACTTCTTACTTTTTAGTTATTTTCACATTTTAAGAATACATTACTATCAATGTCTGCCAATACTGTAAAATTTATAAAAATGTTCTTTAACATGGAATTGTTTTATTCATCAGGCGGGCTCAGTACAAGTCAGAGTGCGTAGAGATGCTGATGAACAACTTGTTCTGGCTCATGTTTACAACAGGCTGAATAATCTGGTATCTAGGCTCACCATACAGATCTTTAAAGATGACTGGTCAAGGTCATCTGCTTACACCACTGCTGCCCTAAGTGGCATTTCTTTCCCTGTTGTGACAGGATTCCCTTCTCCCCCCCAGTTAGCCTCACCCATCCATGAGATATACACTCCAGCCTATTCTCCTCTCCCATCCTACAGACCCAACCCCATGTCATAACTGGTTTCAACAGTAGTGCTCTTTACTTTAAAACATAAGTCAACCAAATTTAAGACAGGATTGTAATTAAATTCCAGGTATTTAACTTTCATACAGGTGTTTTACCTTCATACAAGACATGAAAATAAAATAATCATTCACTACCTTTTGATATATGTCAGTAAGAATAAATAAAGTAGTCTCCTCTGTATTTTATCTCTTGAAAACTTTTATAAAGTTCATATTTTACAATTAATTGTATTTCTATTTATCCAGTAATATCTATGTTGTTTATGTATATAAATTTGTAAATTATGTAAATGGGGAAATAAAAGGAAAAAATGTAATTCTGTTGTTTATTTTTTAAATGATTTTTCTTAAAGATGTAGTAAGTAAATACAATTCTGTCATTCAACCACATACTTTAAACTTTGTTATCTATTAGCATGTTCCTCAAATACTGGCCACCATTCAAAATTTAATTAGGCATCTATTTAGTTATTGATAATGTGACTACCATCACACTTAGTAGTTCTAGTGAGGATTGGTAGCACGGATCTTATTAAAGGCCTCTAAAAGTTTCAAAACTCTAATTAGACTTATTCATTATACTGAAATACCCAATTAATTTTCATCAATAGTTTAATAGTTGTTTTCGATTAGGTGTAAAACCATGCATTGTTCAATTGTGCAACATTCATTATGGACAGTTTACTCTTTTGATTTTAGAATTAAAAAACAGTTCAGTAATATAAGTTAGCTATAACAATTTCACGTTATATTGCATACATAATTTTCTCTTTAAGTTTCTTAGTTTTGCATGATAAAGCAGTTTATTGTCAAAGCATTAAGGGATAAATATGTCTAGAATGTTAAGTTTATACCCTCTTAACAGATTTTTAGAATAACTATATACCATGGCATGACTACTTGCTGGGGGAGGTGGGGATAGAACATGATATTTGCAAACTAATTTATGCAAGTGTTCCATAACAAAATACAATTCACAATTACTATTTTATATTTATTATAAATATTTTCATTTTAAATAATGGGCATTCTTTAGAGGGGTGTGGCTGCTATATGGAGGCAAAAGGACAGCAACTGGCCGATGGACAAAGTTGGGATAATGTTATAGACCCAGTTTCCTGGGCAAGTGGGGATAATGTAGACCCAGTGTCCTCCATGCCATCCATTGATAATACTATGCAATCAATTTATTATGACAAGTTAATTATGTGTTTTAAAACATTTATTTGACAAAGATTTATTTATTCAGTTCCTTCTCCTGGCCCCTATCTCACCCCTCTAAACCTGGTACTCCACTGGTGTCACCTTGTGTGGCCCACACTTTCTAGCAAAGCCACTGCCATGACACGTTTCTGTTAAAAGTAAATTGTAATACGATGCTTCAAATTTTCACTTTGGTGTGAACTTTCAGCAAGGGAGTTAAATGAGTGACTAGGTTTCACACAAATTATTTAAGAGTATGTTTCAGCATTTTAAGCTATGATGAATAAGCTTCAATGAATTAATACTTTTTTGTTATGAAGAACTCCTGATATATTTGAATACTTATAATTGAGAAGTCAAATTTAAAAACATCTGCCTTTTAATTTTCATAATTGACTGGGCTGAATCATGATGTCCACTTTTCTGGTGTGAGTTAAGAAATTTACATGTTAATGTAAAATGATGGTAACAGAAATACAACACTGTGTTTGGCTTTAAGATAAAAGAATGTAATGAACCCTTTATTATAGTATGGCAGAAGCAATATTTTACAGGTCAACTTTGATCTCCCAGACTTGAAACAAATAGAGACCAGTGTTGTGTGGACTTTTGGATGTCTTACTGTCCAATGTGTGGTAAACATTGCCAGTGAAATTGATTAGTATTCAGTGTAAAGTCACAGTTTTAGAATATTCTATGGTGAAAAGATGCGTGTGGTCTAGAATGAACAAGATCAATCAAAATATATAAAAAGGAAAGCATGTTTGTGCCATTTCCCCCCCCCCCCCCCCCCCCCCCGTGCTCACCATTGAGCACTATGGCGTCAATGTTCGTTTTAAAGAGTGACACGCTCACGTCTAAAAAACATGATTGACAACACAATAATGTTTTTATCTAAAAACCATTGTAACATTCATCTTTATGCACACAATGACTGCTCATTATCTTCATTATGTGTATTATAATCTTTAACTTTTAAAATTTAATTTATAAACATATTCCTAAATATTAATCTTTTTTTTTAAACATCTGTTTAGGTTAACATATTTTATTGGTCCAAAAAATGTTGGATTTTTTCAAGTGTGTAGTTTTCTACTTTCTTGTTTTTTTAACCATATCTATTTCTAAACCGGTATTCTTTTAAGCCTTTACAGGTCAGTTGTAGGTTAGATAGAAATAGGTTAGAATAATCTAGAATTAGGAGAGAGTGCGTGTGTGAGTTGAGTTTATCCTAGAGTATTGTTAACCCTGGTGTATTTATGTATTGTTATCCCAAGGTCGAATGCTGTATAAATGTTGGAGTGAATGGTTGTCAGCTGGTTAGTTGGTAGCGGTTAGGACGAGGTCTACTCTGCTATGTGAAGAATTGAGTCCAAATAAAAGTATACTATATGTGTCACGAATCGTTGAGTTGAACCAAACCTGGACATAACAGGTTGTGATGATGCCTAGTTCAAGATAGTAATTTGCAAAACAATGATTCTTGGTGGTGTGTAGTAACTCCAGTTGTAACCTGATGAATAACTTAGTACTCTATACCATTTCCAATTCTGGCTTGTACTAATGACATTTACAGAGTTATATTTTTATAAATGATTACTTCATACTTGTAAAAATAATACTATTTCCTATCTTAATTTAGTCATCTTAGTCCTACTTATGAATATTAAAACTCTCAAGTCAGAACATATGGACTTGTATTATTTTTTAATGAAAGCTTTAATAAGTAAACAAAAAAACAATTTAATTAGAGTCATGCCCAACAAGGATTGAAGTTTAAATATACAAGATTGTCATACAAGTAAGTGTAAGTTAATAAACAGATATTATAATATTGGAACATACAAATTTGAATACTGAATGAATACACATTTTTTTAATAAGATAAAAATAATTTTTTGTCTGAATCTTTCAATAGTTAATAATTTAATTATGTTTGTAACAATATAGTTCATTTAAATTTGAGTTAACAATCTGCAGGAGCAGATTATTTGAAAAATGCAGTAAAAATGCATTGAAAGTTAGAAGCTTAGCAATAATAAACAGAACAAAGCATTTGATTAAATAAATGCATTAAATTAAAAAAGTTTTAAAATACTTTTTTTTAGCCCAGTAGGCCAGCATAAACAGCTGTATCCTGGTCTACGTCACAACAGCTTTTCACAACTTAATCTGGATTTGTCCATCCAATATAAAGTACTAAACAGCAACATGAGTTGCAAACATTCCATCACCATGGTAACAACTTTTAAAATTTTACATCAGAGATAATGTCATAAACCTTTAAAGTTAAATTAAAGGTGTTTACTGTTCTTAACTTAAACAATTTTCTCATAGATTTGTAAAAATAATTACCCACGACTTGTTGAAATGTTACACAACATAAGCAAAAAAACCCAAACTCAATCCAAATAAATGTTTAGACCACACAATTGGAAATTCCAATATAAATAGAAATTTTTGTCACAGGCTTGTAAAGAAAGAAACTGAACAGGTTATTCTTGTTTTTTATCAGTACCACTTCCACTGGAAACTGTGATAAACTGAATGCGGTCTCTCTGTAAGCGCTCAATGAGGTCAGTATCTTTGAAGATCACACCTGGTGTAAAAACACCACCCCTGAAATACAAGTTTCATTTATTCAAAATATAAAAGATGAAAGAATCAACATTGAAAGAACTTGCATATACACTCATTATTATGCAACAACACACTAAATCAGAAAGATCTGAGGTTTTTTCTAGACTGATCGACAAGCAGAACACAAACCCAATCGAAATATGTTGGGGCAAAGTAAAGGTAAGAGACAAGTATAAAAACATAAAAGGTGATGCAAAGTTTCAGTAATGCATTATGATTGATTAAACCCAATCTATTGCTTCATTATTTATATTACTTCATATAATTTTTATAGTTAACCCATTATGCATAAAATTCTCGTCTAAACTCTAGAAAAGTCAGCAAAACTATTATGCCTAGTAGTCAGATATTAGAAATAATAACTCGTCAAGTAGATTTTTTTTTACTTCTATTCTTCTCAGTTTTTAATAACCAACCAAAACAACAAAGCTACATACTCAAGACGTGTACAGCCAATAGGCTTAATTCAGTAAAATATTCAACTTACTTTTGTGAGAGCTTAGATTCATTCCTGATCAGAGTCACAGCAGACTGAACCATAAATATTGGAGTGGCCACGTAACCAGGTTCTATATCAACAGAACAATAAACATATTAATATACTGTCTTAGATTTAAAATATTCAAACTGTTGAAGCTTTATATATTAAAGGTCATAAGCATGCTTTCGTTAAGATTCTTAAGCACCATAGAGGACAGCTTTTTAAATATTTTTTCAGTGAAATGTATATACAACATACCAGGTCCAATTATTTTTGTTATTACTTTCTTGTTTGGCTTTTGTCCAGACCTATCTTTCTCAAATTTCTCAAACCCATGACCAATAAATGTCATTGAGAAAGATGCCCCATCAATCTGTAAAAAATGTTTTATATCAAAACTTTAAAAAACAAAACAAATAAAAGCTACATGAGAATCAAATAAAACTAAACTTATAAAATTCCAATGCGTTTAAAAAAAAATTCAGTGAAAAAGAGCAAGTTTCTGAATTACCTGTTTTTTGGTTGGTCCTCCTTTTCTAAACACGCCAAATGATACGATATGTGGATACTGTTTTTAAAAACAAAATTTAAAAAATTTAATTGCCAAACCTAACAAGTCTTATTTTAAGCAAAGGTTATGAATTGGTTTTATTTATGGGTAGGGAATAGAAAAATATTGAATTTTTTAATGATTGGGTAAACCAAGTAAGTGTAAGAATATTTTTTACTACTTTACCTTCAATAACAGTGATCTCCCCAAGGAAAAATTTGTGAGAATAAAGAATATAATTCCAAAGAAAATTGTTCCAATAGCATGGCACAAGTTCAAAGGGCAGAAGTAAGGGTTGAATTCAATCTGACAAAAATAACACAATGAGTGGTGTAATAATGATGCAATGCTTTAAACAATGTACTGAGTGAAGTAATCAAAGAAACTTACTGGTCTCTCCATCTGTTTTTTATCTAAAAGTTCTCTCTGTGTTCTATAGAAAACAGATTTGTCACTACCAGGAAAAGGAAGGCACCATTTCTTGAGTTCATTATGATAGTAGAGGAATGACCTAGAGGATTATTTATGGTGTAGTTGTAAGCACTAAAGTATTATTGTTGGGCTGTTTAATTACTTTTAATTGAAAACATTTCAAGCAGTATATTATATATATAATATATACACAATTTATTTTATAAGTAGTTCCTTATTTAGAAACGCAACTCCCAATACCTCTTAGGTAGCCTGTACTGATATTTTGGCATTGGTTCAGGGTACAGCGATTTTCTCAAAGATTTTAATTCATTCCAGTGTGCCAGCCCATAAACAGCTGATTCAAATGTGCCAGTGTTTACTGCACTACCCTGAGAGGGAAAAAAAAATGTATATGCTTTTCATAATGAAATAAAAACTCAAATTCTTTTAAAACAAAGTAAACTTCGTTAAATGTTTTTGTATGACCTGAAAATGATTACCTCTGGTCCAGAGTGAAACTCAACAAAACTTTCAACATTTGTCATTTCTCCTAGGAAATTAAAAAAAGGTTTGAAAGTAATATATTTTAGTTCATGTGTCTGTTAATCCCACTAAAGATAGATGACAATGAAAGTTAATAATTGACATTGGCAACAACATAATCACAAATATAACATAAGCCCAAACACTATGAGAAGAACCCCATTTCTAGACAAAAAAGGAATTTTTCTTCATTTGAGTAAAGTTATTGATTTAACCATAATATTATAGACACTTTGCCTCTTGTATGATGCAGACTTTTTGTAATTAATGTAATTAAAACATAGTTCTATGATTTTTTACAATAAAATATTTTATATAAGGGCATCATGTTGTAAGGATGTAGATATTTTCTGAGTACTTGATGTTATGATTTTATGAACTGTCATTACTAAAAAGTGCTATGTAAGGTTACCATAAAAAATTGATACCAAATTGATCAATAAAGAACTCCTATAATGTTAACTAAGATAACTTCTAAAAGGAAGCCCTCCAATGTAAAGTATTAAGTTGTTTCTCACCATCTTTAAACTGTTGTTTTGTGTATTCAATTCCCATTTCTGCTGGAATGCTATCAAAGCCAACAGTACCAATCACAAACACATTGTTTTCTTTAGCCTTGGCATTGTATAACAGCTGCACCTTTTCCAGAAACTGTTGAATTATTTTAATATGAAATTGATAAGCAAAAGCCTATTCCCTGCATAATAGCAAATAGGATTTAAGTATTTAAGAAACATTCCAATAAAGGATTAACATAATCTGATTCGTGCTTCACCTGTGGCTCTCCACTAATATCAAGATGGTGAGCACCATTCTCAATACAAGCTTTCACAACAGCTTCACCATAGAAACGATACTGAAATTTTAACAACAAATATATTAAAACATTTATTGCCATATAGAATTAAAATAAAATGCAAAAATTCAAACACTCATATTTGTATAGTATGATAATTTAAAAAAAAATGTATCTTGATGTTTTATTTACAAATTTAAATGATTTCAAACATAGAGAGGTTTACAAAGTTTCAATACTAACTGGTCCAACACAGTTCAGGACAATTTTTGCTTGCTTTGCCATTTCTTCTAAAGAAGCAGCACTATCAACATCTGCTATTATTATTGGAATGTCATCAAGATTCTTTCCTAATAAAGAAAGCAGATATGTTATTTATTAAAAAAACCAATACATTTTATGGAAAAATCTTCATGTAGGATTTGTTGTTTTTATGTTTGACAAAGTAAATAAGTTAAATTTACAACTACAAGAATACCTGTGCGCACAGATGCTTCACTCAGTACTTTCTGCAGTTTATTCATATTTCTGCCAGCAACAGCCCAAGTAAGATTTTCTTCTTCTGCAACTTTTGATACTTCATCAATTGTATAATGGCCAGTGAATCCCGAAGCTCCAAAGAGAACTAGATCGTATCGATTCTGAGACATTTTGATTCGCTTTCAGTTTTTTATTTTGCTAGTTGTGGTAGACTTCTGTGCTGATAGCAAAAATATGACAAATAATAATACAAATATATAATTTTATAAAACTGCCAATCAGGACTCACAATAATGCTAATATTTTTCTTTGTAATAGTATTTGAATGGCATTTTAATAGTTGTATGCCATTTGTCTTGTGAAGATACTGTATATAAATCAATATGCTTTAATTATGCTTTAACTAGTTATTTATTTGAGCTACAAAAACAGCATAGTCAAAGTATGCTTTTATTTTATATATATATAGCCCCTTTACTGCACACACTGTCATAAAATCTAATCACATGAATAAAGGTATGTTAGATGACAAGTATGTCTTATCATAAATACAGTTACTTTAGATGAAAATTACATAAAAATTTATTACACACAAGACAAAAAGATAGTTTGCTATTCTTGAATTTACAAGTCACAAAAAGTAGGACTTTTGTGAGTTGCGCAGCAATTTCCATAACTTTAAAAAACATCACTAGATTTTAAATTAAACTATTTCCTAATTCCATTGCTAATTCTGACCAAAATATAGAACACTTGGCATATCAGTTACCATACTGCAAGCCACCAAATACAATTTAGCTTGTTTTTCTTCTTCTCTGTTCCTAGTTTTTAATGTTGGAAGGGATTACCTCCAACACAAGTATTACATGTCAACTTGTTATGCGCTGTATAAGCAGTTGACTCAGATTTCAGCCTACTTTTCTTTTGCTTCCATAACCTTTGTTCAACCAAAAACAAACTACAAGGCAGCAGTTGCTGATTTTTGGAGTTGTCTCTCCTAGAAGATTTGCTTACCCCAGCTATCAAGCCTCATCTGCCTCAGTGCCTGGGGGTTCAAACTGGGTAGGGACTCAATACCTTTTGGTTAAGCAACCACAAACTTTACCAATTTGACCACACCGACCTAGCTTGTTTGTTTTAATATATTAAATAAATATTGTGTCAACTTTTATTCATAAGCTTAGGATATAATATATTCTCATTTTAGTGACAAATGTGCTTGCATTCAGGTTTTTGGTTTTTTTTTTCTAAACTTTTCATGGTTGCTGACACATGTAATTGGTTAAGTACAAAGCAAGGTTTGCACATGTAGTGTATATTAAAAAAGAATAATGTATACAGTATAGGTTGTATATTATATGCATTTATATTGGTTTGTTGCATGTTATTTATGAATAATTCATTGATTGTTAAAATGCCTCCAGGCATGCAGCTTGCCCAGTTATGTCACATCATGAATAATGGAGCGTTAAGACAATCTAAGTCATGCATTCTCCCACAATCTAGTTTCAACAGTCTCTTCCATCTTGACCCTTTCATTTCACACAACAGCACTTTTTAAAGTTTTTATGCTGTACTGTAGTCTTTGTCTACTTGTTTTCTAACCCACAACATCTCTCTGGCTGTAATAATGGGCTAATGATTTATATTTAGTATTTGTAGTGTGATGTTAATCTTATAAAATTAAATATTGTGATAGATCTAGACTTTTCTAGATGTACCTCTACACATTTTAAGGCTTTATGTAAAACCTGAAATTTGTTACATCAATGCAAACCCCCATGTTTCTTAAAATATTGAATATATATTAATATTTTAATTTTATATTTAATGGTCAATATGATAAACTTAAACGAATAACGATAACGGTCGATCATCTCATCCTCATGATTCATGAGATGAGGGCTGGGTATAATGACTGAAACAGATGAACTCTACTTCATCTTTCACGTTTGTCTTGGACACGAACCGAACGAAAGTTTAATGATTAATGCTGAAACATTGAAACAACGACATGTCGAGAAGTGGGAAACAATGTTACAATAGCCGCATAGCGGTACCGGTACAGAGAAGGAGAGTTATACAAAATAGTCAGTAAAATCATTTTAAAAGTTAAATTACAAAAGAGATAAAGTGATCTTTATTTTACCTACAGTACTATCTAAAAATGAGTCACAAAGTCCAAAACGGCGTAGATTTTTCCTAACACAAGAACACCGAGCTGAATAGTTATGACGATTTATAAAAGCAAGTTTGACCTGATCAACATATACAAATTTTGTCAATTAGTACTTTTAAAATCGTATAAAATTAGTAGATCTTAAGATCTAGGCCTATATAAATTATGAATTCATTGTTATTAAAGTTTTAGCCTAGTATACATTTGTTTTAATTGCTTGTGTAATGTAATACAGTGGTAAGGATCTTGATCTAATATTTTTAAAATATTGCCCTTCTCTGTTAAATAATTAATTTGGCTTCTAATCTGCCGCAAAGGCAACTAAAATCATAACAACTGTTTTTCTCATGTTGTTTTGAACTTTGACACAGGTACTAAGGTCAATGACACAATTAGGTCTAGCTAAGCATCAAAACGTTATGGAACAATATGTTTATGTAGTTTATTTTAGTTAGAAATAAATCGTGTTCTTAGATTAAATTTTATTTGACTAACAACGCAAAAGTAATTTTTAATGCATGTTTACTGTTTGTTTGGTTGGAGGGTTCAAGCGATTCTAGATATTACAAGTTTTAAAAAAAAATACATTTTACACACAAAGAGTCTTACAGTAAGTTTTCATGTCACTTTTGATGTTTAGGCAAACCTAATTTTCTGTGACAGGTAGAATAGCTAGTTACTACTCAGCGCAGTTCTTTTGTTAATTAAAAGTCAAACAACCTAAGCTACTTGCCACTTTTCACTTAGATCTGCCTGGCTGTTGATATAAAATTATGATTGGCATGCTGTTTTCTAGACAGAAAATAGTACATATTGAATATTGTCTATTATTTTAATTTTTTTTTTATGGTTATGAAAAATGATGTTCGCCTGCTGTCACTAACTCAACTGAAAAGTCAAAACTAACTACTAGATTTCTAACTACTAACTAGAGTCTAGATCTCTACTCTCTACAGACTTTTGTCACTTTTGAAGTGAAAGTCTCGAGTTCATATCCCTGATCCCTGGCTCCGTATGACACCTATTACCCAATCTATCTCTGATGGGTATCTGACTCATGTAATGTTTGTGAAAGTAAATGCAGCAGGGCATGTGCCTACCTGTTTTACAGTCCACTGTTTAATCAGTATTTAATTATTATTCAATTATGGGCCCTAGGTAAAAACTCCATTTTAGCATATTTTATTTGCAGCTCCACGTTCACCTCCGGTTGAGTTTATTTTACAAGGAACACAACCGAAGCACACAAAAATGTTAAGAAAACACTAGGATTAGATCTACTTTTTTATGAATGTTTTTTTTAATTAGAAGAGGTAAAAAACTTTATAAATAAGCATTATTAGGACTACAATTCCAACTAAATAGCATGTGATTGCTGGCTTGCATTTTCTTGTCAGCGGGAGAAAAATCTCTACACGGTCAAGGGTTCACCATGAGTTCACATTCACTTTGTGACTTTACTTATCATCATACATCATAGCTATTTGAAATCATGGCGACATTAGTTTTGGGGTCATTGTGAGTTCATATAAGTTTATAGTATCATGCGTGCGATATACTTGTAATATTACAAACTTAACCGCTTTGCAATTATGAGTTTTGTACTTGACCCATTGCCATGAAATTTTAATTGACACTAACATTTTCATTAGTAATATTTCATTAATAATATAATTGATAGTTTAGGAATTTAATTTATCTTTAGTATGCCTCAATACAGTAATTAAAATTTTTATCTAAAAATTATTTTTTTCTGTTTCAGATAGTAGATTTTAATAGAGGACTGAAATCATGAAATTTAGCTTAAGCCTTAGTATAATTCATTGTTTAAAAATAAAATTTAACATATCAGTGTTTAATTATCTTTCACAATGAAGTTTCGGCAACGTATTGCTTGGATATTTCTTACATTTTTCTTAGGAGGTTCTTTTGCATTTGCATACTATGTGTTTGAAATTAACGATCAGTTCAATGATATGGCAATAGAGCACATTCAAATGCAGCATGGTGGTGATGTTAAAGCAGGAACTATACTAGAACATGCAACCCACTTACCTCTAGCTGTCTGGCTGCTGATATTTCTACTTCCTTACTTACAAGTGAGAAATATTTTTGTTTTATTTTATCAATTGTATTTTCTTTAAATTAAAATATTATTCATTGCAGTGGATTTGTGAATGTGTGTCTACTTGTGAATTATGATATTAATTAAAATAGCATTTCAATCAAATTTACCAAGTTAAAATTTATACTGTATAATTAGTCTTATTTAGGCAATTAATTTATAATGTGCTTAAAATTTTCTTACAGGTTTTTGGCTTGTTGCTTGCCTGTACACGTCCAGAACCACGATTAAGTCTGGCTTACATTTGGCCTGGATCTTTATTTTATAGATCTCAGAAGCTTATAAGGCGTTATCATCCTCATGATAGCAAATCCATAAATTCAAGTGTGGTGTTCAATGGGCATGTTGTTGTCTTTGATGCGTGATATTAAGCTTCATACTCGGGAGGGGGAATAATCTAACAGAGTTTTAATTCTTGATATTTTTTGATTAAGCTCTTATGTCAGTTATACAATTACTTTAGATTACTTTATTAAATTTCCCCTTTATTATACTTATTTCCAGAAGCAACTCATGCAGTCCATAAAAATCAATTAACTAAGTCTACACAGCTCTAATTTTAGATCAGATAACAACTTTTAGTCAAATTTCAAAACACTGTTACAAACTGTATTTATGGTAAGCAGGGTACTACAAAGTACAAGACAAAGTTTTAAAGAACAAGTTACATGTAGCAATAAAAAATCCATATTTATTTTTTAAAGTACATTTTGTGATAAACCATTATAAATGTATGTCAACTTCAATGTCTCCACATTACTTTATCAGTTATGAATTTTTTGTCAAAAACTTTAAGACCCTCAAGGATTTATCTTATTTTAAGAACTTACATGGTCAAGTTTTAGACTTGCTTTTATTTATGTACATTTTTTCAATATCCTCTGGCATTTCATACCTCTTGTACTCCATTTATATGATCAGTTTCTCTTTTACCATTATGAATGAAATATGTTTTATTTGTCATGTTAAATGTTTGATAGGCTTGAATCTTCCAATCTACTGCATTTCCTGCTTCCAGATTTTTTTAAATTGTAAGGTGTTTGAAATACTATTTGTGTAATTCCCTTTTTTTAAACATTTTAATTGTAAATGACTAAAAATCATTAATTGATGTAACAGTTTTTGGGTTTTGTATAGTTGTATTCATTTACTGAAATTCATTTTGAAAATTATTTTATTTCTAATTAACAGTTTTATTAATTAAGAAAAATTGAATTGTAAAACTTTCTGTGTTCTTACAACCAGAATGAAGAAATAGCTATGTAATTGAACTATTAATTTTAATGTTCATTCTGTGCTCAAGGACTATGTGTATGAGTACAGAATACTTAAACATTTGTTGTTGTTGTGAGGTTTTTTGAGATGATGATTGATTGTACTTAAAACCTCGATGGATTCATTGTCCTTTTTTATCACAGTAAATTGTTTGTGTTTTTTAATAACACCTAACTTTTTTATTTGAATCACACATAAACCACATCATTTTGTGTATACAATAGGAATTTAACTTTGTTCTTATTTAAACATATTAATATAAAAAATTTTGGCATTTATAGTTAGAATTAGTAAGCTAGACATTACAATTCAACTGATGTTGTTTTATTTTTATAATTACCGAATGGTTTATTTAAATATCTTAACTTTAAAAAATCAGAATGGTTTAAATTATACATTTCTATTTTTACTTTACTAGTATTTGATTCTGTTAGAAAAAGATAATGATTTAGTTAAATATCTTAAAGTTTAAAAATCAGAAAGGTTTAATTGATACATTTCTATTTTTATTTTACTTGTATTTGACTCCATAAAAGATTTTTAAAAATCCAGTTACTTTATCTTCAAACATAGCTCTTAGTCTTACTCAATGTCTTCATATCTTGCCACATCTTTATTATAAATTATCTAAAGGCAATCATAAGGTGAAGGCCTTTTCAAGTCAGTTCTTTTCTGTTTAGTATCTGCATAATTTCTATGGTAGGCTTTTTAAGTGCCTGACCCTCTCACATGATTCTTATACATTTGACATGTTTCCTTCTATTGGTGATGGTGGTTAGACAGTACATTTAATGTTCATGCTATGATTACAGGATTGCCAGGTAAATATCAGCATTCCAAATTCATGTTTTTCAGTCATGGATGAACAGTCCATATATTATTATTCCCTATATAAATCAATTTCTTCTCTGATTCTGATGTAGTTTTTTAATATGATTTTCATAGATGTTTGAATGTCTGTTAAGTTCATCAAGGTGGTGTTATTTTCTTTACTGAATCAGCAGATTTTGATGCCTTGGTCCTCCATGATATGGCTGAGAGTCTATTTAAAGATAATGGTCAGTTTGATTAAAATATCATAGTAGAACTTGAGGGGTATATTGAACAGGTATGAAAGCTTTTGACAAGATTTCCCAACCTCACATGAACTCTCACTGTAGTTGCTACTTTGCAACAATATTCTGTTAATATTTTTCTTTTAAAGACAATCTGTTAATTGTAGCAAAATTTATGTTTTAACTTCAATTGTAACATTGTCACAAGAATACAATTATGTGGAATATTTGTAAACATGAGTTATAATTACATCTTTTTATTTAAAAAATGTTTAAACATTTAATACTTATTTTAGATTTAAAATTTTTAATTCCACAATTTTTAAAATAGTGTTATGTCATTCCTTTAACTTCCCGAAATATTTCTGAAAAGGATTTTTATGCTCTCGGAGAACTATTGCTATCATTAATTAGTTGTTCCTGAATAATATGGGAGGCTTTCCTTGTCTTGTACAGATATTTTGTGGAAAACCAAAGAAACACAATATACAATAATATATAAGAAGAATTATCATAAATTCAGTAAATCTGTAGTCTCAGTTTTCATCATACAACTTTTCCATTTACTCTCACAGAAAAAATGTTAAGAGGTTCTGAGTACTCTGTGTTATGACCCTACACCTAGTCCTGACACTGATACTAAAGCAAATTTTATGCATTTTCAGTGAATATAGCTGAAATAAAATTATTATCAGTGATTCTGTAATTATAAATATATATATATATATGTGTGTCCTATGTATGTGTATATAAATTATATTTATATATATATATATATATATATATATATATATATATATATATATATATATATATATATATATATATATATATATATATATATATATCAGACTATTTCACCTACTGTTTAATGACCATAACATTTCTTTTCATCATGTAACATCAAAGTTAGCCGATTTATTTAGTATAAAAATTACACAGTTAGCTGATTTACTAAGTGTAATAATTAGCATCTTATCAATGGGCAATTATAAAATTATATTTTGACATTTTTATATTTATGTATGTAATGGACTATTTTTTATAGCTTAGTTAAATTTCATTAGTGCACATTATGGTTCACAAATTCTAAAAATGCTGAAATATCATTTTAAAAATATATAGTTATATTTGAATAATTTTTATTGATGTTTGACATAGAAGGAGGTAGGTGATTTTATTTAGATTTTTTAATTAATGTCCTCTAGAAATATAGTTGACTGATTTTAATAAATAATCTGAAACATCAGCTACTTATGAATGTACACAGCTTGTGGTTGTTCATCATCAAATTAATTTTTTTTCCCACCTGACAATCAATGAATTGTGTTTAAAACTTTTAAACATGTTTTAAAAACAGGTTTCATATTTTATGTGCAATGTCAAACTTATTTATTTGATATGTATTGTGTCTTTAATTCAAGTGCTATGCATTGTTTGTGCCTCTGACTGTAAGCTAAAAGAGTAGGTTATGCTTTTGTTAGTCAAATTTTGTGGACAAGTATTGTATTAACTTGTAAATATTCTGGTTAAAATATTTTAGTTTCAGTAAATTTAAAATAGATATGTTCTCCTGATGGTTTACCAATAGATATGTTCTCCTGATGATTCACCAATAGATATGTTCTCGTGATGATTTACAAATAGATATGTTCTCCTGATGATTTACCAATAGATATGTTCTCCTGATGATTCACCAATAGATATGTTCTCCTGATGATTTACCAATAGATATGTTCTCCTGATGATTCACCAATAGATATGTTCTCCTGATGATTTACAAATAGATATGTTCTCCTGATGATTTACCAATAGATATGTTCTCCTGATGATTTACAAATAGATATGTTCTCCTGATGATTCACCAATAGATATGTTCGTAAGTTGATTCACAAATAGATATATTATCTGTATTACCAAATGTACAACAGAGCAGTCATTTTTAGCTATATTCTCTACATCACTGTCTCAAGTTTTTTATTAGTTGTCTAGATGAGTGTTAACATTTTCTTTCTAAGGTCTGGCAATATTAGCAGTTTTTTAATTGGATGATTAAAATAGTTAAGGGAGATTTCAAGTGGTTGCACTGTAGTATTTTGTGCTGTATTGTAGCTGTCCATGAGACAGGTGCAAGTGTAGTAGATTAAATCAATGCTAATGCTATGTATATCCTAAATGTAGCTGTTGCTATTGTGTTTAGAATGTATTAAGATGTGTAGGATGCACTGTTGCTTTTGTCAAGGCCTGATTATTAATGTTAATTAATGTGAGTCAGAAATTATTCTCCCTTACAGCTCATTATGTCATGTATGTGGGCTACTGCTCTTTAAAAGGATGTTTTAAAGTATAAATAGAAGACATGTGATCTCTTGCCTAGTGGCAACAGCTTCTCCTGTGTGATGTTTTATTTTACTTGTAAATTTTACCACAGTTTTATGAGATACTGAAGATGATGTTAAATAAGATTTACTTCAGTGTTGTAAGGTGTTTTATGTAGTGTTGTACAATGATGAAATGTGGCCTTCATGTTGAATAAAATTAATAAAAATGTATTTCAGTATCCCTGATTTAAGCTTTTATTTGGGGTTTTGTTGTGTACATGAATTATTTTAGATATTTCATCATGGCAACGTTTTTTATTATGTCACTGCACTGACAATAGGACAGTTGTTAACTTGTTTTGTTGTTTGTTTTTTATTTTATTTTTTTGAAAAAAAAAAGGCAAAAATATTTAGACGCATTAGTAAAAAACACAAGGTTACCAAATATATCGTTTTAATAGCCAACAGATGCAGACAAGAATCAATGAGACAATAAACGTGGCAATAGCACTGTCGGTGTCCCGTTTGTGTCTACTGGCGTATATCCGTCGTTTGTGAGTGGTCTCCCATTGGCCGAGCATGTCTAGACAGTCGGTGTGCATCAGACCCAGCATCTTCAGCCGTTCTTGCAGGCCTTCGATGGCGGAGGTGAAAAATCTTTCCGACATTATCCGCTGGGTTATCTTCTCATATTCCTGTTTGTCGGCGCCAAATTTTCGTTTGGATTTCTCTTCTTTTGTCAACTTACGCTGAGGACGATAGTTCAACATTAGATTTAATAAATTGCCGGGGACTACTAGCTAAATGAAGAGAGGTGTATTTAACACTGGTTAGACCTGCAGAATCATACCATTGATTGGGGGGTAAAAACGATCTGGTTTTCTTGCTTTATTAGTTGTTGTTTTGTGTTAATAAAGAAAGACACACACGGACTGGGTTATGTCCCCTTAATACAAAAATCAAATCAAAGAGAGTAGAGAACGAGATCAAGGGAGGGCATGGTAGAATGGTAGAGCCTACGGCTGTGTATAAAGACTGAAACAGATGAACTTTATTTCATCTTCCACGTGTCTTGGACACGAACCGGGAAAAAGATAATTCCGAAACAACGACATGTCGAGAAGTGGACAACGACAACGGGACAGAGAAGCTGTGGGGGGGGGGGGGGGGGGGGGGAGAAACTGTTTACTGATCACTACTTAATTAACTGAGATGGCTTCGCCAGTTCCTGTTCGCACTTTAAGTTCAAGATGGTCATTTGGAACTCGCGGGAAAATAAACTTAATAAAAATTCCCATAAAGTAACTGTGCTTACTTTTCGTAAACTGGTCCTTCTTCCACCTCGGAATAGGCTCGTCATGCTTGTTAAAGTAGAAGTAGCCATTCAAGGAGTTATAGAGCGTGACTTTTTAATCCCAAATAAACGACGAAATGTTAACTACAAACGAATACGCTTTGACAAAGGCATACCTCCTACTAAAGCTTGCTCCTCACACACACACACACATCAAACCTCACACTAAAACTTGCTACACACACGAGAAAACATTAAATTGTCTGTAGCCTACATTACAACTGCTATATTAGATCAGGGATTACGAAGTTATTTGACACCAAGACAACGCGCCATTACGATTGCTTAATGTGTTAGCAGCTAGACAAGAAAACATGGCCGATCTTTGTTTCATCAGACTAACTACCAATAATGTGGACATGGTTGTAGGGCATTGGGGAAGGGGAGGCATAGCATCTATTTTATAAATCTCAGAGGTTCTAAATATATGAATAAAAAGTATACTTCCTTTATTTTAAAATTAACTTACATTTTTTAAGTTGGGAAAATTAAGGATGCTTTAAATTGTGATTACTGAACCACTCATTATAATAGCACATGTTACATATAGCTACAATGTGTCAAAACATTTTAGGGGGAATATTGTCCCCGTTATCGTCACACGTCTTCACACTAAGGTAGAACCCCCCCCCCCCTCTCCTAACTCATGAGCTAACACGTCTCACCTTAAAGACGTCATGAGCTAACACGTCTCACCTTAAAGACGTCATGAACTAACAGGTCTCACTTTAAAGACGTCATGAGCTAACATTTTTCACCTTAATGACGTCATGAGCTAACATGTCTCACCTTAAAGACGTCATGAGCTAACACGTCTCACCTTAAAGACGACGACATGAACTAACACGTCTCACATTAAAGACGACGACATGAGCTAACACGTCTTACATTAAAGACGTCATGAGCTAACACGTCTCACCTTAAAGACGTCATGAGCTAACACGTCTCACCTTAAAGACGTCATGAGCTAACATTTCTCACCTTAAAGACGTCATGAGCTAACACGTCTCACCTTAAAGACGTCACCTTAAAGATGCCATGATCTAACACGACTCACCTTAAAGCTACGTTTACGAATGACGCCAGTTTCTGTGACTCCGATTATCTTTGTTTCCGTCACTTCTTCTTCGCTGTCGTCATCGGAGGGCGTGGTGATGGTAGGGACCCTAATGAGCTCACTGGGTGTCGTCATTCTCGTAGTCTGCTGCTCAGCACATTGCTCACCTAGGCAGTCGGGGAACTGGCAGAAAGTAAATATAATTCTGTGCACTCGTGTACCAGCAGAAATAAACCAACTGGGAGAAAGTAAATATAATTCTGTGCACTCGTGTACCAGCAGAAATAAACCAACTGGCAGAAAGTAAATATAATTCTGTGTACTCGTGTACCAGCAGAAATAAACCAACTGGGAGAAAGTAAATATAATTCTGTGTACCAGCAGAAATAAACCAACTGGCAGAAAGTAAATATAATTGTGTGTACTCCTGTACCAGCAGAAATAAACCAACTGGGAGAAAGTAAATATAATTCTGTGTACTCGTGTTTTTGTATACCAGCAGAAATAAACCAACTGGGAGAAATTGTGTACTCGTGTACCAGCAGAAATAAACCAGCTGGGAGAAACTAGAGGAAACCAAGATTTGACCACGAGCAACTACAAGAATAAGCTTATCGTTTTTATCAGTTTAGGAAGGGGCTATCGGCAGGGGAGTTAATACGGAAATTGGCAAGAGTTGTTGTTTCTATTTACCATTGTGGCAACCAAAGAACTCAAGTCTTACACACTTGAATTAAGAACCAATAAGCTTTATACAGGTTGCATTTAGCTTAGGCCTTTTTTAAACGCAATGGTTCGTTTTGATGTTAAGCTTTTTTATTTAGCCAACTTGCAATGATACATCTTAGGGAAAAAAACAGGTTACATGGATAATGCCATTTATTTACATAGTAGTGTAAGAGTAATTATGTCATTATTTACATAGTAGTGTAATAGTAATTATGGCATTATTTACATAGCAATGTAATAGTAATAAAACGTCCAAGTTAAGATGTAATTGTAAGCCTCAAGTAAAATATCCCCATTTTAATAAGTTGGTTGTTAAAACGTGAGATCACACAACTGTGTAGAAATAAAAATGGCACAAACCTGAAACAGGCAAGAGAACGGAGAGTGGGCGGTGAATCGAGAGCCTGGCAGAAGTTGACCTCGGCAGGAATTCCAGCCTCGACCCAACCTCTCAGCTGTGGATGGTAGGAAGTGCCATACCCTCTTACCTGTGCGCGAGCGATTTCTCCCGTGCTCGGCTTTGAGAAAACTCGTTTTAAAGTCGAGGATTAGATACGAAGAACTGTTAAAATTGTTATTAGCTAAATGTAAACGCGGGTTGAGAGTTTTCTGTGGTCTTGTTATTATTATAAATTGTCTCATAATTTGTTTAGTAAATGTATTGTTTCATGATATTATTATAAAATGTTATTTCAGTTACACTTTTGTGAACCCGTGTTATGGTGTGCATGGAACTCCTTATTTTATAAAAATAATGGTCATGCCACAGTCATGTCCTTTAAGTGCCCGCACGGACTTGGTGCGATTTTCCTGTTTTAATAATAAACTGCCAAATGTATTGCCGATCCATGGGTGACCCTCCCCGTGCAATTGAGTTATCTCCCTGCACGATCTATTTTATCATCCCTTAACCATTAGATTACTGCATCTAGCTCTATCCTTTAACCAGATTACTGAGTCTTTTCAGTATCTAGCTTCGTTTAAATATCGCGATAATTAGATATTATTTTAGACGTTGTCAAACGAAACAATAGTCGCTTTTGATAATCCCAATGTTGTCTGGGGTAATGCATAACGCATCATCCCACATGCTTTCTAATCTAAATCTGCTCCATGCTTAGTTTTATGAAAGTTGACAAAAATTTAAACCTATAAATAAATCAGTTTAAAAAAGATTGACTCGCCCCTCCCTATTATCACAAAAACCCAGACCCCAACACCTAAAATGGAGTCACACTTCAGCCTAAATCCACCCTACCCCATCAAGATTGCAGTTTTGCTTTTTAAAACATCAATTTCTTTCTTTAAATCTTCTCTGTGAACATTGAGTAAGACCTATATTAATCCATTTCTATTACAACCAGAGGCGTAGCAACCCTTCACGGCGCCCCGGGCCAAACTTTCTCTTCTTCTTCTTCTTCGTTCTTAATTATTAGTGTTGAAGGGGATCGAGATTTATCTGCCAGTGGGTTTGAACTCGAGACTTTGTTCGAATTTATCAACCATGAGCTTTTTGCCGACTCGACCACGCCTCCAACACAATTAAGCGGTACGTGTCAACTTGTTATGCGCCATTGAGGCCATTGACTCCGATTTCAGCCTGCTTTTCTTTTTGGATTTGCTTCCATAGCCTTTGTCCAACCAAGAACAAACTACAAGGCAGCAGATGTTTGATTTTGGAGTTGTCTCTCCTAGAAGAGTGGCTGTCCCCAGCTAACGAGCCTCGTCTGCCCGAGGGTTCGAACTCGAGACTTTTCGGTTTAGAAACCATGAGCTTTACCGACTCGACCACGCCGACCCCTGCCAAACTTTCAATTTGCCGCTCTTCCCCCCCCCTCCCATATATTTTTTATATTTATAATGCTAAACTGTAGCTAAAATGAGCTTTCAATTTTTTTTTCCCAACCCATTTTGGTGCCCCCTAGGGTCGTCGCCCGGGGACATATGTATCCCCCGCCCTCCTTCGCTACGGCTCTGATTACAACCGCCTTTTAAAACGTGAAATACTACTAAAAATCAATACCTAATATGAGTATGGTACCACGTATGGACGACCCCTAAATAAAAACAAAACCCCAATTTATATAGTTACCTCCCTTACAATAAGTATCTATGGTCAATATAGAAGTAAATAATGTTTTAACTGAATTTAATTTGTTGGAGAAAAGTATTTTTTTAAAATTGAATACTTTAAAAAAAATTCATTCTGATGTGTAAAGTACTTTATTTCTAAAATCAAATGTTCATACAATTGTTACATTTTTTTTTAATAAAACAAACAACTTTACCATAGTAAACACATTTTGATCTCTATTCATCCAATTAAGTCAAATTTAATGTCATATCCAATAGATACTAAAGTGACCCACGCTTTTCTTTATAGTTATTTAAATAGTAGTGTATGTTTTATTTTCTACTTTTTAGTGCATTATTACATAAAAACTTGTTAATAAGACGTTTTTACTTTCTCGTATATACTAAGTATAGAGAAAGTCTTGTAATCGTGAAAAAATGAGATTTTTGCAATCTCGACGTTTTACACCTCCCTGAGTCGGAAAAACATAGTTTTGCAATCTTGTCCGTATGTCTGCGTGTGTGTGTGTATCTGTCTGTAAACACGATTACTTGAGTACCGTTATAGCTAGGTTGATGAAATTTCATATATAAGTATTATATCAAAATCGTTGATCCGTATAAACTTTTGAACGATTTCCGATAACCGGGAGTGGAACTTTTTCTACTTTGAATTTTTCAAAAGCCTATAACTTGAGTACTATTTTAGATAGATTAATGAAATTTCACAGGTAAGTAAAAGATCTAATTCTCTTCTCTGCCTTTTGTCAAATTTTGAGTAATTTCCGTTGACCGGAAGTAGTAATTTTCGCTATTTCCGATTTCTCAAAAAACGCATGTGAATTTATACAGTACTAAAAATAGTCCGCACTTTTATGCACATTTTATTTGGCGTTCACTTGGTGTGCAATTCTTTTTTTCTACAAGATTCTATTCTATTTTCAAAAGTTTAAGTATTTAAAATGGATTAAAAATCATGTCTATATCCCGAATTCCATCCTCTGAAGTTTCATATAAGAATATTCGATAAAGTTTAGGGGAGATCACTTCCGTTTTATTTTTTAAAATAGCGTTTGAGTTTCATTTATTTCAAAAGGGATTTTCCCCGTAATTAGAAGCCACAAAATGTGCTTTCGAGGAAGTTCGTATCGTAATAATAATTGATGTGTGAAATTGAAGTCAAGCGTATTTTAGGCCTACATATCGCCATCACGAGAAGAAACTTAAATGCTGGAGACACACTCGTGTGTTATTTGACTAATACGTAGGTTCTTATCCTATTGGTGAGGCCAGGGAACGACTATGATTATATCGCTATTCACGAGCTAGCCCAACACATTTATGTGAACTCTAAATTACGATATAAACATTAGGACTATAATATATGCACCGGAAATTAGTATTCGCAGTTTAGTTTATTATCATTTTATTCTTTTTAAGTGTGGCGAGGGGTAAACTTGACTTTCCTATAAAAAACATCCGTAAATCTGAAACTACTTTGTATACTTGTCATTCAGCTTGGAATTGGCAAACTTTTGTTACTGAAGGAGATACGGTAAATCTGTCATTTGACAGAGATGACTATGGCCTAGTACTGAAAGACTGTGATAACTCGCGATTAGTATAATTAATTTAGTTTCGGCCGCGAATTAATTTTTTATAGAAAAAGAGATAATATCTCACTGTCGCAATAAATAGATAGATAATTTTGGAGGAAAAATAGCGAAACATAATGTGACATCTTAGTGACAGAAGGAAAAACTCGGCATTTTGACCAGCCATTGCTATTCGCAATTTATGCAGCGATTTAATTTTTATAATGTGTGGCGAGAGTTCAAATTGACTTTTCTATTAAATTTTTTTTGGTAAATCTGGAACTACGTTGTATACTTGTCATTCAGCTTGGAATTGGCAAACTTTTGTTACTGGAGAAGATACGGTAAATCTGTCATTCAAACAGAGATGACTATGGCCTAGTACTGAAAGACTGTGATAACTGGCGATTAGTATGATTAATTTAGTTTCGGCCACGAATTAATTTTGTATAGAAATACTTAATAATATCTCTCTGGCGCGAAAAATATATCGTTAATATCCGGAAGAAATAGAGCGAAAAATAATGTGGAGTATCGCAAGCGAATGGGTTTTTTTTTGCCATCTAATTTTTTTAAACCTATGACGCTCCTTTTAGTTTATAAGCTTTATTTAAATTACTTCTTTTTTTCTGTCTTAATAATTCTGTTTGTCTTAAAAATCCTGTCTGTCTAGATCGAAATTGATTGGTTTTTTTGCACGATTACAAGACTTTCTCTATAGCCTACTTCGTATATACGAGAAAGTAAAAAAGTGAAAAAAAAAGTGTAAGAACAAGCTTTTATGTAATAAAGCATTAAAAAGGATAAAATAAACATAGTAATAGTAATACTAAAGGGAGAAATACAACGGGCGCTGGTTGATAGTGTTCTCTTTTATCTCTAAACCTTAACCAAAATCACCAACTCAACATCAAATTTAACCGGAAACCGAAAACGAAAATGTCATTGAAAACTTATTTTATCCAGAATCGGCATTTAATCAGATCCAGAAATTTTAGCCAGATATGAAAATTCAGTCTGAAACTGGATAAATAACCGGAAACGAAATATTATTGAAATTGAAGTTTTATCCAGAATAGGTACTTTAACCGTTTCCGGAACTTTCACATGATGGATACGAATTTGAGCAGAAACAGAAATTTAATAGGATACAAAATTTCATTAAAAATGGAACTTTATCCGAAATCGGCACTTTTACCGGATCCGTAAATGTATCCGGATACGGAAATTTAGAACTTTAACAGGTACGAAATTTAACTGAAACTGAACTTTATTCAGAACCGGCATTTTAACTTAATCAGAAAACTTCACCAGAATTGAAATTTTAGCTGAAAAATGATTTTGTAACCAGAAACAAAACTAAAAAGGAAACATAAATTTATCCGCAAAAGGACATTTTAACAGGTAACGAAATGTAACCTAAAATTGAACTTATCCGGATACGGAAGTTAGATTCAAACGGAGATTTAATCGCAACCTGAAATTAACTAAAATCGAAACCAATAGAGGTACTAAATTTTACAGGAAACAAGACTGTATTCTGAACCGGCATTTCCCCCTCCCCCCCCCCCCCATCACAGCGACCTCGAACAAAACATACTGTGTATAGAGAATTTATTATTTTACCGGTGTCCACGTCTCTCTGGAAAATTTAATCCGACCCCTTGTAGATTATGCAGGCTAAAGGTAAATCCTGCTACCATAATCTTAACTTTTTACGCTGTTTTGTCACAAGGTCTGTCCACTTTACATCTGCCATTTGTGCTATTCCTGCTGGAAATATATAGACCGTCAATCACTTACAGCTTCGTTCTTAAAGCTGTAAAGGATGCTGAATAACTGTTAACAAGTGCAAGTGTAGTAGATTAAATCAATGCTAGTTTGCTATGTATATCCTAAATGTAGCTGCTGCTATTGTGTTTGGAATGTATTTACATGTGTAGGATGCACTGTTGCTTTTGTCAAGGCCTGATTATTAATGTTAATTAATGTGAGTCAGAAATTATTCTCCATTACAGCTCCAAGTGTAATGTATGTGGGCTACTGCTCTTTAAAAGGATGTTTTAAAGTATAAATAGAAGACATGTGATCTCTTGCCTAGTGGCAACATCTTCTCCTGTGTGATGTTTTATTTTACTTGTAAATTTTACCAGTTTTAGGAGATACTGAAGATGTTGTATAAGAAAGATTTACTTCAGTGTTGTAAGGTGTTTTACGTAGTGTTGTACAATGATGAAACTTGGCCTTCATGTTGAATAAAATTAATAAAAATATATTTCAGTATCTCTGAATTAAGCTTTTATTTGGGGTTTTGTTGCGTACATTAATTATTTTAAATATTTCATTATGGCAACGTTTTTTCATTACGTCACTGCACTGTCAATGGTGCAGTTTTTTTTTAGTAAAAAAACACAAGGTTACCAAGTATATCGTTTTAATAGCCAACAGACGCAGACAAGAATCAATGAGACAATAAACGTGGCAATAGCACTGTCGGTGTCCCGTTTGTGTCTACTGTCGTATATCCGTTGTTTGTGAGTGGTCTCCCATTTGCCGACTACTGGCTAAAGCAGGGGTCTCCAAACTGTTCAGCCCGAGGGCCGCATTGATTATCAAATATCGGTTCGGGGGCCAGAGTTTTTTCCATGCATCTCTTTGGGGTGACGGTGTCCCCCTTGCCCCCCTCCCTAACGAAATATAATTTATATAGAAATATATACACATTTTAAATGCACTACCCAGGAGAAAAAGTCTGAAAGAAAACACTGTCGTGGGCCGACAACACACTCGAGGTCCAATTTTGTTCTCCTATGGCAAACACAAAAACCCAGCCGCTATTTTTTAAACTTGTCTCTAAGGAAGTCATTTGCTTGCAATTCAATGACCTACTTAGGCAGTTCATCTAAGTTTTAAAACAGTCTCACTTCTTCTGTCTTTGAATCCTAGTCAGAAAACCGCTACTGAAACTGCAGCTGGAGGTCTTTGATGATCTCGCATGCAAATGATGTGGGGAACTTAGCTGTTTTTTTAGCCAGAAGATCTTGAACTGCTGAAAGTGGGTCAAGTTGTTGCTCTATACTTGTTCCAAAAACATGGAACAGCTGTCCAGCTAATTGCGAAACTTGTTAGCAGTTTTCACTATTTGAAAGCTACATTTTCAAATTGTTTTGAATTTTCTGGGCAAAGTTCCGGGAAAAAGATAATTCCGAAACAACGACATGTCGAGAAGTGGGCAACGATAGCGAGACAGAGAAGCTGTGGGAGGAGAGAAACTGTTTACTGATCACTACTTAATTAACTGAGATGGCTTGGCCAGTTCCTGTTCGCACTTTAAGTTCAAGATGGTCATTTGGAATGGGATCCGGACAAAAAGCCGACATGGACAAAAGGCCGTCAAGACAAAAGGCCGACATCCAAAAGGCCGACAAGACAAAAGGTCGACAAGTTTTATAAAACAACAAACTACAATTACAGACATGTTTAATTTTTATTAAAAACCAGTTACATAATGATAAAGGTATATTACAAAATAGAAAAAATAGGGCCTAGTATGACAAATTGTACGCGACGCCACGCAAAAATTCAAGTGTTGTTCTGTTTCCCCTTTCTGCAATTACATTTGTTATCCTGTCCTCTTTCTGTAAATATTGTTTTTTTTGCTGGCTCTCCAAGCAATATTGCCTCCATCTCTACTTCAACTCTACCTTGTTCCTGTTTTAGTTTTTTTAGCAAACAAAAGACTCCAGGGTGATCCTTCCCTACAAGTACCTGCCACCTCCTGTGCTACCCCTCAACCGTGTTTTGTGTCCTAGGAATCCCATGTACATGATTGTCATGTACAGACCAGAACTCTGGTGGAAAAAGTGATGGAACCATCACCTCTCTTGTGTTTAACAACCTCGCTCGACCACAAACGTAGGTCTCATCAAACCACTTCACCAACTCAGCTGTGTTTGGTGGGAAAATGCTTTTTAATGCATTAAATGCTGCCGGAATCTCTGCACTTGTAAGAAATGCCAGTGGTGCTATTTGCCGCATCAGCAGGCAGAAATGTGGATCCTGACCATAAAGAAGTGCCAAGCCCAACGCTTGTAGCTTTCGCCATATATTTTGGCTAAAATGAAAAAAAAAAACACCCTTTACTTGTAGCTGTTGGGAATTCAATGAAAGCATTGATTGCAGCTTTCTCAAAGTCAGTGACAATTAACCGAGGAGATAAGTGTATGCGCATTTTTTCTGCGATTACTGCGAGGTCCTGAAATGCTCGTGTATACAAAGCCTCGGTTTTTCGAGACATCAAAATATTTAGATGTTGATCCTTTGTCTTTAAGACACTCCCGTAATCTTCAGTCGCTTGGAGCCGATGGTTCACCTAATAAGGATAGCAACTAGCATCGTCTCCTCTCTTGAATGTTTCACCTTATTTCATGCCTTATTTCGATAGCTGTCAAGATAGCAGCTATGCAGTAACATATATTTGGAGATAGTATTTTTTTATGCTTGTCGGCCTTATGGCTGTCGGCCTTATGTCATGTCGGCCTTTTGTCCATGTCGGCCTTTCGTCCATGTCGGCCTTTTGTCTTGTCGGCCTTTTGGATGTCGGCCTTTTGTCCTACACCCTTTGGAACTCACGGGAAAATAAACTCAATAAAAAGTCCCATAAAGTAACTGTGCTTACTTTTCGTAAACTGGTCCTTCTTCCACCTCGGAATAGGCTCGTCATGCTCGTTAAAGTAGCCATTCAAGGAGTTATAGAGCGTGACTTTTTAATCCCAAATAAACGACGAAATGTTAACTACAAATGAATACGCTTTGACAAAGGCATACCTCATACTTAAGCTTGCTCCTCACACATACACACACATCCAACCTCACACTAAAACTTGCTACACACACGAGAAAACATTAAATTGTCTGTAGCCTACATTACAACTGCTATATTAGATCAAGGATTACGAAGTTATTTGACACCAAGACAACGCACCATTACGATCTTTGTTTCATCAGACTGACTACAAATAATGTGGTTGTGGGGCATTGGGGAGAGGGGGAGGCATAACATCTATTTTATAAATGTCAGAGGTTCTAAATTTTTAATTTATAAACCGGGAGTGATCTCCCCTAAACTTTCTCGAATATTCTTATATAAAACAACAGGGGATGGGAACTCGGGATATAGTTATGATTTTTAATCCATTTTAAATACTTAAACTTTTAAAAATAGAATAGAATCTCATAGAAAAAAGAATTGCGCACCAAGCGAACGCCAAATAAAGATGTTCATAATAGTGCGCAATATTATTAGTACTTTATAAATTTACATGCGTTTTTTGAGAAATGGGAAATAGCGTAAATTAATACTTCTGGTCAACGGAAATTACTCTAAATTTGATAGAAGGTAGAGAATTAGATTTTTTACTTACATTACATATGAAATTTTATTTATCTATCTATTCAAGTTATATGCTTTTGAAAAATTCAAAGTAGAAAAAATACCACTTCCGGTTATCGGAAATCGCTCAAAAGTTGATAGGGATCTACGATTTTTATAAAATACTTATATATGAAATTTCATCAACCTAGCTGTAACGGTACTCAAGTTATCGTGTTTACACACAGACAGACACAAATTTAAACCTATTAATTAAATCAGTTTAAAAAAGATTGACTCGCCCCTCCCTATCATCACAAAAACCCCGACCCCAACGCCTAAAATGGAGTCACACCTCAGCCTAAATCCACCCTACCCCCTCAAGATTGCAGTTTTGCTTTTTAAAACATCAATTTCTTTCTTTAAATCTTCTCTGTGAACATTGAGTAGACCTAAAAATTAATTAATTTCTACAACAGCCTTTTAAAACGTGAAATAATACTAAAAATCAATACCTAACATATAAATGTGCACCACGTATGGACGACCCCTGAATAAAAACAAACCCCCAATTGATATAGAGTTATCTCCTTTACAATAAGTATCTATATTCAATGGAGAGGTAAATGTTTTAAATGAATTTAATATGTTGGAAAAAAAGTATTTTAAAAAAAATTTGAATACTTTAAAAATTAATTCTGATGTGTAAAGTATTTTATTTCTAAAATCAAAATTTTCATAACTTCGTTACAATTTTTAAAAATAAAACAAACCACTTTACCAACAGATCATTCACACACAGGTAATGTATGTTTAGTATGACTAAAATTGGGGCTCAAAATATTGAATTTAATAAGACATCCATCTCCCTTTTATTAAATATTAATTGTAAGAGCTGCGTGGACTGTTGAAAAAGGAATATTTGCATAATGGATATTTACAGTAATAAAGGAATACTAAAAAAAGATATTTTACAATTATTTAACAATATGTCTACATTATATACACATATATATATATATATATAATTATGAGTCATTTTAAGTAATGACCTTAAATGAATACAATTTAAAATAATATTCACATTTATCATGACTTGTATTGCCTTTTCAAATTGTATATTTATAAAACATTAAAGAACATACCATTTAGTTACTATACATTTATGATCAACATTGTCTGACATGCTCAAATTTAAGGGGAATATAGCTGTGTGGAAGATTAAAATCAACCATGTGCAAAAGTTGTTTAAATTATCAATGACAATTGTTCAGTTTTTTGTCTTTCAAGCCAAAATACCATTATTATGTACCAATCTTAAGATTAATAGATTCTCTACAAAGCCAAAGAAATGTGTACAAAACTAGTCATCTATTTTTGTTACAATGACGTTAATTGTAATGTTCATAACTAAAGACAAGTATGTTTACAAACAACTAAAGATGAATATGTTAACACATGAGCAATATGTTCATACATATCTAAAGACTATGTTGACATATAACTAAAGAGCAATATGTTCATACACAACTAAAGAGTAATATGTTCATACACAACTATAGACAAATATGTTGATACACAACTAAAGAGCAATATGTTGATACACAACTAAAGAGCAATATGTTGATACATAACTAAAGACGAATATGTTGACACCTAACTAAAGAGCAATTTGTTCATACACAACTAAAGATGAATATGTTGACACATAACTAAAGAGCAATTTGTTCATACACAACTAAAGATGAATATGTTGACACATAACTAAAGAGCAATATGTTCATACACAACTTAAGATGAATATGTTGGAATGTAACTAAATACCAATATGTTCACCACATTCAAACAAATTTTGGCAAAGTTCTGGGTCTTGCTTCCAGTCTATTTCTGCTCCCATGACCAGCAGTCTAAGGATGTTCTTACAGATTTCCAGTGAATTACTTTTTACTTCTATTTTACTCTTTAATCTGTGAAAATTGAAAAATGAAACAATATTAAAAGAAATAACTGAACTATAAGAACTTCTCCTGTGAAGATCCCTAACTAGCATGGCTATTGTGTAGCATGTTCCATTTACATTTGGAGCGTTGATGCAATCGTTCTTTAAGATAAAAAAAAAACTCATCTGATAATTCACAATATTATTAAATGTGATTACTCTTACAACTATTAACTTCTTATCTTGTATGTACTGCTTATAATGATGGTGGTTTTTGTTGTTGTAAGATTTTCATTACTGATGCTCTAGAATTAGCTAATCACTATAATTGTATAAACATTTTCTTTTTGTAATCATTTTCTTGTAGCATTAATAATTTTAAATCAATAATAAAAAAGAAAAGGAAAACTAGTAAATAAATTACTTACTTCTTATAATCAGGATTTTGTGCAACTGTACTTGATAACAGCTGTGCTTTTGCTTTGCTACTTTTTAATTTTTGCATTAGTTCTAAATTTTCTTTTTTCAGTTCTGTAAAAGAGAAAAAGTATAAACAGTTTTGTAGATGACAATTGAAATTAACACAAATATACAAATATAAATGTAAGACAATGTAAACTAAATTTATACTGTTCCTTGTTTGAAAATGAATTAACAAAACTTCAAGCCAACAAGATGTATTTAATCCTAAAAACATCAAATCTTACTCAAGTTTTCTAATTTTTGAGCATCTAGTTTTTCTTGATACTGACAGGTTTCCTGAATGTTTTAAAAGATTAAAAAAAAAAGCACCAATTATGTTTTCCACAAAAAGTGAAAAAAACGTCTAGGGGTCATCCATAAATGACGTCATGCTTTTTTGACGATTTTTACCTCCCCTCTGTCACACATCGTCACAAAAAGCCAGACCCCCCCCCCTAAAATGACGTCACACCTCAGTCTACAACCCCGCTCAAAATCGCAGTTGAATTTTTTTTTTAAACATCGATATTTTTCCAAAATCTTGTCTGAACTCTGTCAAAATAGAGTATTTTAATCAATTCCTATTTTAATTTGTTAAAACAGTTTTCAAAAACGCAAAATAACTTCTAAAATTCATTTTCTAACGTTGCCTTTTTATAATGCAAAAGTGTGACGTCGCACCATCTGACCCCCCCTCCCCCTCATCACACACCGTCACAAAATTACGGACCCCCCCTCCCCCCTACAAGTGTGACATCATTTATGGATGACCCCCTAGATGTAAAAATTCATTGAATCTAATATATAGAACAATAAAGTTCAATATTTAGACAAACTCTATAAATTATGTTAATTTAATATGTCACAGACATTTAGTCTTCATTCTTCTTTGTTCATAATTCTAATGTTGGGAGGGATTCCCTCAAACACAATTAAGTATTATGTGTCAACTTCTTTTGAGCCATATAGACCAGAGACTCCGGTTTCAGCCTGCTTTTCTTTTTGGATTTGTTTCCAACCAAGAACAAACTAGATGTCTCTCCTAGATGAGTTGCTGTCCTCAGCTATCGAGCCTCATCTGCCCGATGTTCGAACTTGGACTTTTCGGTTCAGCAACCATGAGCTTTACTGACATGACCATGCTGACTTCTCAGACATTTAGTTATAAGTTAAAAATCTTAACAATATATTACATCTAGTTTTACAATTTAACTTTAAATAAATAAAAATATTTTTGACAAAAATACAAAAAGGCAAACAACTGTTTTGAAACATACCCTATGAATCCTCATTAATTGTGTTGCAAGTTCCAACTCCTGAAGACTAATAGGAGAGTAACAAAAAAAACCAACTAAAAATGAAATACCTGCTTGTTAAATGAAGTAATACTTAATTCTAAAGAATAGAAATGTCTATCTCTTCCTGCAAACTAGTCAGATAAAAATGTTTATGTTTGAATTTATAACAGGATTTTATGTTGCTTTTGATTGACAAACTAACAAAAATATGAAATTTTGGAATTGTAAATAAATAAATTACTAAAACAATGTATGAAGCAATACCCACCTTCTAGTTACAAACTGATTTGTCCCATTCACATTTCTATGTTCATTAAACAATTCTTCACACTGTGCTTCTCCCAGTTGAATTCTAAAAAAATATAAAACCTTTAAATGAAATCACCATAAAATAGGAAAAAAAACACATGCTTAATTTAACAAAGTATTTAGTGTAGCCTGAATTGAGAAAGACTAACAGAATCTGATATTTAGAAATGGCATCTGCTTTATGCTTCCTACAGTAAACTTTACACTCAGTTTACTAGCAACAAACTTAATTTTAAAATTAAGAAATAAAGCATTATTCCCGTATTTCTGGCTTTACAGAATAGTAGACACAAAAGCTGTATCATTTATTTTCAAATATTGTATCTTCAAAGTTAAATTAATACCTTAATCTAAGTCATATACACAATAAAGGGGACCATGCAAGACACCACCACATAAGGGCTTATTTACCTTTTTAAGAACAATTCATTTCTAGAACACACATTTGATTCTTCCAATAATTCTTCCTGTAAATCTGTAACTCTATATAATGAAAAGGAGACATTAATAACTTTTTACGTTCTATTAAAAAATAAATATATGGGGGCCAAGACAGGCTTACATATTTCTACAAAACCTACTGTCTAATAAAAAAAAATTTCCTGCTCTGAAAGTTATCATAGAATTATTAGAAAAAAAAAGTATCTTGCATGCAAGAACTGAACAGCTATCACAAAAACATTTCAAAATGCAAATAAAATTTAAATAATATTTACCTTTTATACAGCTCTTCAATATCGCTTGTGGAACTTTGTTGTTGAACTATTGAAAGTGTGAACAAACAAGTGAAAACAAGTATGAAGATATACAATATGATTAGTGAAGTAAGCTTTCTTAAATTTCTAATGATATAGACCTAGATCTAGCCTTTTTCTTATTAAAACTCACCTGTTGAATGTGCAATTTGAAGCTGCCTCAATTCATCTTCAAGCTTGTTTTTCATCTCTAGCAAATCTTCCGCAGACAAATCATCTGAATCATCCATCAGCCATTGGCTTTTCTCATTCGAATGTAATTGATCCATTATTTTAATACTGAAAAGTTGTAACAAAGGAAGATTCACTCTGTTATCAATGTTAGCAGTATACTTTTCTAAAACTCAATAACTGCAAGATGATAAAGTAAAGATTATATAAATAATATTTGCTGATCATTGAAAAACTAATTAATAATTAAAACTTAACTGGTAGCTGTTCTAAATCAAAGATGGATGCATCTGATTGCAATCAACATAAAATCTCTAGAAATCTTTCTATAGTCCTACATTTTACTTTAACAATCATTTGTGTGATAGGTTACAGAAAACAACAAAAAATAGATTGCTTTTAAATTCCATGTTAAATACTGCTTTACTAATCATTTTGTATTGCTAATTATTTTTAAGTGTTTCACAATATACTAAAATTATACTTCTATTAACGTTAAAGCCTTAACAATGAGGCAACTTTGTCGCACATTACTAGCCTCAGCCAATTTTACGTACCTAAAACAATAGATTGCCGATATGTTTAGCCATTGATTTTGGTTTATTATTCAGTTATCTATAATATTGACACAAATATATCATAATATTAATATACTTCTATTAAGCCCTTGACAATTAGGTAACTTTATCAGGGAGAATTTTTATGGAATCTTCTTTAAAAAAGGGGTGTTAGGTTAGTGGTAGTTAACTAAGTTAACTAAATACTAATACACACATGGCTGGCTAATCTCAATGCTAACCCTGTCCCTAACCGTAACACCAACTCTGGTCCAACCATACCAAGTTACCAACCATACGCCTAACCCTAATTAATTAGTAATTAGTAACTATTACTCATTTTTTAAAATATAGGCCTAATCATCCCTTTTGTGTACATTGTACATTACTAGCCGCGGGCGATTTTATTTTACCTACCTAGTCCTGCCTAAATAAATATTTATTATATTATATTAGTAATATTGGGCTAAATGATTAAAGTTTAGTAGTAGATCTAGTCTAGACTAGTCTAGAGTCAAGTAGTAGTTGTAGTAGTAGACTAGTAGTCTAGTGCTAGTGTAGTAAATTCAAAATGTAAACAATTCAACAAACACTGACTAACTTACTCAAGTTACTGTAACATTACTTTATTAATACTTACTGCTAAATTCTTCTTAACTCTTTCTGTTTACTTACTTACTAGATCTAGTAAGTTACTAGATCTAGAATCTAGATCCAGATTATATATCTAGATCTTCTAGATCTAGTCAACTTAGTGAATGATAATAAATATCTGTTGAGATGGATTAATTGATTATAAAACTTCCGGAAGTTTACAAATAAACAGTTATTTCGCTTCTAGAAAACGGGGAGGAGTTTTTAAGCGGTCGGAGGGGATGAGGGAAGGCACCCAAAGGGGTAGCGTCGCAGTCAGATTTTCTATTGCGTGTTATTCTTAATCATATAGAAAAAGGCCATATTATTACTGTATTACATCAAATACACACACACACACACACACACTAAAACCCTATTAGCAAAGAAATAGAAATGAGCAAATGGGGATGAATTGGACACACCTTGCCCAAACCCAGACAGGCATTAAATAGATTAGAATCCCCAAGGAAGAGGAAACCCATTGGCAGTGTTTCTTCCAGACTTTTTTCTCCGGGGGGGGGGGGGGGGGGCACTTGAAATTTTCGGGGGGGGGGGGGCGGTAGACTTTCTTCGGGGGGGGGGGGGCGGACACTGTTAAAAGTATATATTTTCTATATAAATTATATAAATTTCATTTCGTGGGGGGGGGGGGGGGGGGGGGGGGGGGGGGGGCGGTAGAAATTTTTTTTTGGGGGGGGGGGGGGGGGCGAAGCTCTCCCGAAGAGATGCCTGGAAGAAACTCTGCCCATTGGCCAAAACAAACTTGGAAAAGATCAGTTGTTAATGAAGCATAATTAAGCAGCCGGAATGCACTATTTCTTTCAGACTCCCTTTCTCCAGTATGGGAGGGGGGGGGGGAGGGGAGCACTTGAAACTTTCGGGTGGAAGGGGCGGACAAAACCTTCAGAGGGGGGGGGGCAGGGTGCGGACACCCGTATATATTCTCTATATAGATTCTGTTTCGTTCGGGGGGGGGGGGGGATGCTGAAGAGATGGACCTAAGAGGAATCGCCTAAACCGAATACGATGGAGAGGTGTGGTTGCATCCCTATCTACTTCACAAGGATTCCACGAAAATGATGATTTATATTATTCGTTAGTGGCTTGTAAATAGTAAGAGAGTTTCTTCTGTCATTTAACATAGTCAAATAAAAACTCTATGTGACTCAGACACCCAATACCCTCGACGCCTACCAGCTTCATATTCAAAGCTCCTCCCTTCCCCTCCCATTATGTTCACGTGGTCCTACAACACGCAGCAATACTGGCATATATATATATATATATATATATATATATATATATATATATATATATATATATATATATATATATCAGTGGCGTAGCGAGGTCGGGTGTCACCCGTTGCGGCACTTAATGGTGTCACCCCCCAGAGGCGTTGCGACCCTTCCCGGGGACAAACTTTCAAGTTTTCGATTTGCAACCCCCCCTAAAACTTTCGCATTGCACCACCCCCCCCTCAAGTTTTCGATTTGCACCCCCCCCTCAAACTTTCGAATTGCACCCCCCCCCTCAAGTTTTCGATTTGCACCCCCCCCCCTCAAACTTTCGATTTGCACCCCCCCTCAAGTTTTTTTCTATATATTTTGCTATTTTTTGCCTTGGTGTCACCCCCCTAAATGGTGTCACCCGGTGCGGTCCGCGCCCCCCGCCCCTCGCTACGCCCCTGATATATATATATATAAATATATATATATATATATATATATATATATATATATATATATATATATATATATATATATATATATATATATATATATATATATATATAGGGCCTATATATATATATATATATATATATATATATATATATATATATATATATATATATATATATATATATATATATAACTAGATCTATATGGTATGCCTACTGTGTGAGCTGTGAAAAATGATAGGGGAAAGAAAAATGTCGAAGAAAAAAAATTGCTTATAAAAAAAATTAAAACAATTTTAACTTTAATGAATTGGCAGTGAATTTAAAAGTGATTGATGAGAATCCTCGGATTTTGCTACATGTGTGACTTAATCATGAACACATTCGGTTCAGACGTTTAGATTTCTATTCAAGCCTACGCAAATACTAAATACACGCAATTCATTAGATAAGATCATGTGTAGTAGTACTGTATAGTGTATAACTATGCGTAAGGCTAGTAACAGAAAGAAATACAATCTATTATTAGGCCTTACATCACTGCTGATTTTTCAAAAGTCTGAAGCACATTAAATGAAGCAACGAGCTTTAATTTTGATTTAATATTTAAAGTAAATTAATGTTGAAAAAAATAATTAAAATACTGCATCTAAAATAATGAATAGTAATAAATAATAAAATGTAAACGATTATATTTATATATTTCATTGAATCTTAAAAATATAATTTCGTTTCATTATCAGTAGACTGCTTCCTTTAACGCATGCGCAAAGACAATATTCACAAATTTTGTTCTCTCCTAATGTTGCGGGAATATGGTTAAACAATATTAAACATGAATATTTCTGTATGGATAATTTTTACTCTGTGGATTTAATAAAACATACTATCAAACAATGTGTGACCAATGCAGCGAAGTGCTGGTTCTAATAAATAACCGTATGTATTAGCCAATATGTTTTGGCTATATTAAATACATTATTAAATAAAATGAATTGTTGTTGTTGTCCCCAGTCAGTCGAGTGTCAACCGGTATTTTATATTTTAATATTTTTTTAATAGTTCATCGACAATAGATAGATCTAGAGTAAAGTGGCGTATGCGGACAGTTGCCTCTGTGCGGACACCTTGCTGTTTTTCGCTTAAACAATAACTGTATGAATGTTTTATAGGAAACTAACGCAAACAACACAAAGCATGTCCATTTTTAAACACATCTGAGTCCATTTCTTCTATTTCACTCAATAGGGAGATTAATTGGAATTTTTCAAAGTTGCGATGTAAGACGTTTTATGAAAGGGAACCTCACCCGGATGAAGAGCACTAGTCTCCGGATTAGAGGAATAAATCGAACCAATCATAGCTTAGTTAACTGGGTTAACTATAAATAGCTTATATATATATATAGAAAGCTATAAATATCATAGTTAAGGTTGTTTAAGCCATCTTAGAGGAAAAATTGGGGTGTCCGCATCTTTTTTGAGGGTTAACCTTTTGCGGACACTAATGAAAAATCAGAGTAGAATATATTTCTTACACTTTAAGTAAAAAGGAGCTTTGAACTAATCTTGATACTCCAGATTTATATTTAAATTTAAGTCTAAATCTAGATCTATAAGTTTTTAGTAATGTTTTTAGGTTTTAAAAATATTTTTGATCATCAAACGTGTCTATTTCAATCATTTAAATAGAAATAAAATGAACAAAATATGCCTTGTCCGCATAAGGAGCAAGTGTGCGCACAGAAAATAAAATGTAAAAAAAAAGTGCACTTACTGTCCGCACAGAGTCTCACCACTGAAAATGTTAATACATTCAATGCTATGCGTATGAATACAAAATGAATCAGACGTGATTAAACTAGAAAGAATGCGGAGTGAGACGGTACTTTCGGTTTGTTTCTATGTGAAGCGGTTACTGAACGGCGCTCAATGGAAATCGGCACTTCCGTTTTTTTTTGCTACGTCTGTCCGCAGACGCCACTTTACTCTAGGATCTAGAGAACTAATCTAGATTAGATCTAGAAATCTAGATCTAAGTAGTGCAGGCCTAGACAGTAGACATCTATATTTGTATTTCATCTTATTTTAAGTAGATCTAGATTCTAGTCAGTAGTCACCTAGTACTAGTGAGCCTAGTCTACTTCACTACTTGTTAGAATAGAATCTAGATTCTAGATCTAGATCTAGACTAGCAGTAGATCTAGTAAACTACATGACATCACATCTCCTAGATCTAGATCTCTACTCCAATTCTACATTCTAATTTATTTTAGGGCCTATAGTTTAGTAATTTTAACTAGGATTTAGAATATCTAGATTTCTAGATCTAGTAAAATTTTTTAATTATTTTACTATTATTTTCAAGATATTCTAGATCTAGTCGAGGCTAGAGTCTAGATCTAGATCTAGTTGAGTCTAGATCTAGGATCTAGATTCAAGGCCTAACTATTTTAACTTTATATTTTCCCCATGACAATTTATTAATTTATCCAACACACTACAAAACTACTGACAATATCAATAACTAACAAGGGGTCATCCATAAATGACATCACACTTGTAGGGGAGTTGTAATTTTGTGACGGTGTGATAAGGGGGAGGGGGTTCAGATGGTGTGATGTCACTTTTTTGCATTATAAAAAAGCAATGTTAGAAAACGAGGTTTAGCCATTATTTCGCATTTAAGAAAACAGTTTCAATAAATTGTAATAGGAATTGATCAGAATAGTTTATGTTGACAGACTTCTGACAAGATTTTGGAAAAATTTCGATGTTTTAAGAAAAATTCAACAGCATTTTTGAGGGGGGTTGTAGGCTGAGGTGTGAAGTCATTTTAGGGGGGGGGGAGGTCTGTCTTTTTGTGATGACGGATGATGAATTTTTTAGAATCTAGACCTAGATTAGTTATTAGTAGATTAGGTGGAAGTTAAAGACAGGTTTAAAAGTTAGGCCCACCGGCTACACAGTAGAGTTTTTGTTTTACGCCACCATCTTGAGATCCAAACTTGATCTAGATCTACATCCAGACTTTTTCACATCTACTTAATTTTAATTAAATTTTTTTTTTACTTAGGCTAATGAACATGGCATTTTCATGAATGCTAACATTATCCATTGGATAGGCCTAATTATATCATATCTTCAAAAGAAGCAATGTTATGCAGATCTAAAGCTAATCACACCTTTTTTTTCTAGTTTTCAAAAATATAGAACAAATTAGACCTATATTATGCCTAAAACTTAAAAAATGTATGTAAAAAACTATTTTACATAGAAGGATAAACTTAGTGTTTTTATAAACAGCACATAATTTCCTATTAATCTATGTAAAGGCCTATTTTATTGTCCTATGTTAGTCCTAATTAGGTACATTTTTCCCAAATATGTCTATACAGTCACACAGAATTACCTCCATAATTCCAAAAATCTAGACTAGTTTCTTGAACTTCTACTTCTACAAGTCTTTTTTTATTTGCCCTAGGCCCAGATCTATTAAAAATTATTGAGGCCCTAGGCTAATCTAATTTTATTGTTAGAAAAACTCTACTTAGGCTACTTTGTCATTATTATATTAAATAGGGGTCTAGGCTATAGATTTATATTAGACTGGGTTGAGATCAAATCATTAGAACTAGTAGTAAGCCTACTTATCATTATGTTTTCCAGCTGTCACTATAAATCTTTAAAGCTCTATAATTAAAATAAAGTACTTAGGCAGAGGCTATTCCCAACTGACTGGAAATACTCCTGATATGCCTATTGCAGTCACTCCATCAGCAATACAACTAGGAATATCTTACACAGCGTTTACACTTATGACATGTACAATAGACTTGACCTACTTCAGTGTATACTATACATGTTATGGGTATATGGAACATCTTCTGAGTCGCAGGGCACAAAACCATGCCCTTTTTATGTTGTGTCAAGTTTTGGTTTTCCCCTGCTGAGAGAAAACAAAGGACATGTTCACCGTCTGGTGAGCTGTAGTTCACACAAAATGTTTACAATCGTAGCGTTGTAATAGCAGGGGTAATAGCAGATGGGTAATGTCTCAGACCCATGCTATTATATATAGCATTATAAAAACTTTCTAGCTCAGTTGCTCACACTCTAATAAAATTTCTAAAATTTAGCATGTTCTTATTTTTGTATAATTTATTATTGAATTGTAAGCTACACAATTTTCCTTTAAATAATAAAATTACATGCCTACTATCTACGATTTAAAAAAAAACAACTTTGATTACTCTTTCTTTTAATTATCTAGGCCTATAGGCTAGGCTATAGTAGACGCTCCAGGTCAAAGGTCTTGATTATTTTATAAAATGTTCTATAACATGTTCTGTAAGTGTGAACGCCAAAGTATACATGTTCTGTGGACAAAATGTTTACAAATACAATTAACTTTTGGCAGGCTTTGTGTTCTAGAAATGTATAGTATACATGTTGTAAGTGTAAACGCGGTGTTAGTATAATGATATTTATCGGCACTTCAGAAGGAAGGTAGATTTAGACAGAGAACAGAGTTTAAAAAAAAATTATTATTTGTAAAAGGAAAAGTATTAGGGTAAGATTTAAGGTTATTATTTGCTAAGTAAATTATTAATTATGCAGTAACATTAATATGAAAGCTGACTCTTAGTTACCAAATGAGTCTCTTTTGTGGGTCATAATTCCTCGATCAATCCAGTGGAGGGTGGTATGACATACTTTTACATTAGGAGTCAGGTTCAGATAGTGTGAAATGTAACATTTGAACACATTTGGGGGAAAATGCTAAAACAACCTTGCAGCAAACACAAGTGTTTATCGTGTTAGTGTGCAATTCAAGACACAAAATGGCAAGGTGGTAAATACGCTGGTGATCTCATTGCATTAAAAAAGAAATAAAACACCATTATTCAGGGGTTTTTGTTATAAAAATAAGTATTTTCCCTTGTGTAAATAACAAATACATATATCATTTTATTAGCAGGCAGATTATTTGGGTACTCCTGGGATCTATACCTGAGGCATACAGATACTTTCCTGCTGTATTTTATCTGACCATGTTATGCCATGTCATCTTCACTAGTGTAAATCTTAAGTCTATTTATAACAGTCCAAGCTGTCCTTCTATGAATAGTCCATATTTGGCCTATGTGCTATTCTCTGTGAACTGGGAATAAATACTTTGTATTTAGAAAATGTTATTTTTTTACCAACTTTTCTTCAGTCTATATTTATTTTCTGATGGAAATAATTATGTACGACAACTTTTTAGTACATTTAAGTAACTTTTATGTACTATTTAATGTGTAATTACTACAGTTTTTTAAGAAGTCAATATTATTGCAGAATTTGCAAAATAAAATGAATTTAATAGCCCTATATATTATAATATGTGGAAATTACCCCTATATGTTGTAAATAAGTAGACTGAAATTACTTTTTATGAGCTGTTCACTTATTGTCTTATCTTTCTATTTGATTTATATATATATATATATATATATATATATATATATATATATATATATATATATATATATATATATATATATATATATATATATATATATATATATATATATATATATATATATATATCTGTTTCAAAGAATAAAAAAAAAGCCCTCCAATACACAAATTCTGGTAAAATTTAATATTAAATATATTTTAATTTTCAATAGATCACAGTCGGCATGTATCTGGTGGTCCAGCACAGCTGACTAGAACTGAAGTAGAGATATTTATTAGATATGCCATCACATGGAACAATAAGTAAGTATTAGTAAAAAGTAAAAATTTACCCATAGTGCAGTTGAATTGTTCCCCAGTTTTTTTGATAGGCATTAAACCGAATAGTCTGGTCTGGTACCCATTAGAGCTTGGGATGTCTTACGGACTCAAGCCCAAATGAAAATTTTTATAATACAACCACATTCAGTTATCCACATTATTAATGAAAATTTGTTTTAGTAATTTTAAGGGATTTTTTTTTTCTTATTAGATTTTATTGTATTTAGTCACGGTGGCGTAATTGATATTTTTAAATAAATCGATTAAAATTATGTTTTTATGACATTTTCCTATGCTAATGAATCACATTTTAATTTCATCATATTTTTTTTTTTTTCATATTTAGGCGATGCCTGTGCATTTATAAAGACTTTAAAAACTTTGACAAGCTTACAAACCTAGTTCAGGTAATCCTGAACATGGGGATGGAACTCATACAGTCACTGCCAGAAATACTTCCACACAAACTTAAAACAAATGCTTTGGAAGCAGTAAGAAAAGAACGTACACAATCACAGTCATCTTTTGATGATGATTTGTCTAAGAGAGAGTCTGCAAATGATGAAACCAAAAGCATGGAAGATGAGAATAAAGAAGAGTCTGGGTTAGATCCAGATATAGACAGTATTTGGAATGATTGGAGCATTGAAGAACTGAAGCGGTTGTTAGACTTTCAGACTACTTTGTTCCTCTCTAACTTTGCTGTTTATGTGGCCCATAAAGTAATGACTGCACACAACATGGAGGTATTTTTTTTTCATATCATGTTGCAAAATACAAAATTCTGTTTTGAGTAAGCTGTAATAAATTTATATAAATCTACACATTTTATAAACTAGTAATTAAATTAAGTAACTTTCCTAAAATTCTTTTAAAGGTTTCTTTAGACAATTAAAAATTTCTAATTTTACTAACAGTTTAAAGTTTATTAATTGCTTTTAATTCATGTTTAACACATGAAATAAAAGCACAACTAAAGTAAAAGGTCACTTAGCTTTCTTGTTTTACTGCTAAAATAATAGGATTTTTATGACCAATTACAGGAGCTATCATCTGCTGAGACAACAGCTTTACATAACTATTGTGAGATCAATGTAAGTTTTACAATAAGATCATTAAACTATAAGATCATTTTTTTCTTAAATAGTCAGCTTTTTGGGGGCTCATGACATATGAATTATAATGAATACACTGCCACCAACAGTTGCTAAAACATAAGTGAAATATAAAAAAAGATATTTATAAACATAAAATACAAATAAGTTTTCATTTTAAAGTAGAAACAATTTCCTCACAGAATAGTTATTTTGCACAAAATAAAATGTTAATTATATTAAAGCTATTATATTACTTTGTTGTAACTTAGATACTTTGCCTGTGAGATTTTTATTTTTGAAACTAAAGTATTGTAGTATGTTCACTCACAATAATTAGTCAGATAGGACTAATTAATTACTATTGATAATTTTAAAAATTGTTACCTCTTCCTCGATTTATAGGATATAGATGCACCACTTTTACTGCTCAGAAATATTTGCTTCTTCATCGATAGCAACGGAGTAGGTGCAATGAGTCAATGTTTTGAAAAGGCTAACAACAAAAATGTGCCATTAATTTTTGCACACACTCTTATTACTATTATTCAGAATGTAAGTAAATTTGAATATTTATATAAAATAAAATAAATTATTTCAGGCTTTCAAAATGCTTGGCCCATAAGTTTAAAAAAAGTTTATAAAATTGCAGGCATGTTGTGTTATAGCTATTTATTTCTTGGTAATCTGTGTCTGATTCTTACCCTGATCATTATGGGTACAGTGATAGTCTTAGAGCAAACTCTAAATATGATACTGCATTTTTCAAGTTACATTTTAATGAGAACCTAAATTAGAAAATGATTCATGTGCCTGTTATTATAAAAAATATATTTTTTTTCTAGCTTCGAATGTGGGTGAATACACCAACTATAATGTCCTGTATATTACCTCTACGTTCACCAATCATTCGATATATGTGCACACTTTCTGAAGCTGATATGAGGGCAGCTGCAGCTCATAACACAATGGAACTTATGTGGCAGGCTATTAAAGAGCCTGTGGATTCACAAATGACCTTTGACAGGGAAGTCATGGCTCTGGTATACAAGTGCTTTACCAGTACCACATTAACCATCAGATTAGGCAGTATTTGTCAAATAAGTGTAAGTTGTTTAATTTCTCCTGCCATAAGCACTTTGTTGGATTTTATTTGGTTTTTAAAAATCTGTTGAATCATGATTGTAAATTATCATTACTGAACGTTTTAGTTTTTTTGTTGAGATTAATTAATCCATTAACTGGTAATTCTATGGTTTTATTACAGACACTGATCAACACTTACAACGATAACATTACAAATGAGTCAATAATTGATGTAGAAACGTAAGTGATCAGGTTTTATTTTTGTCAGTAAATTATATATTATTCTATGTGGAACAAGGAAACTTTTGAACATCATTAAGTTACCTAAAGTATTATGATAAATAGAAGATATTGGCCCAGTAACCAGATTACTTGTTATACTTCTTGATTAACATTGTTACAATACCTTTTACAGTTTTGGAGAAGAAATGGCTAAGTGGCTGCTTGAAAATAAGATCGTAGAACAAATTTTCGGACCAAATTTGCATATTGAGGTTTGTATAGTTTTAAAATGTTTATATTTAATCTTCATTCTATACCCCCTCTGTACTGGTTGCCATATTTCTTTTCTACAGCAGTTATTTACAAAAAGTAAACTCAGAGATCACCAATTTTTTTTCCAGATTATTAAACAAAGCCAGATAATCCTAAATTTCTTAGGAGCTGAGGGAAAAATAAACAACCAGCATTTGGATTGCATTTGGGCTGCTGCACAGGTATAGATAATTCAAAATTTTCATTTTATAAATTTAAAGATATGTTTAGATCTGTATAAAATGAACAACACTTATAATCCAATTGTTTAAACCTCTTCAAGCTAAAACACTGTGGTAAACAAGTTTATGAAGTTCTGCTCCCACTGATTAAATCAGTAGAACCGGAACAAAATCTTCATCTTAGACACCTCATTGACAAATTGGATCCTGCAAGTTTCAATGAATCTGTAAGTTTTTACTGACCTTTTACTAACATATTATTTGACTGCTTAATAACAAAATAGATTTGACATATTTTACTTTTCTTTTTCCATTTTGGTATGAAATTTACTTTTTAAACTTTTTTATTATCACTTACAATCTGTTCCACAGGTTTTGTGCTTATCTTCTATTTTGACACGCAGTCAATGGCAGGCATTTCAATCTGAAGAAATTCAGAAACGCAAACTAGCCTCAGCATCTGCTGTTGCTGGAAACAGGAGTAAGTTTGTAATATTTTATAGGCTGAGCCATTTTAAAGGATGCAGTCACATTAAAGATAAAATATTGAATAAACATAGCCAATCTGATTACTTTTTTAATTTGATAGGAGCTGTGAAAACCTCAGCTGATCATATGAGTAGCAGTGAAAGTGAATCTGATGATGGGGGTGTTCCCCCTTCCAAGATGCAAAGGGTGAAAAGATAATTTTTATATTGTTTTCTTGATTAATAAAATGTAAAAATAATTTTTTAAAAATATCAAGAAGAATGTTTAGTTTGCATTTATCTTGATGTTTTTAAAAAAAAAAAAAGAAATATTACTTGATGATGACACTTTAAAAAATGTCAGTATCTGTTATACCTCCTGCAGCGTATCCCTGATCTCAATGTCAATGCTGTAGCTGATGAGCTGGCTGGTGCTCTAGGAACAGAGGAAGGACTTTGTTGTGGTGGGTGTGTACCACGACACACCATTCATCATCTACCACAGTCTCACCATACATTAGGTCATCATCACCCACAGCACCATCATCGACATGTACATCATCATCATGGCCCAAGACAACACATGAATCTTCATCGAGCTGGTGTTGGTTCAGATAGTTCTATGGAAGGTTATTACTTTTTCAGATATATCAGTTTCCATATAATACTTAAAAATATATAAATTGGTCCGTTGTAAGAATAAATTTTTAAAATTTTAATAAAGTTTTTATTTTCAGGTCAATCTGATTTTAGTTTCGATGAGGAATATGATGAAGAAAATCCAAAACTTAGAGCAGTAGTTCAGAGTGTGATGGCTAGAAATGTGCAGCAAAAGTCAGAAGAAATGGATGATGGTGGGGAATCCAGTGAAGAGGATGGTGGTGCTGATGTTGTAGTTAGCAAAGAAGGAATCCCTTTACCAAGAACAGTCAGGGCTAGAATGGCTAGAAAACCAGAAGGATTTTCTCAGAAACATGATGTCCATGAAGCTGAAGTAGATGCTTTGGTTGGGGTGGTGAACAATGTAACAGATGAGGAGGATGAAGATGAAGAGGAGGAGGAGGATGAAGATGAGGAAGTGAGTTCAGACAATGAAGAAGGAAGTGATGGCCATCATGATCATCGTCACCATAGTAAAGAGCAAGAGAGGCAGTTGCAGATGGAAGCTGAAAAAGCTATCCGGCATCAAAGGTTGACTAGGCAGTTGTTGGCACCAGGAACTGAAGATGCACCATTAGTAGAAGTTCATGAGGTAGATGATGATGAGGAAGAAGAAGATGATGAAGAAGATGAAGAAGAAGATATGGAAGACTCGAAGGAAACATTAGCTTCAAAGGTATTGTTATAGTGTTGTATTTAACTGTTTGAAAAAACCCACTTTTGTTTTTTACTTGAATTTAGTTAAAGAAATTTGAATCTTCTAGTTATCATTTAATTAAGAGTATCAAAATGTTTCACAAATATGTTTTAGACTGGCAAATCCCTGAGTGGTGGTTGAGGAGTACCCCTAAGCTTTGCTTTGCAATGATTCAATTTCAAAAACTTCAATTCTACAATAAATTTGTTTATTCACACATAAATAAATATATAAAAATATATACACAGACATATATGTAATGTATGTATATGTATAGCAAAATACTACCTACAGCACAGAATGCTAAAATAGTAAGCAACATAAAATGATTTTTTAAAGGCTCCAGCTCATGGCAAAAGTGATGAAAAGCACAACAGCATGAGTGATGAAGAATGGCAAGCTATTCATGGATTACGTGAATATGGTGTTGCAAGAGGTCATAGCCATCATCACATAATGATTGAAGATGATGATACTCTAATCAGAAATCTTTCTTCAAAAGAACTTAAACCAGGGTAAGTGTATTTTATTATTGGTTTATTTTCTATAGTTGTTACCAACCATTTCATTCTTTTATTTCCTGTTATCTAGATAACCAATACCATTTATATTTTTTTTCTAGAACTTATGGTCTAAATATCCTAAGCCCTGATGATGATGAAGGCAGTTGCCACAGTTCTCGCATCAGTAATAAATCTGAAAAAAATATGGCAGATTTTGATGGTGAAGAGGGATTAAGCGAAGAAGAATTGGCTCAAATAAATGCCCATGTTAGATACAATGCTCACCAGACAACCCCACATATGACAGCTCTATACCATCCACATGCTAGAGGTATTTTACTTTCTGTTGGCTTACTTAACATTTAAATTGTGTATGTTGAAAATAAAATTGTTCTGTGATGGTTGTTATTAATATATATTAATATTTTATTACAAAACTACAGGTGTAAGAAGACCTAGACTAAAATTGAAAAGTCCAGCATCAGATTTTTGCCTGAGTGATGTCTGTAAACCAGGACACACTTTACTGTGGGATTTAGTTCAGGACAATATGGCAGTAAGTGGTCCATTGACTCATTTAGTGTGGTACATTGCCAAGCTTCATTCAGTATTCAAATAGGGATTGGGATCGTTTATTAGCTCAGTCTTTAAAAATTACAAATAAAAATCAAAGTGTTTAGAATTGTTGATCAAAACTCTTATTTGATTAAATTAACTAGCTTAAAATAGCTTTTAAAAAATAATTTCTTTGAATTATTACATTTTTCTTGTTCATGAAGAATGAAATTAAAACTTAATTTCTTTAACATCTTCTTTTAGAGTCAGCTACCAGAAGGTATTGCTAGTGAAGCTGAAAAGGCATTGACTAATCTGCTATGTTGTTCTAATGATAGACAAATCCGCACTAAATTTATTGAGGCAATAATTGACAATCTTGCAAATAACAAGTAAGTATGTTGTCTCAAAATAAATTTAATTCTAATGAAATAAGTTTTTATGTTATACAAATATGAACACTCTAATAAAATATGCATTTGAATTCACTTAATCAAATCACTTTTCTTCAAATATTAAAAGGGCTAGTTTGTTTTAGTCAATTATTTTTTAACTTTCAGATCAGTGGTTGTGTCAATGCGTTTACTGACAAAATTGTTCAGCTCTTTTAACAGTATGCGCCCAATGGGAGGCTCTTATAAAATTGTTTTGTAAGTATTTATTCCATTTAGATCCTTCAGTGTGGAAAAAACTAAAGTTATTAAAAAGGAATAAAATTCACTCAGATTGAATTCCATCTATTCGGCTGTTATACTATGCAAATTATATAATACATTTAAAAAAAATCTTTTGTAAAACTGTGACACTTAAAATTTAACTGTGCTATTATTGATACTAGTTGCTCTTTAATAAAATGTGCAGAGTAATAGTGTGAAAAGAAATACAACATAAATTAAAAAAAATTAACAAACAATGAAATAAAAACTGCTTTTAAAACACTTCCTACTGCCTATTTGCACAAATATGGTTTTAGGTTTACTAAACACATCCTACAAAATATAGAACATGGGTAAAAATATATTAATTAAGATAAAGACCATTTGCCTAGCCTGAATTTCAGCAAAATATGTACTAATAATATTTGTTTACCCTTATACTTTATTAAACTAGTGTAGACTCATGTATCAAAGGAAATTGGTTATAATTTATTTTCTGTTTTCTACATTTCTGAAGGTCTTCTTACCCATAAAATTTATTTCCTAGAAATGTTGCTAATTTAATTTACACTTTATTTAGGTGGGCAGAGAAAACATTGGACATGATGAAACATTTCTTTAATAACTTGGTTTACTTCACTGAACAAGCCAAAGACAGGACAACATGGACATCTCAGTATGTTGATACAAACTTCCAGAAAATTAATTACTTTCATTAAATTTTTTTACAATCTAACTTCTTAAATGCAAGTGTAAAGAGAATTAAATGTTTTTAAATGGCTTAGAAATACCCTCTTTACCTATTCTTTCTAGCCATGGGTTCAAAGAAGAAGTCTCAGCTCGACTTGTTTTTTTATCATGTGTGTTTTCATGCCAGTATTCTCCTGAAACATTCCGTAAGTTTCCCTTTTATTTTCAATTTCTTCCTTTTATTTTTTATTTCATTCTCTATGATGTTTATTTTGATAATTGGATTCTAGCTTATTATATATTATTTGTTAATGAAATAAATAACTACAAACTACTTAAGGAAAAACCTTTTGTAAATAGATTTCATAGCACATAAACAATTGTTAGAAAAGTTTTTTTTTTACCACTGATTTGGAACTAGATATAGACTACCTTACGTTTTTTAAAATAGGTTATTTGTTTAGAAAATAAGAGTAGCATATTTAACATCAAGGGACATAATCATCCATCAACAAAGGGAAATAACTAAATTCCTTTGTCAAAAAGTATATTTGTATTTAAAAACACATTTTTATTTACAACATATTTACTAGCGGCTAAATTATATTTGAAAATCAATTTAAATATGTTGATAACTCATCAAATAAAAACAGTCAAATAACTACTGATATATTTTTGTATTTAAATCCTTGGAAAATTCATATATTGAAACCCTTAACTTTCTTACTGAAGAGTATTGGAAGGTATATATAGCCATAACTTGAAAGTTAAAGTGAGGTCCGCAAGCTGTTGTAACCTTGAGCAAATAATTTGTCATTCATGAAATTTCTAGAACTTATTTGACTTCAGCTGACTTTGACCTCTTTTTTATGTTTTGTGTAACCTTGAGCAAATAATTTGTCATTCATGAAATTTCTAGAACTTATTTGACTTCAGCTGACTTTGACCTCTTTTTTATGTTTTGTTCGTAGTTGTTGTTTTGTATATAGTTTGCAGAGGTTGTTGTAGTTACCTGCTTCAGTATATCTCATTTTTTTTTTAATATATTACTAAAATGTAGGTCTAAATCAAGAACAAACAGACAAACTATGGGAATGTCTTGCAACCAACCCTGAAAGCTGTGAAGATTGTCTTAGCTGGTTTTATGACCAGGCTCGTGGAAAAGAGAATCATGCTCTTGATCTTGACACTTTAAAACACATTTTCATTGTAAAAGTAAGTAAAGCAAATCTTGTTTGATTTTTTTTTTTTTTTTAAAACATTGAAGTATGGTTCAAATACTCAATTCTATTAGGCATTGTCAGATGCCTGTACTTGTATCATCATTGTTCCTTTCTTGGCTTTCATTTTTCTCATTGTATATTACTATAATTGTTTCAGATGCCTAAACTTAAGGCTGAGACTATGCCTATGATTGGGTTAAACCTTTTCCAGCAGCTTTCTAACATAACTTGTATGGCAATGCATGGCAAGTCTCTCCTAACTGATGAACAAGTAAGATTTTACTTCTTTGTTTACTGCTAGATGATAGAAGAACTAAAGTAACATTTTCTTAGTGAAACTATTTTTGAATACTACAGGCTTGCGGTATGGACCAACTGTGGGAAATTGCACTGAAAGCCAACAATAAGGCTGTTTCTACAGAAGCCATCCACATTCTCAACAATTATTACATTAATTACGGTGGTGGGACCTTAGATAAGGAAGAAGAGTTTGTGCAGCGATGTATGAACAGTCTTATGAAGACAATGAATACATTAAAAGAGGTAAATTTTAAAAGTAGCTAACCTATATTGGTCCATGAAAATGTATATATTTTATTGTAGGATAACCATATTCTAATTTTCAATATACAAATGATTTACAGGATCCAGCTACTAAGCTCCCCATTATTCAACGTGGGCTTTTCCTTTACAAGCATCATCTTGATGCTTTCCGTCAGCGCTATGCATACCATCTACATATGTGGCAGTTGGAGAATGTTGGCATTTCTAGCCATCTTCCAGCAAATAAACCACAGACCATCAATATTTATCTGCAGAACACAGACATGTCTGATAAGGTCTAGAATTTAAAAAATTAAAATATCTTGATTATTAACTAGAAATTTAAATTACTCATAGGCCTTGAATCTAGAAATAATCTAGAGATCTTGGTCTAGTATTTTGTTACCATGTTCTTTTTATGTATTGCTATATATTTTTAAAACTATTTTTTTCATTAGTATAAGAATAAATTAAATTAAAAAACCCATGCATAAATTACTACTTGATATTGCAGAAATAAAAGCCACTTCAATAATTACCATTGATTATTTTGTAGGCATTGATTGAGATGCATCCAACCAACCTTGTCTCTGAGTTAAGAGCTGAAGTTACCCATTGGTGGGAAGATCTTCAAAAGCAACAACCTAAACAGACATCCTCATCCTCAAGTCCTGGGATAATGTCCCCTCTACTAGGACATATGCTGGGTGAAGGGCCTCTTCGTATGATTAGCTCTGGTCAAGAGCTGTTTGTTGATATGGATGAGAGAACTTTAGGAGATCTTCATATGACCGATGGTCAAGTAAGAACATGTGGATTCTTCTTCATAACTGTCTTTAATTAGATTTTTTAAAACGGTATAAATATTGATTTTCTAATGTTTTTTCCACAGCATGTTTTTGTGTCTATTGGTGCAAACAGACAACAGAGAAAAAGTGATGGTTCTATTCCATCATCAGGCTTGTCAGTTCCAGACAGAAAGAAATTACCCATGAATCTATTGATTGCTGAGCCTCACTTTGATAATTTATTTAAATTATTAGAACAGCTTAGTGACCTTAGTTTTCAACTAGATAATGTGGTATGTTGATTTAAGTGTTGTTCTTATAGGCAATTAGTAGCACTCATGTGTATTACTGTGTTAAAATATGTAAACTTTGACACTAGTGATAATGATTCTAAATGTAGTCTATTTAATTTACTTTAAATCTAAATAATTAAAAACTTAAAATGTTAAAGGATGTTTAAAAAAAAAAAATTCTTTCAAAAGGAAAAAGAAAGGAAAGCCAGCCTTCAGGCAGAAGCAAGAAGATTGTCTAGAGATGTTTGGGAGCTGCTAATGATGCTTCCAACAAATGAAAGTCTTATCAATGGATTCATGAAAATTTCCACTGATCAGGTTAATTGCTCAAATACCTTATATATTATTTTATATTTGTAAAGTCTCGTCATTCTGTATCTTACATTTTTTAGATTGTCTTTTCGTAATCTTAGTTGAATAAATATATGCCTCATTTTTGTTTGTGTTAGGCTGTTACTCAAGATGAATGGAATCAGCTTCTCCCACCCAGTAGCCCTCACAGACTGTATTATTCACTTCAAACTGTTGAATTTCTTGCGCACGGTACTAAGCTTGGTCAAAAACATATGGTATGTTTCCTTTAAAAAATAATACTCAACTCTAATTCTTTATTTCAATTTACCATTACACAGTTTTTGAGTTACATCTTTAGGTTAATGAAAATAAAGGTAAATAGAATGCAATATAAAATTATCTTAAAAAACATCAATTTTTGTTAGATGCGGTCAGGTAGTGGCGATGCTGCAGAAGAAAAAAAGGCATATGGAGTGAGTAAAACCCAGTGGTGTATTAAAGTAAGTGGAAATAATTACCATCCTATGTTTAGTCAGATGAAAGCAAAAATAAACTTAGTTAGCAACTACTTGCTGAGGTTTAATGCATTAAAATAGTTTTGGAAATCTTTAATCCACATTTAATCTAATCTTTATCTTATTGTATTTAAAATAAAAAAGGATTTAATTATTTAAAGTGATTAGTTATGTAATTGCTTTTCTGATGTATTTTTTGCAGTTTATTTCTAAAGGAGGGCTCAGCCATATGATGGATATCTTTATGAATGGATCTCTGCAATGCAAAGAAGGAAATATCTGGAGTCAAGTAATTATAAGTTTTTTTTATTCTGTTTTAGTTGATCTAATTCACTTATTAAACTTTCTACGCATGTCCTTCTTGTTATTCTTTCTAGTGGAACCAGGAATGCCTAGGCTATCTGCTAAGGCTAATTTCCCAGTTCTCTGTGGATGACCCAAGCCAAGAAGGTGAGGGCAGTAACAGCCCTCGTAACAGAAGAGCTGTGAACAAAAAAGGCAGTTCTTTCATTATTTCGACTATATCACAGGTATAAACTTTATGTGTTCTGAAAAGTTATGAACTTAAAGTTAAAAGGTAATTATTTTTAAACCCTTTACTAGGGTAGAGTGCTCGACTGGTACCCGGAAAGTCTCAAGTTCAAACCTAGGTTCAAGTCAGTAAAATGTCCCTAAGTCCACCCAGCTCTGAAGGGCACGTAACTCATGTTAGGGAAAGTAAAGGCAGCTGGGCATAGTGCTGACTACACTATCCATATATATATGCAGAGGTCACAGAAACATGTGAACTCTACTTCACTTGCCGGAAGGAACGTCAGGTTTTAGAAGGGATCTAAAGATGCTTCTTTAGTGGTTATTTCTCATGTACCTAATTGTGGCAGAAGTGTATAGTATTTTCAGTTCCACAGTTTTGGAAGCCTCATTGTAATGAGCTACATTTTTCTCTTTGTTTCAGCATAGGTAGTGAAATTAAAACTTATTAAAATTTAATTTTAAAAAAAAGGTAATATTCAAAGAAGAAAGTAGCTCAGGTGACCAAATCTGGTTTAAACCAGTTATTTCATGTATGTCATTCTGTTGTTTTTAGTCTATCTTGGAGAAATTGGATGTGCAAGCAGTTGTGAAAATTTTAATGCAAATCCTGTTTGATGCTGCCATGCCTATGTAAGTATAAACCCACCTTACCTTGTCTCTCATACTTGTGCTTCTAAAAAATTCATTAAAAAGTAGATTACCGAGGGAGCATATAATTTAAATTGAACATTTCTCATCAATCAGGGACTCTAATCAACTGTACTGTGGAACTTGGGGGAGAAGAGAAGGTAAATAAAACTTGTTTCTTATTAGCCTAATGTACAACATTTTTAAAAATAATTACTACCCTACAGAAATCATAGTGGTTACCCATGAACAATTACTTTTCAGTTGTGCAGTATGCAATGTCATTCTTGGTATCTCTGGCATTTTCTTGTGATCAAGTTTTAGACTATCTGTGCAATGCTGATAATTTTCATTCTTGGTTGAAACGTCTTACATTGGAAGCACCTGAGGTAAGTCTAATGAATTATCCATTCTTCGTTATTTAGACATTTTTTTACATGAATTAATAATGTAAATTGTAATTTTAATACATTGAATAAGCAAGCATGGAAAGAGAAATTGCTACCCTGTCCAATGTTTATGTATTTCTTTTCTTTGAAGGCTCATGTTCGTAAACAGGCTTGTCTAGGCCTACACCGTCTGTGCCTAGGAAAGACAAAGCAAGAGAAAAAAGGAACTGCATTCTTAGCGCCTGTGCTTGAACAGCTACTTAGCTTTCTTTCTGATACAGAACTTTTTAAGCCTAAAAAGTTTGAGGTGGGTTTAAAACTTGTTTGGTAAACTATTCAGTAATACTTAAGTAAGATGAATAATAATTCAGAAACACCAAATCATTTACTAATTTAAGTTATAACATCTCTTTTAAATAGATGGATTTTACCAGGGAGGAAAAAGAAATTTATGGAGCAGGTTGCCATGACTATTTTCTGTTTATACCTATGTGCCTTGATGAGCTCGATGTACAACAGGTAACATCATTTTAAGTGGGCTTTTTTTATTACTATGTCAACCAATTGCTATTGCTACAGTGAATAAAATATAATTATTCCCTTTTGAGCAGACAAACATTAATATGGATGCTTTGTTGAAGCAAGTAACAGATGATATTTTGAACCGTCCATTCTATGAGACATACAAAGGTTATGAAGAAGATGAAGGACTGATAGGACTCCTTAATGTGGCTGCTGCCTTGTACAGGCATAACCCTCCATTTGTTATGTCTGAGGAAAACAATGTAAGATGTTTGTAGAGATCATTCTATTTTTTGATCAGATAAAATGGTTTTAAATGTGTGAGGATATTTTTATAAGTTGTGCTGATAATCTGTTGTTTCTCTTGTAGCATTTCCTTGATGCCCTCTCTGATTTCCTGTTTCTGGTGCCAAGTCCGAAGTTTCCCCATTTTCCAAAGTGTAAAAGTCAGAAAACTAGACAAGCAGCTTATGATCTTATTGCTGAAATGTGCAGTGGAAATATGAGGAATTATTCTATTGCTGTTGACAAATTCAGGCGCCAGAACACTAGAGGTATAATTATAAGTCATAGTTAAATTTTAAACCATGAAATAACATAGAAACACAAGTCAAATATGAATCTAAATTTGAAATTTTATCAGAGGCTCATGCACCTTATCCATGGGATTACTGGCCCCAGGAAGATGGCAGGGCAAAGTGTGGCTATGTTGGGCTTACAAATTTAGGTGCAACTTGCTACATGGCAACAGCTATTCAGCAGCTTTTTATGATACCCAGGATTCATCAGTCAGTTCTTCAATTCCAGGTTTGTCTTGAATTTCATTCAATTGTGTCAAATTAATGGGATGCATCTATCAAACTGAAAGTTAAGCATTATTTTATGTCGTGCTGCTTTACAACCTTCATTTAACCCTACAGGCTGATGATTCTCGGCCTCATGCTGCTATGATGATGGAGCTGCAACGAATGTTTGCCTATCTTCAGGTAACCAAAATATACATGACATTATTTTGTCACTGTAAACAGTAATTTAAAAGTTGACTCACCTCACTTAGTAAAAATTTCCAAATAATGATAACTTTTTGATGATTAAACTGCATTTATCCAACCGTACTATTTGTATGTTACAATAAATTATGTTTATGTAGGAAAGTGAACGTAGAGCATACAACCCAAAAAGTTTCTGTAAGACATACACAATGGACAGATGTCCCCTTAACACAGGAGAACAAAAGGATATGCAAGAATTCTTTACTGATATTATAACTAAACTGGAGGAAACCTCTTCAGAAATGGTATGGGTTTTTATCTGCATCTTTCTTTGCAAGTCTTTAAGCATGATATTTCTTTTTCTAGCTCAGGGTAGTATTACAAATTGTTTAATAATTTACTAACAATTGAAAATTTTTGTGATTAACCACATGAAAATTGATTAACACACTAAGATGAGGACACTTCATCACTTAGTAATGATTTAATTGCAATTGTGAAGATTTTTAAATTTTATTTTCACAGAAAACTGTGATAAAAGAAATGTTTGGAGGAGAAACTACAAACAATGTTGTCTCTCTGGTATGTTGTTTATACATTGTTATATCACCTTCTTGTTGGTTTGTCTTCTTTTTTGTCTTTCCATCATCTTTTGTCTTCATGGTACTTTTTTAATTTATATTTTACTAGTTGATTTTACATAAATTGATAATTCAAATTAATGATGATTATTATATAGGATTGTAACCATGTGAGTCGAACATTTGAAGAATTCTATACTGTAAGGTGTGGTGTTGCCCACATGAAGGATCTTTATGTAAGTTGAATCACAGTAATAGATGCTTAAATTTATCAATAATTTATTAACACAATCTTTTTTTTACACCTAACATAATATTATCATCCCTTTCATGTATTAAAAATCTTGTGTTTATCTCTGTTAAAAAATACAGGAATCTTTGGATGAAGTCACAGTGAAAGACATGTTAGAGGGTGATAATATGTACACTTGCTCACACTGCCACAAAAAAGTCAGGGCTGAAAAAAGGTCAGTCAACTTGATACAAATTATATTTTTGTTGTTGAAATAAAACCTATAATAAAGGTAGTATTTAATGACAGCATCACTACATATTTGTTATGCGTTTTTTCTGTTGTTATTCCAGAACCTGTTTTCGCAAGCTGCCACAAATCCTTTGCTTTAACACTTTGAGATATTCATTTAATATGTTAACAATGATGAAAGAAAAAGTGAATACACATTTTTCTTTTCCTGATACACTTGATATGTCACGATATATGGAGCATAATTTAATTGGGAAAGACAAAATCAAAGGTACCAGTACATTTTTTATGCATTTTGCTCCCATTAAAACAGTATTCTTATTAGTGTTATAATTTATAGTATCGTTACTAAACAAATTTAAAAATAGAAGTGTTTCTTAACATCAATAACATTTTGTCTTTAGATGTAGAAGGTGAAGGATCTCAAGAAGATGAGTCATATGAGTACAAATTAATAGGAGTTACAGTTCATGTTGGTAGTGCTGAAGGTGGTCATTACTATAACCTTATCAAAGATACTCAGACCAATAAATGGTAAGTTGTTCTGTCATTTTGGATACATTTTAGTTTACTCAATACTAACTTTTATTTAAAGTGTTTGTTTCATTGCCTCATTTAGTAATATATATTAAATTATCAGATATTAAAACATGAAGCCCATCAAAAGGATAGAGAAAAAAAAAAGATTTTTAAGTTATGGCTTATCACACATGAGATAATTAAATGTTTAAACTATTATGGTTGTAGAATTTACTAACTGAATAGTACAAAGGAATAAAGCAGATAAATCATATTTTCTATTTGAATGAAATTTTTTAATATCAATTCTTATTAAAAAAATCATTTTTTCTACAGCAAATTTTTACCAACAAATGAATTATTTGATCTAATATGCATCAGTATCTACCTAATCTTTGTATTTTACCAACTCTTTTGTTATTTGCTTCTGCATAGCCCAAACATTTCCCCAACCCATAAATAACTAGTCATCTATAGACATTGCTCCATTTCCAACATCATTAATAATTTTTAACTAATTTATTTTATTTAGCTTTTAAAATGCCTGAGTTATAAGGATTTAACAAGTGCAATTATTTTTTATCTATATTTTGTGATACAACACTCTGTTTTTATGCCTTCTTGTCTTCTTAGCCATGTGAGCATCTAGTGATTGCAAATGAATAAAACAAATAATGAAAAAAAAATTAAAGTCTTTTCTTATTAAAATAATCTTGATTGCTGTTGTAGGTACCATTTTAATGATGCTGATGTCAAGCCATTTGATGCAAGCAACATTCCTCATGAAGCCTTTGGTGGAGAAATGAATGTAAGGTTTTACTAGACTTCACTAGATAACCAGAAAAATAAAACCTATTCTTGTTTTATTCTGTGGTTGTAATTCATCTTATTTGGAATTAAAAACTAAAATCTAAAAATAGTTTATGAAAACTGTTATCTTAATCTTTATTAGTTGATCTTGTTAAAATAATTATATAAATTACGTGGTGTGAATCTCCAGGGCAAGACGTATGACTCTGTATCAGAGAAGTATCTGGATTTCCCTATTGAGAAGGTAAGATTGATTTAGTAGTTACAGTGATATTGTTACAGTGATACTCATACCTTTTAAAAAACCAACAATCATACAATTGTGTCCCTTTGCATTCCTTTTCAGACAAACAGTGCCTACATGCTGTTTTACCAAAGAGTATCTCCAAAGCAACAAGATGTGAAAGAAGAATACAACTTTGAGTTGAATCCTGACTTGGCCAATGTAAGTTTTTAATTTAAAATTAAAATCTAACTCGAGCTCTAAACATTTCACTTTCTGTTAATATTTTTAGCGCAATTTCCATTCTGGAGAATTGCGTTTATTAACCCGTCATTTCTGGATGAATGGATGGATGGATGGATGTATGAATGTATGAATGTGTGTCCGCAGCTTTAAGTCGTATCTCCTCCTCAACGAAGCAATATCGATGACTAGTTCCAAAAGCAATTATGTTAAGTAAGTTACGAGGATGAGCATAGGCCATAAAAATTCCGGGTTTCTTTCATGGATTTCCCGGAAAAGCCAAAAAACCTCGAAAAAATGCAGTTTTTGGCCCATATCTCGGCAACCAGACAACTTAGCGACTTGAAACATGTACCAATCGATTCCTGCTATAATTTAGAACAATATTGCCGAAGAAAGTTTTCAAAAATATCCTTTCGTTCGGTCACAAATTTTTTTTTCAATTAATTAAAATTTTGACCGAATTAGTAGGCATTTTTTCCAACCACACCACACGCGTCATCACGTTCAATAGCGGCGCCATCACGTTCAATGGCTGCGTCAATCACGTTCAGTAGCTAGGCGCGCAATGGTTTTTAGTCATGTAACTATATTGTAAATAAAACATGTATTTTAACCAATGGTCTTACTAACCCTGCTCTTGATTTACGCTACGACAGAGCTATTTTTAGATAACATAAGGAAATTGCGCTTAAATGTCACTAGACTTTTTAATTAACTTGTTTTCAGCTTAATAGGATTTCAGTTGATTGCTTTTTTTTTATTACAGTGGATCTGGAATGATAACACACAGTTTCTTAAGGACAGAAGTATTTTTGACAGAATGTACTTTGAGTAAGATTTAAGAAATTTATTTATCCTAATTTTCTATTTCCACTTGATTATTAAAAGTTAATGAGCTAATTTTAAATTTATTTATAATTTAAAACAGGCATGTTTGGCAAATGTGTGCACACATTCCCAGCACTCTTCACATAGATGATACAGAGAGGGCCAATCACCAGGCTGTTATATTAGCTTCCTGCTTTTTCCTTGAGTCTTTTATTCATGCTAAAGAAAAGGTTTGTCGCTAATATAACATTTTAAGTGTATGATGTGTAGTTTAAAAAAAAGGAAATGAATCCTTTTTTCTTTCAAACTCTTTACAGAAATCAATGCCCAATTGGATTGATTACCTTATGAAGAAATTCAGCAGCTGTTTGGGTCCGTGTGAGGTAAGATAAGTTAATAAATAACTTTTGTAATGGGAAAAACATTTGTAGTTTAAATGATTTCAAAGTTTGTTTATTTACTAATGTATATTTTAAATGAGGAATACTGAATGTGTATTCTATTCAGTGGCTACTGGACCATATGGCTGAAGATGATTGGTGGATACAACACATACTTATTAAATGCCCAAACAACATGATAAGACAAATGTTTCAACGGCTGCTAATCATGATGATAACCCAACTCAGCAAGGCATCTAATGAGTACATTGCTTTAGGGTGAGCCACACTGTTTTATTTAATCTTCAACATTTTTGTGTATGTTTATCTGATTTATACATGGCCTTACTAATATTAAAATTTCTAATCTTCTAGTAGTGACATGGACACATCAGAGCTCTGTGGTCATAGCTGTCTTACAAGGTTCATTACTAAAGTGCTTTCAAATGTAAGTATAAAGTTTAGAAAAAATAAAAATCTATACTATTTATCATAAATAGTAGAAACACTGGCAAAAAAGTGTGTTGTATTTAAATGTATTATATCTTCTGTTAAGTTCAGAAACATGAAAATAAACATTATAATGTAATAGCTAAATACAGCTCAGAACCTAATTAGCTTTTTTTATTAAGGTCATGACATTTACCCCCCCTCAGCTTGAGTGTGGCATGCGGCCCACTAACAAGTATTTGATGGAGTACTTCACCTTTCTCTTTGAGTTTGCTAAACTTCAAGACACAAACACAGATTTCCCATCAGCATCATTCCTCAACTCAATCAACACCATCAGCATGGTAGTCAGATTCTACATGGGCAGTAAAACCTCTCAGCCAGACTATGTGAGTGAACCAACTGATCAGCTTATTGTAATGTGTCTTGCACAGTTTGCAAATGTTACAATTAGGTTTACACTGGGTTACTTGGTATTGCAGGTAGAAATTTTGTCTGACGAAGATGAAGATGAGGAAGTTCTAGTCATGTCGCCTGATGAGACCAGACCTACAGCCTTGAACAAAATGATCTCATTGATTGCTTACTTGGTGGAAACATCCAGGGATGGTCATATACTTCAGCTCAGTGAATCAGATATGAACTATCTAATTAGAGGAAGGGTAATTCATCTTTTAAAACCAGATTTGTTAAGGTTTAAGTTAAAAGTACTGCAATTTGAGCAATTTTAAAAAATTGTTTATTTGAAATGTTCATTATCTTTTCCCTTTTGTGCCCAAGGCACATGGGGCTGCCACATAAAGCTCCCTCCACTTGGTCTCTGACAATTTTCCTGTCAGTCCCTTTTGACAGTCTTGCCTCTGCCAGCTACTTCCCCATCATGCACCTCCACGTCTCTCTTGGTTTTCCCTTTCTTTTTCCTTGAGGGGTCCAGTTTAGCGCCTATTTTAAATATTACAAATTGTTATATTATATAGGGCCACCCTTTCCTGATGTACCAAGTGCGTGACAACATCAACATTGAACACACCTGTAACCTGATTGTCAGCCTCTGTATGTTTAATGAACCCCTAGCAGTCTCTGTAAGTTTTTTTCTTGTTGCCTGATTACATTGTAAAGAATACTGAAATTTAAAAGTTATTTTTACACTTTTTCCTTCTCTTATTTCAGATTGTGACAGCTATTTTTAACAATATTAAAAAACTTGGAGATGTAAGTTATCATTAATACTGTTATAAAAAATATTTTTTTAGTTATACTCTAATTTTTTCATTTATACATGACAATTATGCATTATTTTCAAAGTTGCATCATTAAGATTTTTATTTTCAGTTGGCTAAGCCATTTTTTGATCTCCTGACACACCTAACAGAATACTCAGGCAGAATGGCAGGCTATCCACCTTTTACACAGTTAATTGTATCAAGGTTATGGGAGGTGAGTAGAATCAAACCAAGAACCTCATAGTTATATTGTGAGTACTATGAAGCATTAAAGTTAACTATTCTTGTATTCATTTGTTTAGCTGACTAAAGTTACACCTAGGCAATGTCTAGAATGGTTGACCCATAAAGTGACCCACAATCGCTTAGCCAGACAGTGGACATTGGACTGTATGGAAGGATGGGTTGAACAATACATGGTAGCATACAACAGCAATCTTGTGAGAATGGGTAAGCTGAGGAAAGGTTTTTAAATACTTTTTTAACATTAAATTCATAAAAACTAGCACATTGGAAAAGGTATCTTTATCAATATATCAATAAGCTTACATCTTCATAACTAATCTGATTCTTAATTTTTGGTTGAAAAAAAAGGTAAAAGTGAAAACTAGTACTTCTTTATAATTTCAAATTTTTGTTAAACAATATAACTAAAAATGAAAATGAGAACTTTTTATATTCAATAATTTTGCAGCCAGTGCACAGCTTCTAGTGTCTCTTGTACCAAATGAACTCTTCAGATCCACATATAGACCAAGGGTCATTGCAACATGCCCGAGTACAATTGTGGTAACTACTTCTTTTAGCTATTTATTTTGGATGATAGCTTTAGGAATTAATATTTTTGAATTACCCAAACTCATTAATCCTTAGTCCTGGATTTTTACATTGAAAAAGTATATATAATTTTTTTTGTTTCAGTGGGGTAAAGAAGACTTAGCAGTTATGCACAGGGTAAGACTTGTCAATATTTGTATACTTATCTTTTAGCTAAATAATTATCTGTTCAGTGTAACACAATGTAATACTAATTGTTTTTATATTTCTTCCACAGATTTATCAGCACTTGCTCTTATTACTTAAAAGAGCGCATGTACATATAGGTGGGTCTAATTACATTTTCCACAGTTGTTTTGTATTGCATATCAAAGATGAAAATATTTTAATGTCAATTGTGTATTTATTTCATCAGAAATAAAACTCTTGTATCCCCAGCACCATATGACAGTAATCAAGCAAACATGGTTGGCCCATCTCATGCCAAGCTGATGTCATTGTTTTCTGTTCTAAATTACTGTCTTTACTCACGCAGAGAAAAACTTCTGGTGGGTTTTGTGTTTGACATAGTTCATTATTTACTCATTTATTTGGAAGAGTTATTTTTTCAAATAAGAGTTGGCAAAGATAAAATGTCTGTTCTTATTACAGTTTACTCCTTACTTCATGGACCTGTGGCAGCTGTTCCATCCATTTATGCTGGAGCCTCAAGTTCCACTCAATCACAATAAACAGGTAGGTCATTAACCATTTCCTGTCCAGGGCATCAATACTATTTTACCACCCCTGTGGCCAGGTGAAAAGAAAACACATTTTTTAATCACTGCACTTTAAAAATAAAAAAAAAAAACAATCACTTACTTTAAAAAATTAAATAAAAAGCATTATACACATAATAGGTCCGAGCTTACTATATATGGGGTTAAATAGCATAATAAATTACTAAAAATAAATTAATTAACCCCAAAAAAGTGTAAATAAAACGCTGGCACATAGGACTGTAAAGGGTTAACCATCTTATTGAACTAATCTCTAGACTATCCTTGCTGAACATTATTAAAATTTCATTTCTCATCTTTTTGTTTTACTCTTTAGGCTCTTCTTATGTTTTGGTACAATGTCAGTCAAGATTGCCCTGAAAATTTGCAGCAAATGGTATCAAACCCTCATGTGTGCAAAAACATAGCTTTCAATTATATCTTGTAAGTTTTCTTGAGTAATTTTTTTCTATTTTTGTCACAACTATTTTTGTTACAACTATTTTTGTTACTTTTTTAACTTTGTGTTACTTATAAAATAAATTATGACCATTTTTATTGATTCAAAATTTTCTAGAGCTGATCATGATGATGAACAAAACATCCTGTTTAATCGTGGAATGTTACCAGCTTACTATGGCCTACTTCGAATGGCTTGCGAGTACTCCAATCAGTTTATGAGATCACTGGCAGGTCACCAGAATCTACAGTGGGCTTTTAAAAACATTTTACCCTATCCACATCAATATGTACAGGTCACTATTATTTTTCATCTAGAACAATTGCACATTTTTTGCAGTTATATTTAAAATCATTTATATTTAGTGAGTTATTCTATTATCATTCATATTGACTGAATTATAGTAAAATAATTCATATTGATAAATCCTAGGCCACTGAAGAGCTTATGTGCATGATGAAAATGATGGCAGAAAGAAAGCGTGAACACTCACAGGAAGAAGCACAGCTTGTTGAGAATTTCAGAAAAACAACTTTAATTTTATGCACTCAAGGACTGGATCCAAGGGTCATGTGGCAGACACTGTGCTCGTATGTTATTCAATGGATGATTTTCATTTGCTAGTTGTTACTTGATGAAAGATTGTTAGTAATATTTTGCTTGTAATGACAATTGTATCTGTTCATTTCTTTTCAGAATTTATAAAATTCTGGTAGTAACAACAGATGACTATATGACATTGCTCTATCAGAATGGTCTCTCCGTCCTCAGCCAGGTGAGTGTCTCATTTGGCTTAATTATTCAAACCAAACAACACAGTTTTGAGTTGTTTTTTTTATAAACACTATTTTTCATACAATGTATCTGGTATACAGCAGAGCCTGTTATATTTAGGATGTCTAAAAATTATTTAAGTTTCTGTAATAAATATGTTGAGTGACTATAATTATTATATCAGTGCCAGCTGATTGATACTGTTTTCTTTTGTTTCCAGTCTTTCTCAATAATCTACACCATGTTCCATGAGGCAACAGCCTGTCACATGACAGGTGACCTCATTGATGTCTTACAGCTCATCAATTCTTTACTGATGGCTGCCAAAGACGGAGAGAGAAAAGGTGGGGTTCTGGAATTACATTGATTTGAAAATATAGTAAAAAAATAATCATGAAGAATGTTATTTAATCTGTTTTACCCTTTCAGCTGAGATCCGGTCTATGATTAATCAGTGGAAAGAAAGAACTGATGTAGCCAAGAAACTCCTTACATTGCTCAATTCTTTTGTGCCAAATAATCTAAGAGGCATTGCATTAGGTAATCATTTGTGTAGCTCATCTGAAAGTTCTTCTTGCTTATATAACTGACTCATCTGTTAACCTTAACATGTACTTTATCTTTTAGTTATGTTCAAGTTATAAAAGCTAACCCCTCTAGAAACTGATACATTTACATAAATAATTTTAAATTAATTTTTGTTTATTTCAGATGTTCTCCACAAGATGGTGCTTGTCATCCAAAAGGACATCACACAGTTTCTCACTACAACTTTACTTCATGCTCATAGTGCTTTCCAAAATTCAAACACTGCTAGTAAGTCATTTTTTTTACTGCTGAGATTTAAAAAAAAATTACCTGCAAATGTTTACTTATATTCTCTAAAATTAACTAAAATTGTGTGACTTTATAAACAGTGAACGTGGGACCATTCTTCCCTACTCGCTCTTATCAAGGACTGAGCAACAAGGCAAATGTTCGCCCTTCCCGACCACAGTTTCAGATGTATTTGCATGCGGGGCAGGTGGAGGTTAGTAAGGTGAGTTCCTTTATTATTTCATATCAAACTAAGTCACCATTCAAAGTTAGCATTTTCTCTCACCAACACATTAATTTATGTTTAATCCATTTTGACCTAATAATTTGTTTCAGGGAACAGATGAAGACTATGACAAAGCTCTATTGAATTACTATGAACCTTATCATCGTCTCATAGACAGGATGTGTAGAATGGCAATCAATTTAAAGATTCTCAATGCTGATCTCATTACTTTATGTAAGTTGTCATAACAATATGAAAGTAATAACTGTGATTAGAATATGAGTTAAAATAAGTATATAAATAAAAAACCAGGGTAATGGACAATAAAACCACATTATTTGATGTTTTTCTCCAGATGCTATGGTGGCATATGAAGGTGTTCCTCTCCACTTACCTTACTTTGCCAAGATGTGGAATGAAATTATAGAAACTTCTCAGGTACTTTTCCTATTTATCCAACCAATAAGAAATTATGCAGCATTGCTTTTACTGCTTGATTCTTTTTACTTGCATGAAACCTTTGTTGGTTTGTTGTCACTATAAAAATGTCATTTCAATTAATACTTTTTTTTGTGGTAATCTCCTTAAAGGTAAATTTTTCAAAACAAGAATTTTGAAGAGTGAAACTAAAAACCCTACATTTCAAATGTGTTGTTTACTGTACTAATTAAATTGTATAAATTTGGAAAAACCTGAAAATGCCTTTGATTTGTTGTCAGAAACATGGGGGGGGGGGGGGGGGAAGCCTGATATTTTTGTAATGTGATCTTTTCCTTGTTTTTCTCAGACTGCTGACCCAGACCACACACTTGTAAATACTTTGTGTAAATGCAACTCTTTTATTGATTATATTGAAACTGTGCTAATGGATGAGCGTAGATCTCTAAACAATGACCACATTTACCAGTTCTTCAGAAATTTCTTTCCTAAGGTTTGTTAACACAATTTATTGCTCTATCTTGTCCTTTATTGCCGTTTAGAAAATTTCATATAAGTTATAATTCAATATTTTATTTTAGTTTTTTAATTACTATTTGAAATGTACTCTGTACAACTTTATAAATCATTAATGTACTATTATAAGATAAATCTAATAAAATCATTATTTTCAGGTTCACGAACATATAATATCTGATGGTGGCCAAAACATTATTATGAACTTAGTGGCTTCAATTCTTGCTGAGGCTGACACTTTAAAAAGGAATGAAACAGAGAGAGATATTATGCCAGTACTCAACAGATTATTAGGAGTAAGTACTTATGATGTTATAGGAAAAAAAAAATTTCCATTGTCAAAGTTGTAGTTATTATAAACTGCTGGTTACATGTATTTTTGTATTAATTTGAACGATATTTCAGTTGTTACTTTTCTCTTATGTAAGGAATTAAGGGCCATCCAACTGATCCTAACTGTTAGACCAGAGCAACATCCCAGTGGTCTGCTACCCAAAGCTCTGAAGTCTATTGTTAGACTTTGTCGTTTACATCAGCAACAGAGGGCTGATATGTTAGCAGCTGCACAGGCACGGGCAGATGCTGAAGCTGCCAGGAGGGAAAGAGAGGAGAGGAAGAGAAGAGATGAGGCTGAGAAGAGAAGGCAAGAAGATGAAGAGAAGATAGATGTAGGCATGAGATCTGTTGATGATGAGGACAACACTTTGTTGATATCCAGGAGAAGGAAGTCATCCAGTCCCCTTTCTCAACACAATGCTGGTCAGTAATCACAGCTGTAAAATATTCACTTTAAGTATGTCTCGACTGTGTAAAAAAAGTAGTTATATCTTAAAATTATTAATTTAAAAAAGGCAATTCAGTTTTTTAAATAATAGAAGTTTAAAAGTGAAATTAAATAATGAAAGCAAATTAAATTTTATTACAGCAAAATAACTGACATTCTCCATTTTAAACCGACATTACTAGTAGCCACTTAAGTAACTAATTTAGTAATTATGCAATAAATAAAATTTCATTTTATAATTTCATCAGTTTGGGGTTATTATTAAATTTTGAAAATAGTTGTATTTCACAATAGGTTAAAAAAAATAATTTTAAAGAATTAATAAAGTTTTCTAATAAATACAGTGTTGAAGTTAAACAACATAAATAATTAAATATGCGCTAGTTAGAAATTCTGTTTCATAATTTAATTTCATAATTTGATTTAAAAAAATATTTTGTAATCTTCAAAGAATATGGTGCTCGATAAAAAGATTTAAAAGTTTCTACTACTAGGGAGCTTGGTAGCAAAACAGTAAAGGGAAATAGCTCGGTTATTTTTTTATTTGTGTAATTATAGGTTTAAAATATTTATTATTAAGTAAACTTTCCCACATTCATTTTTCCCTACATGTAACTTAATGTAAATTAATAAAGTTTTCTAATAAATACAGTGTTGAAGTTAAACAACATAAATAATTAAATATGCGCTAGTTAGAAATTCTGTTTCATAATTTAATTTCATAATTTGATTTAAAAAAATATTTTGTAATCTTCAAAGAATATGGTGCTCGATAAAAAGATTTAAAAGTTTCTACTACTAGGGAGCTTGGTAGCAAAACAGTAAAGGGAAATAGCTCGGTTATTTTTTTATTTGTGTAATTATAGGTTTAAAATATTTATTATTAAGTAAACTTTCCCACATTCATTTTTCCCTACATAATTATTTAAAAATGCTGCAAGTAAAAAAGATGTGCTAATCTCTAATCTTAGGGCAATTGAATTGACATTTCAACCCTGGTGAGTTTCACTACTATGTAGATTGTATTAAACTTGTTATGCCTTTTTATAGGTGAGCAAGTTAAGAGAAGACGACCTAATGGAAGTGAAACATCAGAAGAAGTAGGATCCTCATCAAGTGAGGTTGATGTAGCCTCACATTCCAGTGTTGACAAACCTTCTCAACTGTCCACCACAGACCAAGCCTCATGTGATGTCTCCCCCGAAAAACCCTCAGATCCCTGTGACAAAGGCAGCAGACAACAAGCACCAGATGAAGCGAAATCTGAACATGTTATTTTACCCACATCCACTTCCTCTTCACCACAATCTCCATCCTCCAAGCATCTAGTCAGTTCAAAAACTGTTTCAGCCAGTGGGCCTGTCTCACCTCAGCCATGTTCATCTTCATCTTTAGACCCAGAAGAGCCCAGGGATGAAAGCACTCCAGACTCAACTAAAGACTCGCTTGTATCCAACATGGAAGTTACATCTAGCACAGAGAATGAATGCAGTGATTTAAATGAACCATCAACCAGTTCAGATAAATGCTGCGATTCACGGCTTGAGACCCCCTCCAGACAAGCCTCTTATGGTGGAATTATCCTGCCTGCCCAGAGAACATCTTCTAGTGAAGGAATAGGTTCATGCATCCGATCTCAAGGAGCTGATATTTATGAAAAGGTTGTGAAAAGTGCAGATGCTGTGATGGCACTTTTGTCTCGTCTTCATGAAAATTCACAAAATTGATGTTTTACTTGAATGAATAAAGGTAAATGTAAATAAAATCATGTCTTTGTGTGTAGGATTATCAGTAAAATACTATTTTTTATTTGTTTGGCAAGAAAAGACCACTTTTTAATGAATGCATGCATTTATCTGAAGTAATTTTCAGTAACTTAAATTTGAAATAATTTATGCTGGGCTCTCAAGCATTTCATAATTTTGTGTCATTATTTGCTTTATTTCAAAGCTTCTAGTAGTAATTGGTGCCTTATGTCAGTCCTTTGTGTTTGTTGTAAATATTTTGTCTGAAGTAAGTGTCAGTTTATTTTTCCAGAAATGTCAAAAATTGCCCCAGTTTGTTAGAACTTTTTACCATATCAGCATTTATTTTGTCATTTGTGTTAACACAGTACACACATTGTAAATCAATGCATTGTCCTATTTTGGTGTACATACTATTATTTGTATATAAAAAGAAAAAAGTTATTTAACTCTTTGACTATATCCAGGGACCAATTAAAAATATTTGGTCCTGCTTTTACGAAAACTAAATTGTTAGATTGTGAATTTAGTATTTTTGTTTTTAATATAATTTTGAAAATATGTTAATGCTAAATTTAAAATGTGTTATATTGAATTCAATACACTGCAGATAATATACGGTAAAGAAAAAATGACACATTTCTGTCTCTTAAGCCTAGATTGCAAGTTGCAATCGCCTAGATTGCAAGTTGCAATCGTAAGATTAAAAATAAGCTTTTTAAAAAATTTTCCCTCCTCAATGAATGTAGTTGTGAATTTAAAATATTTACTTGCTTGTTGTCCAGAAATAAATGATTCTTCTTTCATTTCTTAAAACAGTTTTTTTGCTTGTTAATTCAGAACACATCTGTTAGACGATTCACTGCTACTATCAACATGGTACCCATTTTAACCAGTGAATTTACCATTATTGATCATCTCTTCAGATGTTGAGAGCTCAGGAACTGCTAACTCTAGCTGCTATACTAACCTATTTTTTTTTACAATGAGAAAAAAGGGAACCCCCCCCCCCCCATTACACTTCAAAATGAAATATTTGCATATTACATAACATTTCTTTTAAACAGTATGACTTGTGCAAGGTCAAATGCACTGGATGATCTTATTGTATATATATTTTGAATGTGGATCAAACTCAAGTGGTCAACAAATAATCCTAATGTATAAATTTAAAAGCCCATGTGCGCATTTCTCTCTGTCCGCAAAATATTTTCCGAGGTATGAGATCAGTATATTCAACAATAAATGGAGCACTTAATACGGACCTTTTGTTGGATGTATTAAATTTAAATGTATAAACTAAATTTTATTAAAAGAATAAAATAAAGGCATATTCGAATGTAGAAACACATAATTATGCAACCGGAAAAGTGTTTATGGTTGTGACAAGAAGGCAAAAAATGATAAACTACTATGGAAAGTACACAACACTAATGGCATCATTTTCCAATTTTAAATTTATGAAGAAATGAACGATTTCATTCAAATTTGATTTAGATACAGAACTCTACTTTTCAAGACATAATTTATGAAATGTCATTCAATTATCTAGGCCTAAATTAATACTAATTACTTAAAAAAAAACTACACAATTTACATTGAAGAGCTGGATTTTTAACGAAACATAAGTTTCTTAGTGTGTGCATTTAAAAAGGTGTTGACTAATAATGTATATTTCTACTAGATATTGGTGTGTCACTAATAGCCTTAGTGAGTAAAGCACATTGCTTTTTGACCAATAACTATTTTATAAAAAAATTTTCCCTAAAAAGTATACCAACACTGGCATTCTCAACACATTACTTCCAATGACCTCACATTACTGATATAAGTAAAAAATTAAACACACAAACAAGGCCTCTGGACTTTACATAATTTATTAAATATGGCATAAAAAACATTTCTGGCAGCCAATATCATTTACTTGTTGACTACCATTTATGTACAGAAGAGATGTGACTCAAGATAAAGCTACTGCAAAAAGTTTTTTTTTTTGTATTTTAAAAATTGAAATTTTTAAAATCATTTAATTTTTTGATAACTTAAGAGTGAATTTCAAAACTTTCATACTATATCAAACACACAGGAAAAATGATGAAGCATGGTGTACCAAATATTAAATGCTTACATTGTACAAAAAACAAATGTCAGAAAATTCTACTACCAAAGCCAAATATTTGTCTCATTCTATTCCAATAATTTTCTTTCCACCCTTCTCTTGTTTTGTCAATTTCAGTTTCTGGTATGCCCGTTTGCTTCAAGTTTAAAGTTGTCGTCCCTTCCTTGTCTATTAATTCTATTGTTACTTCAGAATAGTGTTCAGACGGCCATGATTTAACTCGCCACCTTTTGACAATTTTTTGGTCAGGCACCTAATTTTAATTGAAATAAAATATGAATAGAACTTTTTAAAATTGAATAAACAAAAATAAATAAGCCAGAAATAATGATTTCATAGTTAATTGCTGACGTTTAGAGCTAAAAAGAAAAAAAATTACCAAATCAACAAATTCTCCTGTTATATTACCACCAGCTAATGAAAATTTTTCCCCTTTGATTGGTTCAAATGTGATGCCAGATCCCATATAAGCTTCCACCATCTGTTAAACATGTCATTTTTGAGTAGTAAAAACATAGTCATTATAAATATAATGTAAACCAATTAGTGCAACCTAAAAATTATGTTATGCAAGTTTATTAAAAACTTTAAATTATATTTTTGTTTTAATTATTTGTGACCACAAATTAAGTGAAAATAACTTACTGGTTTGTATGTTAATGCCCTATAGAGGTCAGACGCCTGACAGTTAAAAGACTCAGACATGGTCAAAGTTTTTGTGTGAATTCGAACGCCTACTTCAGGCTGTTTACCATTGTTTATAGTTACAAACTTGTTTAATTCTTGTTTGGGTTTATTCTGTAAAAAAATTCAGTGGTAGGTTAAGGAATGATTTAAAATGAAATAACATTATATGTTGTTTAGAATTAAACTCTAGAGTATATTACATTTATATGTAACTAACTAGCAAATGCTTTTTGCAGCTACCATTACACTACCTTATATTATAAAAAAAAACATGAAATACAACAATATTTTCTTTTATAATCAACATAAAAACAATGTCCATGTTTACCTCTTTATTATGGACAGGTTGAGATGTCTGAGCTGTATCACTAGATTTTGTTGGAAGAATTATGTTTTGACCATATTCTGTAAAATACAAGAGGAACTAGAATATAATTACTTTCATTCTACGAAAATGGGGAGAAAAAACTGTTTTCAAAAAACACTGCAATGCTCCTAAAAATGCCTCCTGAGAATTTTCTTAGATGGGATTATATGCATACAATTTTTAAATCTCACTTCCTTAGGTATTCACTCATGATATTTACATTTTCATTACAGATAATTTTCCACATAGATTAAGCCAATACTGAGGTACAAGTTTATCCATCATAGGGACTAGCTATTAAATAATCACTAATAAGGAAACACTAGCCATAACCTGACACTTAAATTTGCATGTGAAAGAAATAATTTCTCTTCTTTATTATACTACATATATTATATTATATTTGAAAGCATAACTAGTTTAAAACAGTTTTTAAAAAATGCAGAATATTTTTGATTCATAAAGAACAGGTCTAAAATTGTAATGAATAAAGGAAAATAGCATTACACATTTACACAAGACATGTATTCATGTTGTGGATAATCTAAAAGAATATTAATGAAATTTCTATTTTTTCTGTTGTCAGAAGTTAGAAATGTTAAAAATCTTATTTAGGCACTTGTAACAAAATACAGATGAATCTGATAAATAATAATTAAATTTCAAATACCGAAACCTAGCAGTGGAATGACACTGTCTATGATTTATTCAAATTTAGTGATACTTACCAGTTTTGAGATCAGATATGTATTTAGCAAGCTGTTGGCGTATAAGTTCAGTTCCTTGAGTTCTAAAAATGTCTTTTAATTCATGGGCTTCATTAGAACTTTTATCTGCTGTTACATTGACCTGGTGAAACCAAAACATGATTCAAATTGAAAAGGTCTTAAATCGGCAAACCACAATTTATAACTTACACTATGCACCACTACATTAAAAATACAGTCACATCTACAACCAATACACATAAAAAGGTTGGTTAACTTCCACAAAGAGGTAATAGATTATTGGGTACATATTTCATTCATTACATACATCAATATCACTGGGTTCGTTCTCCTCACTAAGATTTGGTATGACAAACTTTCCTTTATACGACTTTATGTCATCCTTCAACATACCTGGGAATAAAAATTATCATTGTCTCTCCAACTCATTTTATTAAATTATGTTTGAAATTGTTATATCTAATTTGACTAAGAGCCCACATTTATTTTTATTTTAAAATATAAAACAATTACCAATTATCAAAAATAAAAATTACCTGACCATTCTCCTTTAATTTCGAACTCATAAAAAAATATTAATTTAGCTTTTCGGTTATTAGCACTAGCCTCTCCTTCGATATGTGATATTTCTTTTATTTCACAGGTTCCTGTAACAATAAATAAAAATTGTATTAATTAAAAAGTTGACAGAATCCAATTTTAAAAATGGAAAAAGTACATTGGCCCAAACATTAAAATGGGATTGATTTGTAAATAAAGTATGATACTTTTAATAAAAAAAATACATTGAAAAATTAATATGACAAAATTGATTAAATAGATTACCTTTTTCAGTTTCAACCTTTAAGCCCAGAAGTAGTTCTTTTATACGATCTTTAGACCAATTAGTTGCATTCTTTTCAACCCTAAATTTAAATAATAAAATAAATCAAATTAGGAGTAACTGCAAGTCTCGAATGTTTTTTAAAATCTGTAAAAGGACCCAGATCCAAGGACATTTCACTTGTAAATGTCAGATTCTTCCTGGCATCTCTTCAGGGGGAAGGCCCACCCCCCCCCACCTGAAGAAAGTCTACTGCTGTATAGAAAATATATAATTTACTTGTGCCCCCCCCCCCCCTCCCATAGAAAATAAGTCTGAAAGAAACATGTAAATGTGTGTAGTGTACTGTAGAGTACCGAAACAATTAATAAATAATTAGTCTCATCACAATGCCAAAGCAAACATAAAAATTAAATCTCAATTCTAAGACTTAAGACAGTTTATTAAATAGAGTAGTTTGGTGCCAATCAGTGCCATATTATTAATTTAATTCAAAACTTAGAAGAAACTCAATAATCTTGTCAGTAGGTCAGGTCTACTCTAGTACTAGATCTAGGATTCTAGTCTACTAAAATACTAAATCTACTAAAAAATACTAGATCTAAATAGACCAACAGTTAGGGCTAACACTGTTTACTAACAGACATAATAATCAGAATATCTGAATATCTACTCTCCTCAGGCTCAACTCCTCTCTAACAGACTCTAACACTGTAACTGAACTAACCAATAGAAAAAAGGCCGATTCTAGTCGGAATAAGATACGCATGCGATACGCATGCGCAATGGAGAGAAATTACGACTTAGCGGCGATGTTTTCGATGGTACTGCGCATGCGTGTGTTTACAACCGCAGAACCCTAATACCAACCCTAATCCTATCCTTAACCCTATCCCTAACCCTATCCCTAATCCTATCCCTAACCCTAATCCTACCCCTCATTCTAGCCCTAACCCTAGCCATAGGTCACTGCGCATGCGCAGAACTATCTTTTGCCGAAAAATCTTATTCCGAGTAGACACTTCGTAGAAAAAAAGGTGATTTCATAAGAAATTATTCGTTTATACTATATTATGTAATATGTAGATCTAGACTAGAGATTAATTAAATTAATATTATTGGTGAGTTCAACCGTGAGTAGGTTATAGATCTAGAGATCTAGATCTGTTTTACTGTTACGTTATTGTTACCTACCAACCAGGTGCCCACTTGCGATGTTTTTAAAGATTTCTTTTACTCACCAGTGCCAGTTATTAACATTTGTGGCGTCAGGACGGTCTTCTACAATCCATCTAGGATCGCCTTCTCCCCATTTAGCCATCTTAGATAGGATTTATTATGTTTATGTTTTTTTACGTAGACAACTGGAGTTTTATTTAGGCCCAGATTTAGTTTATTTGTAACAAATAGACTCGAATATACAGGACTTTTCTGGAACACAGGTCCTAAACTTTTATAAATACTTTACCGGAAGTAGCATGTTCCTAACAACGACATCTCACGGCAAATTTTTAATACTACAAAAAATGGGCCCGTTATGCCCCCCCCCCTCCTCTCGATGATTAAAGGCTAGTAGACCCTATTTGTAAATCGACGGGTTCAACAATAAAACTACCAGTTAATGAGATTGTTACAATCAAGATATCAACTGTAAGCCTGGATCTAAATATTACCTGAAAAGAGGCAGTAAAAATGTGGTGTATTGTGTGTAGCGTGTATGATGCGGGATAAATGATTCGGGAATGGATCGTTTGATTAGAGATGTAAGTCATGTAAGGTGTGAGTTGTGCTATGTGGGGTAGTGAGATGTGGATCGAGGCTTTAATGTGCGTTTTATGTTGTCGGGTGTAGTGTAGTATGAGGGGTTGGTGTGTGTATGGTGATGTGGGTCAGGTTGTTGGATGCTGTACGATAAGTGTGGCAACGTGCGGACCGGCCGCTGTGCGATGTATGTTTGGATGTGCTTCATATATGGTGTCATGTGGCGTAAGATGGTGTGTTTGTTGGTGTGGAGCAATGTTCCTTCAAGACTTTTTTCTCCGGGGGGGGGGGGCACTTGAAATTTTCGGGGGGGGGGGGGGTAGACTTTCTTCGGGGGGGGGGGCGGACACTGTAAAAAGTATATATTTTCTATATAAATCATATAATTTCATTTCGTTGGGGGGGGGGGGGGGCGGTAGGATTTTTTCGGGGGGGGGGGGGTGGCGAACGAAGAGATGCCTGGAAGAAACTCTGGTGTGGAGTGGTGTTGTGCTTGGTCTAATCCGTGTGTTGTGTATGTGTGTGGTGCGGTGTATGGTGTATCATTATGTATAGAGTGTGGGATGAGTGATTGAGTGTGGATGCGTGGGGTTTGACTTATAGAAGGCCCTATATCCAATTGATTTAGTGGGATGTAGGGCCAACGTTTTGGTAGCGGGGTAAGTGAGCAGGATGGGTTGGGAGGTGATGTGTTTGGTTTTGGGTTGTGGTTCATGGTATCGAGCGGAAAAGGGTGTGTTATTTTCCTTTCAGTTATTTTCTCTTTCAATTTTTAAATATCCCATTTGATCTAGATCTATATGTGATAATTGTTTTCAAAAGTTTTACGAAAAAAATATTGTATGGTGTTTTGTGCTCTGTTAGTGTTAGACCTAGATCTAGTAAATATGTGAATAGCATTTCGAGTCTCCATGAAGTTTACACTGTACACAAGGGAAACTACTCTTAGTTAAAGTTAATAATCAGTAACTGCTATAATAAATACTGAAGTAGATTCTCTAGATCTAGACTAGATCTAGAATCTAGATTCTAACCCCCTGTGTTTATTGAAAAAGCTTTATATTTATATTAAAAGACTTGTAGATCACAAAAAATGTGATAAATACAAATAAAATGGCTTTAAATTTTAAAACGGCCCACAACAACTATGACCACAGTTTTTACTAAGTCAATGCATAAGAACTTAAATTAAATAAGAAGTTTGTATATTTTATTTCTGATACATGCCTATTTCATTTATTATTTAATTCCATTAGGCCTATAGGCCTAATACTTAATACTCATTTACTCTTTTACTAATTTACTTAGATCTAAATAGTAAATCTTAGTATTAAAAATCTAGAACTTAAGACTTAATTTTTTAATAGAAATTCAAATAGTACAAATACGTCAAATAGTGACAAATACTGAAATAGGCCTACAGTCAGTCTACGGGTATTGTAACTGTAGGCCTATACTATAGTATGTATTTATTAATTATTTTATTAGAAGATCTAGTCTAGTCTGATCTAGTAATTTATAAATAATAAATTAAATAGTAGGCCTATTAGTATTGTATATTTTAATAAAATATAAGTAAGTTTAAGGAATTATTTACACTATACAATGAATACATTATTCTATTTTATATAAAGGGCATGAATGATATTGACTTATCGATAAACTAATGATAAACTATTTTTAAAAATGAAATATGTATTTGCCATTACAGTCCTGGTATGAGAAAAAAAAATTAAATAATGTCTTCAAGCAAGTGGAACTGGAGTTCAGTCTGTGAACATGGAGAAGACATGCATGTATGGAAAGGACAGGACTTTGGCCATTGTTTTGAGCAAATGGTGATACTTCCAACAGCACATGCCTTACTTGGTATTGTTAGTGTTTATCATTTTGGTAGGCAGCAGAGAGGAACCTTACAAGGAAACATGTTGCATGTCAACTGGCCTTGGTTTTTAGTTCTACGTATGGTAACTGTTGTTTTTCTAACCTGTGTTCCAGTACTTCAGATAATATTCTCTGTCAGTTTGGAACATTCTTTGCCAAGTATTTCAGATGGAGTTGTGGCAGGTGTATCAACTCTTACCTGGGCCTTGCATGGGCTTTATGTATGGAACTTGAGATATCTTTATGAGCATGACCTCAGAGGACCATTAAGTGCAATAGTAGCTTTTTTGGTTGTTGTAGCTTCCTGTGCCATCCATTTACACACTGTGATAAGTAGACATTTGTCAAATTCTTTGTATCGCAACATGACTGAAGAATACACAACTTATATCAATGGTGCTTTCAACTTTATTTATCTTATGAGTATTTTCCCAAACAAGCCTCGTGTTTATCACACAAATAATACACTACAAATTAATGAGGTAGATGGAGAAATTGAACATATTGTAAAGGGAAGGAATAGAACATATGGCGCTATCAGCAGGGATAAAGACAGTGCAACAACTGCTGAAGAGGGTGTTGGGTGTTTTTCATTGCTGACTTTCCACTGGGTGCAGCCTCTGATGACTCGTGGGGCTGGCATGAATATTTCCAGCGTAAATGATCTTTTTTTGTTGCCCTCTCAGCTCAACACTCACTTGGTTGAACTAAATTTTCAAACAGTTTTAAAGAAACTGTTCAATGTGGATGCAGCTTGTGGTGAAGAAAACAAAGCTCTGGCAGTAGATGGACCCAGCACTTACAGCCCTGTGCCAGAGGTTAATGTCATATCCCATCATACCTTACCCAGTCCTTCTGCACACACCTATCAAAGTTATCAAACTGTTAGCATTACTCCCCTAGAAGAACATGATATTGAGCAAGATTTTGAAAATTTAAATGAAACAACATCCTCTCCCATATCAAATGTCAAACTGTTCAAAGTGCTAAACAAAGCTTTCGGTGTTGAGTACTATACATTAGGTATTTTAAAACTATTTGCGGACAGCCTAGGATTTGCAGGTCCTGTGTTGCTGAACTATTTAGTCAGCTTCATAGAAACCAAATCAGATCATTCATATCATGGCTATTTATTTGCTACTGGCCTGTTTCTTTCTACCCTACTGGGAACTCTCTGCTCCACCCAGTTTGACTACAAGGTTCAAAAAGTAGCTTATAAAATCAGATGTGCACTAGTCACAACAGTCTATAGGAAATCTCTCTGGACAAGTGCAGTGGTGCAGTCACAGTTTTCTACTGGTGAAATTGTTAATTTTATGAGCACAGACACTGACAGGATTCTTAACTTCTGCCCAAGCTTTCATGCATTTTGGAGTCTGCCATTCCAGGTAATTGACACATTTTTTAAAATTTAGATTGATTTTTTTGTTTATTACTGTTTTAAAGTAAAACAATTTACATGTAAACTATTTTCTTTTTGTAATTACATTTTTAGATCTCTTGATATTGTATTCAAGTATTAGCGAGTTAACTATTTTTAATGGGAGACAACAAAATGAGTGTTACCTAATTGTTTTGTATCCACCCCCAGGTGACAGTTTCTCTGGTCTTGTTGTACCAGCAGGTAGGCATAGCTTTTTTGGCTGGTGTAGCATTTGCTCTTGTTTTGATTCCAATTAACAGATGGATTGCTCAGAAAATTGGCCAGCTAAGCTCAGCAATGATGCAGCACAAAGATGAGAGAGTTAAGGTTAGTGGAAACACTGCTTCATAATTTAAAAAAAAACTAGTTACAAAAAATGTATATTACTCCCACATTTTTTTCAGAGCTACTTATTTTATTTAAATGTTATAATTAAATTACACTATTATTAATAAAATTTAAGAGTTTGAAAAAAAATTAAGATTTTATTTTCCTAAAGTTTTAGGATGTTAAATTTGGAAAGAAATAAAATAAAATTTCTGCAATTTGACTCATACACCTAAAGTATTTTTCTCTAATAAAAGACATCTAACCTACAGTTGATGAATGAGCTGCTCTATGGGATCCGTGTTGTCAAGTTGTACTCGTGGGAGGAGCACTTCACTTCTCAGATCAACACCATCAGGAGTAAAGAGCTCAGCTGTTTGAAAGGGAGAAAATATTTGGATGCCATGTGTGTGTATTTCTGGGCTACAGCTCCTGTGTTGATGTCCATTTTGACCTTCACTACATATGTTTTAATTGGAAATACATTAACTGCAGCTAAGGTAGATATTTTTTTTTATCCAGACCTAAAGTAGTATTGTTTTTTATTCTAGAGTAAGTATTGTTATTAGCTGCGTGACTAACTTTTTATGGAGGTTAAAGTTGCTTAGCTAGATCATAGTTGTACATTAGAGTAGAGCCATTATACTACTAAGACCTGATAAGGCTAGATAGTTTGGCTGTATAACAATAAGACAGAACAATATTAGAAAGTTTGGCTGTATAACTATTAGACAGACAGAACATTAGTTTGGCTGTATAACAATAAGACAGACAGATCAACATTAGATAGTTTGGCTGTATAACAATAAGACAGACAGAACAACATTAGATAGTTTGGCTGTATAACAATAAGACAGAAAGAACAACATTAGATAGTTTGGCTGTATAACAATAAGACAGAAAGAACAACATTAGATAGTTTGGCTGTATAACAATAAGACAGAAAGAACAACATTAGATAGTTTGGCTGTATAACAATAAGACAGGCAGAACAACATTAGATAGTTTGGCTGTATAACAATAAGACAGAAAGAACAACATTAGATAGTTTGGCTGTATAACAATAAGACAGAAAGAACAACATAAGATAGTTTGGCTGTATAACAATAAGACAGGCAGAACAACATTAGATAGTTTGGCTGTATAACAATAAGACAGGCAGAACAACATTAGATAGCTTGGCTGTATAGCAATAAGACAGAAAGAACAAAGTTAGATAGTTTGGCTGTACAACAACATAGGGCAACAACATCAGAGACTTGCTCTGAGCTGGTTATTTAGGCTGTAATGACTCATTTACCCTGGTCAGTTTGTTGTCATTTAGCAACTTTGTTTCAGGTTTTTACATGTCTTTCCCTCTTTTTGATGCTCATCAGCCCTTTGAACTCATTTCCTTGGGTCATTAATGGGCTTGTTGAAGCTTGGGTATCACTGAAACGAGTTGAGAAGTTTATTTGCTTGAAGAACTCAGACACCAGCCAGTATTACTCTAGTAAAGGTACATTCTGCTGCCCTAAGGTCTATGTATAGTTTTTCTAGTAAATTGATAGGCTAAATATATTAGATGGATGCACTTTTTTTACATTACATTAAAAAATTACTGGTTGTTTAAAGGAAAAACTCCTATTTTATAGAACTTGAAGGTGATACAGTAATTCTGTTGAAGAATGCACATTTCTCTTGGATGAAATCAAATGATGAGACTGATGAAGGAAGTGATGATAATGTCACTAAAACTCAGGACGTTGAGGAGATAAACCTGCGGATACATCAGGTCAGGACATTGACATCTCATCCACTCACACAGTTCTCTTGCATGGTGTGCTTGATCCAACACTATCTAGTTGGAGAGGAAAAGTTATCCATATTGTATATTGATAGGGTAGAAATCAAAACAGTATCTGGTTATAGTGGGAGTTTATCCATATTGATTTTTGTTAGGGTATAAAACAAAACACTGGTTAGAATGTGAATTTTCCTTAATGAATATTGTTTACTTCAAAATTTAATCTTTGTTAAAATATTTTCTGGAAAAGTGTGCAGCACTAATAAACCACATTTTATTATTGTATTGTTTACATAGTGATGTTTTATTCAGTATTTATCTAATATTTTTTCTTTAAATAGGGACAGTATGTAGGCATTGTGGGTAAAGTTGGCTCAGGGAAAAGCTCCCTTCTCAATGCTATTATTGGTGAGATGAGGAAAACACAAGGGGAGATAAATGTCCAGGACCTAGACAAGGGGTTTGCCTACGTGGCCCAGGAGCCATGGGTGCAGCATGCAACTGTGAGAGATAATATTCTGTTTGGCAGCCCATTTGATGGTCAGAGATATGATCAAGTCATAGAAGCTTGTGCTTTAACTGATGACTTCAAGGTTTGAAGTTTTTCCTCAAGATAACCATATAGTTTTTTATTGCATACTTGTAGATATAATAATTTACTCATTGAAAATGTTTTAACAAAACTTTACTCCCTGATGTCAGTACATTCTATCTAATTATAATTAAATTAATAATTTAATAAGAGTTGATCACACTAAAGTTACCCACCTACACAGTGGTGTCCATTCTTACAGGTGATGCCTGCAGGAGACATGACGGAGATTGGAGAGAATGGAATTACTTTAAGTGGTGGACAAAGGGCAAGAGTGGCGTTAGCAAGGGCTGTTTATCAGGCTAGTTGTTTTTACTGGTCAGCTAGTTGTTTGCGTTAGTCAGCTAGTTGTTTGTGTTAAGTCAGCTAGTTGTTTGTATTGGTCAGCTAACTGGTCAGCTAGTTGTTTGTATTGGTCAGCTGGTTGTTTGTGTTAAGTCAGCTAGCTTTTTGTATTATTCAGCTAGTTGTTTGTATTGGTCAGCTAGTTGTTTGTATTGGTCAACTGTTTGTGTTAGTCAGCTAGCTTTTTGTATTATTCAGCTAGTTATTTGTATTGGTCAGCTGATTGTTTGTGTTAAGTCAGCTAGCTTTTTGTGTTATTCAGCTAGTTGTTTGTATTGGTCAGCTGTTTGTTTGTGTTAAGTCAGCTAGCTTTTTGTGTTATTCAGCTAGTTGTTTGTATTGGTCAGCTAGTTGTTTGTATTGGTCAGCTAGTTGTTTGTACTGGTCAGCTAGTTGTTTGTATTGGTCAACTGTTTGTGTTAGTCAGCTAGCTTTTTGTGTTATTCAGCTAGTTATTTGTATTGGTCAGCTGATTGTTTGTGTTAAGTCAGCTAGCTTTTTGTGTTATTCAGCTAGTTGTTTGTATTGGTCAGCTAGTTGTTTGTATTGGTCAGCTAGTTGTTTGTATTGGTCAGCTAGTTGTTTGTACTGGTCAGCTATTTGTTTGTACTGGTAAGATAAGCTAGTTTGTGTTGATCAGCTAGTTTATATTGGTCAACTAGTTGTTTTTGCTGGTCAGCTATTATTTTTTTTTCTCATAAAAATATAATGATGTGTTTAATTTTAAAAGTTTTACTATTATTTACTTTATATTTGGCTAATGTTGTTTTATTCAGGACAAAGATCTCTACTTATTGGATGATCCACTTTCTGCTGTTGATGCCCACGTTGCTAAACATATCTACACAAACTGTATAATGGGCTTGCTGAGGGGCAAAACAAGAGTTTTGTGTACACACCATGCCAGATTTCTTAAGCATGCTGACTGGGTCATTGTAATGGAGGAAGGCAGGATCATTCAATCTGGTAGGTCTTTCAGCTATCTGGGTGACCCACTCACAAACACTAGGTACATAACACACAGAAACTTGTTGAAGTAAAAGTGGGTAGTTTTATTCAGGCTTTTATCAATGCTACATCTCTCACAATTTATCTCACAATTTAACTTTAGGATAACAAAATTATAAGTAATCAAAACTTAGAAACCCAAAACTGTCTGTGTTAGGTGTACCTTCAGATGTGCTGGCCCATATACATTTAGTTGAAGACAGCTCAAACAACAGCAAGGAGGATGAACCTAAAATAGACAACATTGAAACAGAGAGATATGGGGATTCATTAGTACTTGAAGAAGAGAGACAGAAAGGGGTAGTGAAAGGGATTGTGTACAAAAGTTACTGGAGATCTGTTGGAACTTGTTTATCTCCCCTAGTTCTTTTGACTTTGTTTTTGATGCAAGGTAACTTTTTTTTATGGTACAGCTTCACTCATTATTGGTACTGAATTTCATTAATGCAACTTTAATTTTTTAACCAGCGACTTGAACTGGGCTTTGATTAAATTCCAAGCCACATTTTACTTGTATAAGATAAGAATTTTTTTGTTTACTTTTATGGACTAACTAGGGTCCATCTCATGTGAACATTCCATATAAACAGCATCTCGGAATTGTGGGGACTGGTGGTTGTCCTACTGGGTCACACACACAGCTGAAAACTCTATAGCAAATTTAACTGGAACTTTTAAGTAAGGAATAAATATTTTGAACTCAATTATATTAAAATAAAGTGCATCTGTTATATTAAATCATTAAGATTTTAAAACTTTTCTATGGTTATTTTCAGTATGACAAACTTAACATCAGCTGAAGATAACCTCATGTTTTATTTGGGAATCTTTGGAGGCCTAGCGGGGCTTAATTCTGTGTTTACATTGCTTAGAGCTTTCCTGTTTGCTTATGGTGGGCTTTGTGCTGCAGGAATCATACATAAGCGTCTGCTTTCATCTATCCTAAAGGTAGCACTCACGTCTACATTTTGATCAAGTTAAATTTTTTGATATAGGATACATAAACAGCTGCTTTCATCTATCCTAAAGGTAGCACTAACGTTTACATTTTGATCAAGTTAAATTTTTATGTGTGATACATAACCAACTGCTTTCATCTATCCTAAAAGTAGCACAAAAATTTACATTTTAAAGGTAGCACAAAAGTTAACATTTTAAAGGTAGCACAAAAGTTAACATTTTAAAGGTAGCACAAAAGTTAACATTTTGAAGGTAGCACAAAAGTTTACATTTTGATCAATCTAAATTTAAAATCTATAAAAAAAAAATATTTCAGGCTCCACTGTCATTTTTTGATGTCACACCTATTGGTCGAATAGTGAACAGATTCTCCTCAGATCTCTACGCAGTGGATGATTCTCTCCCCTTCACTCTGAACATCTTCCTGGCACAGATGTATGGGATTATTGGCACTCTTGTGCTAACTTGTTATGGTCTGCCTTGGTTTGTTTTGTGCTTGGTACCTATGGCAGCTGTATATTACAAGATACAGGTGGGGATTTGTGTATTTGAGCTGTGTGCATGCTTTAGGTCTATATTTTTGATAAAGTCCTCACCCAATATAAGAGTGTTCAAACCAGCATGAGTTTTGTGTGAGTATTTCAAAATGTAACAAAGCCACTACTACTCTTCAACAGCATTACTACAGATTCACATCAAGGGAGTTAAAGCGTCTATCTAGTGTAACATTATCTCCCATATATGCCCATTTCTCTGAAACCATCACGGGTCTCGCTACTATTCGATCAATGAGACATTCTCTGAGGTAATTTTATATAGTACACTATATTCAAGTTGAAGCAGGATATTGATTTACTTTTTAACCTGACCATAGAAGCTTTTAAATAAATGTACGCAGCCATGACATATACCAGCTTATCATATTGTCTTGATACTTTGACAGGTTTAGAATAATGTATGGTTTAAAGGTTGAATTAAAAAAAAAAATTTTAACTAAATATGAAATGGTTAGTCTAACAGCTCACCACTGTGACCTGAGTTGTGAAATGTTTTGATGACTGTCTGATCCCTGTGCCAGATTCTGTGATGAGAACAAGACGAGGCTGGATATCAACCAGAGGGCACAGTTTGCCACGCAGCTCTCTTCCTCCTGGCTGGACCTGAGGCTGCGTTTGCTAGGTGTTGCCATGGTTACTTGTTTATCCATGATTGCTGTCATACAGCATCAGTTAACTTCTGTTGATGCAGGTACTTTTAAAGTCATCAAACAAACCTTTTCTGTGAGGTACATGCCACATTAGCTGGTATCAAACCTTGATTACTATAGTGACAGGAAGAAAAATATTCTGCTATCGGTCATATATTTAACACAAGATTCTTTAAATTTATATTTCTATCACATACCAGAACTTAATTAGGTGGAATATTTTGCCATATGTGTTAAGATGTCTGTACATATGCCAGAGAAATGTTTCCAACCAAGAAGCCAAATTTTTTTTTCCCCCAGGTCTAGTTGGACTTGCCATTTCATATTCCCTGTCAGTGACCAATTTGCTTGGGGGTGTTGTCATGTTTTTTACTGCCACAGAGAAAGAGTTTGTTAGTGTTGAGAGATGCCAACATTATATCAATGAGACACCATCAGAGAACTGGAGTGGGTCATTATTTGTAAGAATAATTCTTTATTACAGTTTTTCATTATTATCATGTTATTACTAGCAGTATGTCTTTGCTGCCATAAAAAAGTACCAATTTCTGTGTCAGTAAATGTAAAATATAAAGTGTTGAGTTGTAAAAATTCTTATTGTAATGTATTTCTAAATCTTGTGAAGCCCCCAACTGTTTGGCCGAGTGAAGGTGTCCTGGAGTTTGTCAAGGTTTGCCTCCAGTATAGAGACACACTCTCCCCTGCCCTGAGAGGAATCAGCTTTAAAACCAGACCTGGTGAGAAGGTGGGGATAGTGGGGCGGACTGGCGCAGGTAAATCAAGTCTTTTCCTGGTCCTGTTCAGGCTGGTGGAGGCCAGTCAAGGTCGTGTTCTGGTGGACGGTGTCGACTTGAAGTACCTGGACTTGCAGGACATCAGGTATGTGGCTTCATCCAACATAATAAATAGTTGCTGCACTTGATAGATACACATTAGCAGTTGTATTGTTTTGTTGTGAAATATATTTCTTTTACTCCATGTTTTTGAAGCTCATCGTTATTAAGAATTGTTTTCTACAACAGATCAAGATTTGCAATTATTCCACAAGATCCATTCCTGTTCAGTGGATCAGTTCGTTTGAACCTTGACCCCACGGATAGTCACACTGACCCTGACCTGTTGTCAGTACTGGAACGCTGCCACCTGCGTACGTGTGTGGAAAAGATGGGAGGGCTGGACGCTACTCTCACTCAGAGAGGGAGAGAATTCTCTGTTGGACAGAGACAACTCCTGTGTCTGGCCAGAGCTATGTTGACCAGGGCTAAGGTAGTCACTCACTGCTTGATATTTATATAAACATATTGTAGTCAATTTGATATACAGATCAATCATTGCTTTATATTCATGAGAACATTTTGTAAGTCAATGTGATATACAACCTTTTAAAATGAAATATGTCTGCAGATTTTATGTATTGATGAGGCCACGGCCAGTGTTGACATGGAGACAGATGGCCTGATACAGCACACCATCCAGCAGGAGTTCAGGGACAGCACTGTGCTGACCATTGCCCACAGGATCCACACTGTACTGGACAGCCAGCGGGTCATGGTCCTGAAGGATGGCACAGTGGCAGAGTTTGCTCCTCCTGATGAATTGTTGGCCAACAAAAACTCTTTGTTTTACAGTTTGGTTCATGGCAGTTGAAACACAACACAAACAGTGGTGTAATGGTGGTAGATGGAACAGCATAAACAGTGGTATAATGGTGGTAGATGGAACAGCGTAAACAGTGGTGTTATGGTGGTAGATGGAACAGCATAAACATTGGAGCTATGGCAGTTCTCTGTTAGCAATAGTGTACATATTATATAACAAAATTGGGGCATATTTGACACCCCCCCCCACATCTCTCAATAATAATGGTAGTCAATGACCATGTTATAGGAATTTTTTTATTTCACATACCTTTCACTTTTAACACAATTTTTAAATATTTAAATAAGTTTTAAAAAGTGTGTGTTGAATGATATTTTTATAATGGCTTCTTATATACTATTTGAATGTATCTGAATACCATTTGTAGAGAAAATGATCTCACACTGTCTTGATGTTTCTTCAGCACTGTTTAACGTTTTCCTTAAAACTTCTTTTAAATATCTAAATGATGAATTCATTGGTGTCAGGTATTTAAATTAATTCTCTTTATAAACATTTTTGTAATCACCTTAAAAAGTTGGTGATTATTATATAGTTTTAGAAAAAATAAACATTGTCTTTAAGGCTTTTTAATTTAAATTTTTTTTTTTTTAATAATGTTACAACAAATTTTGTTAAAATATATTCCTCTGTCAGTGTAATAGTGATATTATAAACTGGTAAAATGTCTACTGTAGTATTCAGTAGAAAAAGCCATTTGTTTTCATACAGTTTGTGTGTCTCGGAATTGTGAGAAAACTATTTGTGTTTCTTCATTACATACCATTTTTGTTGTATTTATAATTATTTATGATTGTGTTGTTATTTATTCTGAGATTATTGTAAACATTTAGTCTTTAGTCTATGTGTTATGTTTACATAATAATGTATTATCTGCAATTAAGTGAAAAAATAAAACTTGCAAAATTTACTAGTGTCTGAGTATTGCCCCTATCATTAGTATATAATTAACATAAATTAATCAAAGTGAGATAAAAAACTTTGTTATCAGTTAATTTATGCTGGACATTCTGTTTACCTTTTAGATCTACGTGACCACATCAACGACTGTACTTTATCTTCTTAAACAATGTCTAACACAAACTTAAACTTGGTGCATTATATAGGGCGGGTGGAACTGTTGGAAAACTAGTGGTGCTATTAGAAGATCTTCAATATAAATGACCCAAACCTATTTTTGTTGGTTGAAAATATTCTAAATTCCATTACCTAAAGAAAGAAATAATTAAATATATAGTTAGTTGTCTTTCTCAGCAACTTAGTATCAAATAAAAAAGATGACATTTATATAATTGAAAAATAAAAGCATGGCAACTTATTTAAGGACTGTGGAGATCAAAGTATTAATTATACAAAGTGAGTATAATTGTCTTACATTAATGTATTTTTGGAATAATGGATTTAATGAAGTATTTTTTAAAAGGTATTCTCAAGCTATGACAATTTGTATCAAATAATTTTAAATGTAAAAGTTTTTTGAGTTTCTTCAAATTTTAATTTGAAGTACTTTCAACTGGGTTTGGGAACAGCTGATCTGGTAAGGTGCTTAGGCCCAAGCAAATGTGTATAAATTCATTACAGATGGGTTGATCTTGTTCAAATGGAGGCAATATCTCCAGCTGAAGAGATCAGTGGTATCACAAAGATTGGTTGTCATACAGTGCAGTAACTCAGAGTAAATGTGATGTCACACTTTTGCATTATAAAAAGTAATATTAGAAAACGAATTTTTGCCACTATTTCATGTTTTAGAAAAATGTTTTAATAATTTGTAATAGTAATAGGATTGATTAAAAGACTATGTTGACCGAGCTCAGTAAAGATTTTAGAAAATTTGTTGTGACGATGTGGAGGGGTGGGGGTAAAATCGTCAAAAAGCGTGAAGTCATTTAAGTATGACCTCACACACATGAATTGAAAGTAGGCCTATATATAGAGTACCTTAACAGGAGTTAATCAGACTCAAAGATCAGTTTGATCATCACATTCACAACCACACAATGAATAAAATAATTTCACTCCACTCCTCATTTCATTATTATTATGATATTGGGCTTAGTATTAGTTAATAGTTGAAACCCAGCTGACATGAAAAACATTGCTTCTCACCATTTAATCGTATAATTAGATCAACTTTTATTCTTTAATTAGTTATTAATTTATAAGCAACACTCTTTGATGTCTTTATCTCTTGAGTGTAGTATTTTTGTGTAACACAGTTGTGCTCTACCCTCCCTTCCCCCAACCCGCCCCTAGTAAATTCTAGATGCAGTTTTGGTAGCAGTTGAAAATCCCGCGAAAATATCAGCTGATTGGCACTTCCGACAACACACCCTTGTTGCTATGTAGCGACATTCGGTTATTTCCGTAAACAATCCAATGAACAATGTGCTCGATATCGAACCTTTATAAAATAAATGACGCATTTCTAACGATAGTATCCGACATTTCCCGATATTATTTAGTTCTTTAACGATACTTAAGTAGTTTCTTAATGGCGACTGCTTCATCATTCAGTCAACAGAGTCCAATATGCTGTAAAAAGTGTAAAGTAAATGGTAGCCTAAAATAATTTAAAATATAGACTAAAATATAATAATAATAATTGCCTGGACACTACCTACTAGTACAATCAATCTAGAAGCTGAAGAATGATAAAAATTAATTAATTAATCGAAACATGGTGACTGAATGTAGTCAGAGAGAAGAGGTAGATAACTTAAATCAATATATATCTTATATATATATATATATAGTATTATATAGGCCCTATATTATATATATATATATATATATATGCCTACTATACTTATTATACATGTATTTTTAAAAAAAACAGGCCTATTAATAGGGTAATCCTTTTCAGTAACTAATTAGCCTCATAATGATTGATCAGTGAAAACTATAAACTTAAAAATACAAGGCCTAAATATTTAAAAAATGGTATTAAAGCAATTTAAACATCCTATCATGTTCATAAAGTTCTGACTTAATTTCTTTAAATTAATTTGACTAAAGGTTATTCTGACTTATATTAAAAATAGTAGTTTAACTTTTAAAAAAAATTAGGTTTACCTTTAATATAATTATGACTTCGGTCTTCTGTTTTTATGTACTCACATACACATTATGAGGATTTGGTTAGTTATCACCTATTATTCCGACTTAAATGTTAGCACTCTAGTCTTGCTCACAACAACAGCAGGCCTAATAATTACTTCTAATCTAAATTTAGTCCTAAACACAAATCAAATCTTAATTAGGAGATGCAATACACTTAGACCCTTTGTCATAACAGTAATAATCAGGACTTCAATTCAATACATAGATTATTATTAAAATAAATTAAAAATCCTTTAATGAAATGCATAAGTAACTTTGTATTAAAACCTATTATATCTTTTTTATACTAAAAATAAAAAATACTTAAACTTAAACTGCTTTTGCCACATTTTTTTTTCAGTAATGTCAGGCAATTTGTTCATAAAATAATTCAACACTCCTGAGGTTGTAATGTAACTTTCATTCACAGTCTTAAAAAATAAACCAGCTGTGAATAAAAGAATTTGTTCAAGTATTATGTGACAGCAGTGTAGAATTTCTACGGACCATGTTGGACATTAGCTCTTTTGATTGATTGGTTATTGATTTTTTGTCACACTGTTTGTAGCGGCTTAATCCATGGATTGAAATGAATCACTTTCACCCTATGTACCAGCACACTGTGCTGTATTGTACATGTGTATTCCATTTAAAATTGTTTCTGCCTATTCAATGTTAAGCTAGTAATTTTTTTGTTATCTTCCAGATGACTGAACGGATCAGATGAATACATTCTCTTGTCAGCTGAGAACATTAGTGCCTTTTTACTTATTATGTGAATTATGTTGTTCATTATCATCCTGTGGGACCGTATATTGCTACAAACAACATAACAGATATACAAAAACTTTAGCTAGAATAAATTACAAGAAGGCTGCGAGCTGACAGTGTGAGGAAAGATGGCGTTTGTCACAGCACACCATCGCCAAAACATGACTGGGATTTATCTTGGCTTGGTAAGTCATTTTTACAATTTTACAAAGATCTACCATTTTTTCTAGTTTTCTTAATTTTATCAATACATACTCTTGTAGTGTGATGAAGTTCTGTTGTATAAGTATTAACTAACTTTAGCTTTTATGTATAGAATTAAAAATATAATTTAACATAGAATCATTAATTCTATTCCAAATTGTTAAAATCAGGGAGTAAACACTCAAGCATCCCGTTCTAAGTCAGCCATTCCACCATTAGCCAGAGGCCGAGGGATATCATATAAGGTTAGGACTCCAGCTGAAGATCACAGATATGTAAGTCTGAGTGTGGATTACACTCTGTTGTCTTAACCAATGGATTTTTCTGTGCTTTAAATACGTTATTTTATGTGTAAATTACATACATGTCTTACCTAATTTAAGAGTTTAGGTGTATATTACATACATATATTTTATCTAATACATGAGTTTATGTGTCTATTACATACATTTGTCAACAACTTATGTGCTTTACATACAGGTCTTCTCTTGTATGTTAATGTATCTATATGTTACATTCATTAGTCCTGACCAATATGTTTATGTGCTTTACAATCATGCTCTGATCTTACCTTCATACACTTACACAATGGCTCACCCCAAACTTACACAATGGCTCACCCCAAACTTACACAATTGCTCACCCCAAACTTACACAATGTCTCACCCCAAACTTACACAATGGCTCACCCCAAACTTACACAATGGCTCAACCCAAATCTTATCTTCATACACTTACACAATGGCTCACCCCAAACTTACACAATGGCTCACCCCAAACTTACACAATGGCTCACCCCAAACTGTTCTAATGCTGGCCATAAAGCTTAATGCTCATTGCTGAGCACTTCATCAGGTTTCTACCAAGTGACCACACTGGAAGAAATATTCTCTAATTCATATGTCACACCACCCCTCATGTATGAAAGTGTACCATTTTTTAGTTGCATTTCACAATTGTAAAATGTACACTCAAAATTTCCGTTGTCTAGAAAATGGTTGAGAACCTGAGAATGAAGGAAGAGAAGCGAGGATTTTCTGGTAGTCTTGTACGGGTATGTTATATTTGACCAATTTCTTTATGATAAATTTAAAATGTATAATCTTAAAGAGATGTTATAATCTATTCCCATTTTCAGTTGTTCTTTCTATGTAAAAGTTAAGTACTGATGGATTTATCAGACTTTATCTTATTCTTTGGTATCTAAATAAACCCTTATCTTAATCTTAAAGCTAACCCTTAACTCAGCTGCAATGAACAGCCAAGAGTAAGAAATATTTCTGGATAACTTAAAAAAAAAGTCATTGATAAGGAATCTACTTAAATGCTGGCTTAGTTATTGAAAGAAATGTAGTCCAATGCTAGCACAAAATAGAATCTATTTATTGAATCAAAGCTGGATAACTATTGAAGAACATTCTTGGTAAAGCTTCAACTCTCTCAATACCGATCACTTCATCTCAATGCCCAGGATGTTGAAATAGCCTTCCGTTAAATGTAATTTTTAAGTTTTACAATTAAAGAAATAATAAATCCATTGTTAAAAAAAAACCTGATCGACAATGGTTTTGTTTTTGTTCTTTTAGAACTGCAAGTCTGCGACACTACCCAGGAAGAATCAACAGGAAAACAAAGTGAGTTTAAAGAGAAGATGGGGCCCAGGGAAACTTTTTGATCCAGGCAATGTTGATGCTCTCATCAGGTATGTTGTTGGCTAATGTTGTCAAATGTTGATGTCCTCATTAGGTAAACATCAACATAAGATGTTATCTAGTGTTGATGCTAGCATCAACATAAGATTTTGTCTAGCTTTGATGCCCCCATTAAATTTGAAGCTGAGGCTAGTACTGTACCCTTAGTGAGGTACTGGGACAACTAGTGATCTCTATGAACACTTTGGAAATTGAAATTTTTGTTAGAAACTATGTGCACCACAAAGATATACAAACTTGTGAAACAGAGTACTTTATGTTCATTTCTTCTTGTTGAATTGAATGTGTTCTATTGTTGTCATGTTACAGACCAAACTCGCGTTGTTTTACAACTGTTCTCATGTTCCAGACCAAACTTTTGTTGTTTTACAACTGTTCTCATGTTACAGACCAAACTCTCGTTGTTTTACAACTGTTCTCATGTTACAGACCAAACTCTTGTTGTTTTACAACTGTTCTCATGTTACAGACCAAACTCTCGTTGTTTTACAACTGTTCTCATGTTCCAGACCAAACTTTTGTTGTTTTACAACTGTTCTCATGTTACAGACCAAACTCTCGTTGTTTTACAACTGTTCTCATGTTACAGACCAAACTCGCGTTGTTTTACAACTGTTCTCATGTTACAGACCAAACTCTTGTTGTTTTACAACTGTTCTCATGTTACAGACCAAACTCGCGTTGTTTTACAAGTGTTCTCATGTTCCAGACCAAACTCTCGTTGTTTTACAACTGTTCTCATGTTACAGACCAAACTCTCGTTGTTTTACAACTGTTCTCATGTTCCAGACCAAACTCGCGTTGTTTTACAACTGTGGCCAACAGTGGGGTGACCAGATCAGAAAAGTTGATTTCCTCCTCCCCACACAAGTGGAGTTCACCCACCACTGATCTAACACACCAGTTCAACCAAATGTTTATAAAAGCTGATGAGTTGGCTGGCCTAAAGGAGTGCTACAGAAGAATTTGTAATGTGAGTTTCATGCTTACTCATTTATAAAACTTACAAATAAATTAAAAAAAGATTTAGCGTTACCTTTAAAACTGTGCACAATGAAAAGTAATTATTTTAAGAATTATTGTATTCGTGCCAAAAATCTAATATTTTACACCTTCTTGAGTTGGAAAAACTTAGTTGCAGTTTTGTCCATATGTCTGTGTGTGTGTATGTGTCTGTCTGTGAACACGATAACTTGAGTACCACTACAGCTAGGATGACAAAGTTTCAGTTCTTTTAAAAAACTAATGTTCTGCACTATTATACACAGATTATTTGCTGTTCATTTGTTGGGCAATTATTTTTCCAACGTGATACTATTCTATTTAAAAAATTTAAATATTTGAAAATTGATTTTTAAAAAATGTCTTTAAACCGCTTGCACTGGAGTTGCCATCCCCATTAGTGTTATCTAAGAATATTCGAGAAAGTTTAGGGGAGATCACTCTCACTCCTTTTGTTTAATAACATTTATTCTTGCTTAAAAATAAAATCATCTTCTTCATCTTCAAAAACATTATACACCTTACAACCATGGCCAACTTTATACACCTTATAACCATGGCCAACTTTATACACCTTACATTACAACCATGGCCAACTTTATACACCTTACAAACATGGCCAGCTTTATACACCTTACATTACAACCATGGCCAGCTTGATACACCTTACAACAAAGGCCAACATTATACACCTTACAACCAAGGCCAGCTTTATACACCTTACATTACAACCATGGCCAGGTTTATACACCTTACAACCAAGGCCAACATTATACACCTTACAACCAAGGCCAACTTTATACCTCTTACAAACATGGGCAACAGAAACCCATGTAGACATGTCCGTCCCTTCCCAAAAACCCACGTTGACGTTTCTGTCTCTTCCCAAAAACCCAGCTGGCCAATCATTCACTAAAAAAGTCCTATTGCAACTGTCACCAGTTCTAACAGTCTAATCTTTTCCCTGGACGTTGTGGTCTCTCTCAGGGCCAGTAACTGTCTAACTGTGGCAGAATCCTGGCTTGTTTATCACTGGATGCGTCTTTATACCCCGCAGTAATCTCCCCTTTTCCCATGACGACCGTCACATTTCGTCCTTAATAAAAGCTGCTGTCAGGGTGATGATGTTAAGGCTAGAGACACACAGTGTCGACCCTACAGTGATGTTAGAGACACACAGTGTCATCCCTACAGTGATGTTAGAGACACACAGTGTCATCCCTACAGTGATGTTAAGGTTAGAGACACACAGTGTCATCCCTACAGTGATGTTAAGGCTAGAGACACACAGTGTCATCCCTACAGTGATGTTAAGGTTAGAGACACACAGGGACCAGTGTCATCCCTACAGTGATGTTAAGGTTAGAGACACACAGTGTCATCCCTACAGTGATGTTAAGGTTAGAGACACACAGTGTCATCCCTACAGTGATGTTAAGGTTAGAGACACACAGTGTCATCCCTACGTGATGTTAAGGCTAGAGACACACAGTGTCATCCCTACAGTGATGTTAAGGTTAGAGACACACAGGGACCAGTGTCATCCCTACAGTGATGTTAAGGCTAGAGACACACAGTGTCATCCCTACGTGATGTTAAGGCTAGAGACACACAGTGTCATCCCTACAGTGATGTTAAGGCTAGAGACACACAGTGTCGACCCTACACTGATGTTAAGGTTAGAGACACACAGTGTTGACCCTACAGTGATGTTAAGGCTAGAGACACACAGTGTCGACCCTACAGTGATGTTAAGGCTAGAGACACACAGTGTCATCCCTACAGTGATGTTAAGGTTAGATACACACAGTGTCATCCATACAGTGATGTTAAGGTTAGAGACACACAGGGACCAGTGTCATCCCTACAGTGATGTTAAGGTTAGAGACACACAGTGTCATCCCTACAGTGATGTTAAGGCTAGAGACACAGTGTCATCCCTACAGTGATGTTAAGGTTAGAGACACACAGTGTCATCCCTACAGTGATGTTAAGGTTAGATACACACAGTGTCATCCATACAGTGATGTTAAGGTTAGAGACACACAGGGACCAGTGTCATCCCTACAGTGATGTTAAGGTTAGAGACACACAGTGTCATCCCTACAGTGATGTTAAGGTTAGAGACACAGTGTCATCCCTACAGTGATGTTAAGGTTAGAGACACACTGTGTCATCCCTACAGTGATGTTAAGGTTAGAGACACACAGTGTCATCCCTACAGTGATGTTAAGGTTAGAGACACGCAGGGACCAGTGTCATCCCTACAGTGATGTTAAGGTTAGAGACACACAGTGTCATCCCTACAGTGATGTTAAGGTTAGAGACACACTGTGTCATCCCTACAGTGATGTTAAGGTTAGAGACACACAGTGTCATCCCTACAGTGATGTTAAGGTTAGAGACACACTGTGTCATCCCTACAGTGATGTTAAGGCTAGAGACACACAGTGTCATCCATACAGTGATGTTAAGGCTAGAGACACACAGTGTCATCCCTACAGTGATGTTAAGGTTAGAGACACACAGGGACCACTGTCATCACTATTGCTATTGTCTCTAAAATACGTAAAAGATGTCATGGGCGACCAAAGCAACATTAGTTTTATTTTTAGCGCAATTTCCATTCTGGAGAATTGCGTTTATTAACCCGTCATTTCTGGATGAATGGATGGATGGATGGATGTATGAATGTATGAATGTGTGTCCGCAGCTTTAAGTCGTATCTCCTCCTCAACGAAGCAATATCGATGACTAGTTCCAAAAGCGATTATGTTAAGCAAGTTACGAGGATGAGCATAGGCCATAAAAATTCCGGGTTTCTTTCATGGATTTCCCGGAAAAGCCAAAAAACCTCGAAAAAATGCAGTTTTTGGCCCATATCTCAGCAACCAGACCACTTAGCGACTTGAAACATGTACCAATCGATTCCGGCCATAATTTAGAACAATATTGCCGAAGAAAGTTTTCAAAAATATCATTTCGTTCGGTCACAAAAAATTTTTTGAATTAATTAAAATTTGGACCGAATTAGTAGGCATTTTTTCCAACCACACCACACGCGTCATCACGTTCAATAGCGGCACCATCACGTTCTATGGCTTCGTCATCACGTTCAGTAGCTAGGCGCGCAATGGTTTTTAGTCATGTAACTCTATTGTAAATAAAACATGTAAAATACTGAAATTTTTTTTTAATAAAAAACGTTTTAATAACTAACCAATGGTTTTACTAACCCTGCACTTGATTTACGCTACGACAGAGCTATTTTTAGATAACATAAGGAAATTGCGCTAAAATTGTCACTAGACTTTTTAATTAACTTGTTTTTCAATGCATTTAAAAGCTTGTTGTTATATTTAACAGGTTTTAGATATTTGTCTGTGGTATTTTAATTCTTTCTTTTAAAGATGGAGCAAAATATTTTCTTTTAAACGATGCGATTCCAGAAATATAGTTTTAAAAATAATCTTTGTAACACAAAATTCTATCGGTGAATTGAGGGCGGGTTGTGGTGGGTACGAGAGTTGATGGTCAATTGAAATGTTAAAGTTTTAAGGAACTTAAAAGGGAATAGGGGGGGGGGATATTGTCACTCGCACACAATCCCATGCTAGCACATTTCCTCAGAAAAAAAATGCTTCTAACGTTAAAAAAAAAATTAACAGGATTTTTTTTTTTTAAATCTGTAATTTTACTTTTTTTTTTTTACATCGCCTTTAGAAAACGAATTCCATGATCTATTTTTAGCCTGTGAATTTGAAACAATAGACAAAAATGTTGAAGGCACACGCAAGCATTTCTGTTCATTAGAGAGTTCGTTAGCCTGCTTCAAAATTCGTTAGCCTGCTCCATTCATGTTCCCTTTTCCAGCCCACTTGGCCACCTTAAAGTGATCTTGGACGTGTAAAAATGTAAACGGGATTGCTTCCTCTTGTAATAATGTCATGAAAATTGTTCATTTTGTTCAAAGTAAAAGTTCAGCTTTTCTTACTCAGTTCGACAATAATCACGTGAACGTTTAGTCAGATTGGGGCTGGGCTGGTAAATATTTATTACTTTGGCCAGATTTGACACCGAATGGCGCTACAATTCCGGATAGTGTGTCCATGTACGGAAATTTGATCTCACTTGGCGAAAACACATCGCAAGTTAGCAGTTAGTCATTATGTATCCGTGGTAGGCACTTCTGCTCTTTTGGCTTATGGCGGGAAGCCTCAAAAGTTAAAGACAAGTTTGGCATGTTGTTCAATACTGCAAACTTTTTAAATAAACAAAACAAAAAATAAATAAAAAAATAAATTCATACTACAAAATCGAAAACAGAAACGAGAAACGTTTTAACTAAACAAATTACGGGATTTGTCCGTAAACCAGAATAGAAAAGAGAAACCTGCGATTTTCTGACATTGGTTTCTGGACCTGATTCTAGACACCCGATGAATGAAAAAAAATCTGGTAGCTGTGCTAAATCTGGTAATGAAATACATGAAAGCTAATCATAAATACATGAAAGCTAATCATCTAGAACCACATGACAGGGCGCCATTGATTTCGCCCAATGTCCTATGTAAAAAAAAAACGTTCCTGCCATTTTCTTGTCTGTGGGCATCAACGTCACAATGTTGAGCTGTTGATGAAAATATCGCACGATTTACTTGGAGTATAAGAACATGGATTTTCTTTTGAACGTGTTCCTCAACCTGAGATACACATATTGATCTGGTATTTTTGCTGATTATTTTTTAACATGTCATTTAATGTCATGTCTAATTTAAGGCCATGTATATGTCATCTGTCTTCTGGTCTCCGACTAGCAATCTAAATGTCATTTTTGGAACAATAGGAGAATTCTGGAACAGAAAAGATTCTGACGTGTCATTAAAATGTCATTTTGACATGTCATTAAAATGTCATTTCTGTCTTGACAAAATATCCTAAGATGTTGACGTCATCTGCGTCTGCTATTTACAAAACAAAACGGGACACACAGCAAGTCCTTGCCTCAGCCAGTTAATCTAATGTCTAAATTCCTTAATTAAAAGTTTTCTTATGGACACTCGAAATTAAAGAACTGATCAATATAAAATTTGTCGAAAATCAGCCCATTCTAATTTGTTCGAGTTACTCTATTTCAACACAAAACTAAATCGTCATATACCCATCTTAATACGAAATCATTGTAAACAATTCTTACTCATGCACCAAAATGTAAGTAATAATTTTCACAAAGTCACATCATTATCTCTCATTCATCCAATTCTATTTCACCTCATATCCCAGTTCTGTAAATATGAATTGTTCTCTTCTTTATCCGTTACATTTAAAAAAAATTGTATTTTATAAAAATGCATATTAATGTGTTACAAACGGCCTATGTGATCTGATGCAACTGTGTGTATTTTTTTAAAAAAAGTTTCTTATTATATTTTTAATTTTGTCAAGTTAAATCATGCCGACATGTCATCTAGGTGTCATGTGTGGCTAAAGGTCATGACATCACATGACTATGTCCTGACATCACATGACCATGTCCATATATCACATGACCATGTCCTGACATCACATGACCATGTCCTGACATCACATGACCAAGTCCTGACATCGCATGACCATGTCCTGACATCACATGATCATGTCCTGACATCACATGATCATGTCCTGACATCACATGATCATGTCCTGACATCACATGACCATGTCCTGACATCACATGACCAAGTCCTGACATCACATGACCATGTCCTGACATCACATGACCATGTCCTGACATCACATGACCATGTCCTGACATCACATGACCATGTCCTGACATCACATCACATGACCATGTCCTGACATCACATCACATGACCATGTCCTGACATCACATGACCATGTCCTGACATCACATCACATGACCACGTCCTGACATCACATGACCATGTCCTAGCATCACGTCACCATGTCCTTACCTCCACCCCCAGGGGAGCGAGGAGTCCCTGTACAGACTTCTGCCCGACCCCCGGACACCTGGGACCCCGGAGTCACCTAGCTCACCCAGACATGGGGACGTTGGCTTCACCGTCAGGTCAGTCTAGGCTAAGTGGGTGACACTCACATGTGTCATTTGGTCACATGTGTCATTTGGTCACATGTGTCACTTGGTGACATCTGTCACTAGGTGATATCTGTCATTAGGTGACAACTTCACCGGGTGACACGCTCAGTTGATGACACATGTGTTTGCTTTAGCTGTAATTGATCCTATATGTGACCCTATATGTGACCCTATATGTGACCCTATATGTGACCCTATAAATGACCCTATATGTGACCCTAAATGTGACCCTATATGTGACCCTATATGTGACCCTATATGTGACCCTATATGTGACCCTATATGTGACCCTATCTGTGACCCTATATGTGACCCTCCCTTTTCAAGCCTTACACATTTGCTTCCAGTTGAGTAAAATGTATTGATTTCTCACATTGTCAGCTGACAGGCTGGAATGTCCTCACTGACAATGTCACATACACTGTCAGTGATGCTGACAGTGTGGACATCGATTTGTTGTATAGAAGTGACCTCAGGCAAAAGTTTGTCACCAGTGATACAGTTCACCATGGCCGTAGTGCACCTAGCTGGTGGTGACACGGGTCACCATGAACGTAGTGCACCAACCTGGTGGTGACACGGATCACCATGAACGTAGTGCACCTAGCTGGTGGTGACACAGATCACCATGAACGTAGTGCACCTAGCTGGTGGTGACACGGATCACCATGAACGTAGTGCACCTAGCTGGTGGTGACACGGATCACCATGAACGTAGTGCACCTAGCTGGTGGTGACACGGATCACCATGAACGTAGTGCACCTAGCTGGTGGTGACACGGATCACCATGAACGTAGTGCACCTAGCTGGTGGTGACACGGATCACCATGAACGTAGTGCACCTAGCTGGTGGTGACACGGATCACCATGAACGTAGTGCACCTAGCTGGTGGTGACACGGATCACCATGAACGTAGTGCACCTAGCTGGTGGTGACACGGATCAGCATGAACGTAGTGCACCTAGCTGGTGGTGACACGGATCACCATGAACCTAGTGCACCTAGCTGGTGGTGACACGGATCACCATGAACGTAGTGCACCTAGCTGGTGGTGACACGGATCACCATGAACGTAGTGCACCTAGCTGGTGGTGACACGGATCACCATGAACGTAGTGCACCTAGCTGGTGGTGACACGGATCACCATGAACGTAGTACACCTAGCTGGTGGTGACACGGGTCACCATGAACGTAGTGCACCAAGCTGGTGGTGACACGGATCACCATGAACGTAGTGCACCTAGCTGGTGGTGACACGGATCACCATGAACGTAGTGCACCTAGCTGGTGGTGACACGGGTCACCATGAACGTAGTGCACCAAGCTGGTGGTGACACGGATCACCATGAACGTAGTGCACTAGCTGGTGGTGACACGGATCACCATGAACGTAGTGCACCTAGCTGGTGGTGACACGGGTCACCATGAACGTAGTGCACCAAGCTGGTGGTGACACGGATCACCATGAACGTAGTGCACCTAGCTGGTGGTGACACGGATCACCATGAACGTAGTGCACCTAGCTGGTGGTGACACGGATCACCATGAACGTAGTGTACCTAGCTGGTGGTGAGCTGTGCTCAAATGTTAGTCCAAGCACAGTCTACAACTGAGTGTCTAACATGGTGTCTATGTCCCTAACTTAGTGTCTATGTCCCTAACTTAGTGTCTATGTCCCTTAATTAGTGTCTATGTCCCTAACTTCGTGTCTATGTCCCTAACTTAGTGTCTATGTCCCTAATTTAGTGTGAATGCCCCATATCATGTCGTGTGATTAAAATCAATAGGGATTAAAATTTGAACAATGCTGTACTGTTCTGTCTGTGTTGTGTTCTGTCTAGATGTATTGTGTTCTGTCTAGATGTATTGTGTTCTGTCTAGCTGTGTTCTGTTCTGTCTAGCTATGTTGTGTTCTGTCTAGCTATGTTGTGTTCTGTCTAGATGTATTGTGTTCTGTCTAGCTGTGTTGTGTTCTGTCTAGATGTATTGTGTTCTGTCTAGCTGTGTTGTGTTCTGTCTAGCTATGTTGTGTTCTGTCTAGATGTATTGTGTTCTGTCTAGATGTATTGTGTTCTGTCTAGATGTATTGAGTTCTGTCTAGCTATGTTGTACTCCGTCACTCACCTAATACAAAGGTAGGACATTTCGACTGTAGGCTACACCTCACATTCAGCTGTTTACCTCCCCTGACGTTGTTTAAATTAACTTGATTGGGTGGAGCGAACTGAACTGCCGAGCTTTCGTGTGTCGGACAGCCGTAGGTATCGGACACAGTCGTGTATGTGTCTGACACCGTCCTGATTGTGTCTGATACAGCCGTATGTGTCAGACATATATATATATATATATATATATATATATATATATATATATATATATATATATATATATATATATATATATATATATATATATATATATCTGAGGAATTCGTATATGTGTCTTACACAGTGGTGTATGTGCGCCGGACGCATACAAGTTTCGCTCACAGCTGGTCTTAAGTTGCACCTGAGAGTGATATGGACATCACGTGATTAGACTGGCGGTATTTTCTTGAAAGTTTCTGTAGGGAATCTATAATTTCTGTAGGGAATCTACAGTTTCTGTAGGGAATGAATCTACAGTTTCTGTAGGAAATCTACATTCCTTGAGATAATTAACATTTCTTTTAGACGCTGTTAATTATAAGATTATCTTGTAATTTCAACACACTTGTAATGGGGTGTGCTATTTTTAACATTATGTTGTATGACATTCCTACATCATCATAGAAACAACCGACCACTACAGCAATACCAGACAGCAGAAAGTTCTAATTTCTTTTCTCCCCCCCCTCCCCCATGGGACAGTTTTAAAAAGCAGCTGTACCACGTGTCCAGTAAATGAGACATCGACATGTTGTCTCATTAGCCAAGACATCGACATGTTGTCTCATTAGCCAAGACATCGACATGTTGTCTCATTAGCCAAGACATCGACATGTTGTCTCATTAGCCAAGACATCGACATGTTGTCTCATGAGACAAGACATCGACATGCTGTCTCATTAGCCAAGACATCGACATGTTGTCTCATTAGCCAAGACATCGACATGTTGTCTCATTAGCCAAGACATCGACATGCTGTCTCACTAGCCAAGACATCGACATGTTGTCTCATTAGCCAAGACATCGACATGTTGTCTCATTAGCCAAGACATCGACATGTTGTCTCATTAGCCAAGACATCGACATGTTGTCTTATTAGCCAAGACATCGACATGTTGGCTCATTAGCCAAGACATCGACATGTTGTCTCATTAGCCAAGACATCGACATGTTGTCTCATTAGCCAAGACATCGACATGTTGTCTCATTAGCCAAGACATCGACATGCTGTCTCATTAGCCAAGACAGCGACATGTTGTCTCATTAGCCAAGACATCGACATGTTGTCTCATTAGCCAAGACATCGACATGTTGTCTCATTAGCCAAGACATCGACATGTTGTCTCATTAGCCAAGACATCGACATGTTGTCTCATTAGCCAAGACATCGACATGTTGTCTCATTAGCCAAGACATCGACATGTTGTCTCATTAGCCAAGACATCGACATGTTGTCTCATTAGCCAAGACATCGACATGTTGTCTCATTAGCCAAGACATCGACATGTTGTCTCATTAGCCAAGACATCGACATGTTGTCTCATTAGCCAAGACATCGACATGTTGTCTCATTAGCCAAAACATCGACATGTCTCATTAGCCAAGACATCGACATGTTGTCTCATTAGCCAAGACATCGACATGTTGTCTCATTAGCCAAGACATCGACATGTTGTCTCATTAGCCAAGACATCGACATGTTGTCTCATTAGCCAAGACATCGACATGTTGTCTCATTAGCCAAGACATCGACATGTTGTCTCATTAGCCAAGACATCGACATGTTGTCTCATTAGCCAAGACATCGACATGCTGTCTCATTAGCCAAGACAGCGACATGTTGTCTCATTAGCCAAGACATTGACATGCTGTCTCATTAGCCAAGACAGCGACATGTTGTCTCATTAGCCAAGACAGCGACATGTTGTCTCATTAGCCAAGACAGCGACATGTTGTCTCATTAGCCAAGACATCGACATGTTGTCTCATTAGCTGGGTCATACACGACTGGGTCTTTCATGACTTGGTCATACATGACTGGGTCATACACGACTGGGTCTTTCATGACTGGGTCATACATGACTGGGTCATACACGACTGGGTCTTTCATGACTTGGTCATACATGACTGGGTCATACACGACTGGGTCTTTCATGACTGGGTCAAAGACTGTGTCATACACGACTGGGTCTTTCATGACTGGGTCATAGACTGTGTCATACACGACTGGGTCTTTCATGACTGGGTCATACACGACAGGGTCTTTCATGACTGGGTCATACGACTGGGTCATACACGACTGGGTCTTTCATGACTGGGTCATATGACTGGGTCAAACACGACTGGGTCATACACGACATGGTCTTCCGTGTGGGTGGCTGTCAGGTGCTAGATGCTCCCACCCTGTACAGTTGATGTAAGTCACCTGACTGCTTGAGTCAAGTTCTCCTGCTGTGGCGTCCTGACTGACCGACATCATGCTAGTGGCTAACATCATGCTAGTGGCTAACATCATGCTAGTGGCTAACATCATGCTAGTGGCTAACATCATGCTAGTGGCTAACATGCTAGTGGCTAACATCATGCTAGTGGCTAACATGCTAGTGGCTAACATCATGCTAGTGGCTAACGTCATGCTAGTGGCTAACGTCATGCTAGTGGCTAACATCATGCTAGTGGCTAACATCATGCTAGTGGCTAACATCATGCTAGTGGCTAACATCAACAGTAACTTGGTAACACCTCCAGTCCTAGTTAACACGTAGACCAACGGGCTAAACACCAAATTATCGCCTTTGCCGTGTTTAGTGTGAGATCTCA